CCCCAAGAGATTCATAGCATCCTTGTTTCTTGAGATGGCGCCCACGCCCGACTTTGCTCCTGACGTGCCATACTTGACACCAGACGAGATGAATCGCTGGGCCATATCAGGCCGTTCTTGAAATTCAGCATTGTTCCCGTACTCCTGGCTCTGTCTCGAGGCAGTTGGCGAGATGGGCGAGGTGTAATGAGATGCGGTAGGCGGCGGAGAGATAGGGACGGGACGATTGCGGGCTGGAGGCAGTGAGCGGGATGGGTGAGATGCGGCATCTACAGCAGGAGGGGAGTTGGCTGGGGCGAGGACATGGCCCCGGGAGGCAAAGTATTCGTCAAGAAGGGAGAAGAAGGCTTCCTAGACCGAGATGAGTACGGGGCAAGCCGGATGCTGAAGCAACGAACCTTGTCTAATGAGAAAAACAAACAATCAGTGAGCACAAATGGTACGCAATGTATACCTATCCAGACGTACCTTGATGAGTGATATTGGAGAACATTTCAGATGAACGTTGCGAGCAGAATACATGGACCGAGGAAGAGGAGACGAACGACACGCCAAGAGCAAGACAACGCAGGCACCACGCAGACCGGCGGCCTGGCGCTTACAGTGACACATCTCTCTTCAAATCCTCCATTCCCTTGGGGCTCAATTCAGATTATGCGCAGATGCTCTGAGCTTACAGAAGATGTCCATGCCCCAATGTGGTGTCTAGTCCGATGCATATACACTCGTCGTGTGACAAGATAATGGAAAAAAAGAAAATATTATGGAAGGTCCTTGGATCCTTTTTGGATTGTGCAGTGCACTTCTACTTCTTCTACTGTTTCTGTCTACTTCTTCTCGCGCACTCCTCTGATTGGCGATTGACTTAGTCAACCTCCTCAACGGAGGGGCCGTCCTCGTGGGCGGGGGCAGCACCCTCAGCGCCAGCACCGGGGAAGCCACCGGGGGCACCGCCGGGAGCACCACCCTGAGCACCGTAGAACTTGGTCATGATGGGGTTGGCAACAGCCTCGAGCTCCTTCTGCAAAGACTCGAACTCCTCCTTGGAGGCGGTCTCCATGGTGTCAAGGGCACTGATGACCTCGTCAACCTTGGCGGTGAGGGTCTTGTGGTCCTCGGCGTCGAACTTGTCGGCGTTGTCGGACAAGGTGGTCTTGAGAGAGTAAGAGTAAGACTCAAGACCGTTCTTGGCCTGGACGGTGGCGGCGGCGGCCTCGTCCTCAGCCTTGAACTTCTCGGCATCGGCAAGCATCTAGTAGAAAGTCAGCATGCAGCTCGTGCAAAGGAAGAGTGATACTCACAGCCTCAATGTCCTCCTTGGACAATCGACCCTTGTCGTTGGTGATGGTAATCTTCTGGCTCTTACCGGTAGACTTGTCGGCAGCGTTGACGTTCAAGATACCGTTGGCGTCAACGTCGAAAGAGACCTCGATCTGGGGAACACCTCGAGGAGCAGGGGGGATACCAGAGAGCTCGAACTTTCCGAGCAAGTTGCAGTCCTTCGTCTTGGCACGCTCACCCTCGAAGACCTGGATAAGGACACCGGGCTGGTTGTCGGCGTAGGTAGAGAAGGTCTCGGACTTCTTGGTGGGGACAGTGGTGTTTCGCTTGATCAAAGGAGTCATGATACCACCAGCGGTCTCGATACCCATGGAGAGAGGGGCAACATCGAGCAAGAGCAAGTCCTGGGTAGCCTCGGAAGTGTCACCGGTAAGGATAGCGGCCTGGACGGCGGCACCGTAGGCGACGGCCTCATCGGGGTTGATGGACCTGTTGGGCTCACGGCCAGAGAACATGTCGGAGACGAGCTTCTGGATCTTGGGGATACGGGTAGAACCACCGACAAGGACAATCTCGTTGACGTTGGACTTGTCAATCTTGGAGTCTCGGAGGACCTTCTCGACGGGGTCCATGGTGGATCGGAAGAGGTCCTGACAGAGCTCCTCGAATCGGGCACGGGTGATGGAGGTGTAGAAGTCGATACCGTCGAAGAGGGAGTCGATCTCGATGGAGGTCTGGGCGGCAGAAGAGAGGGTCCTCTTAGCACGCTCACAGGCGGTTCGGAGTCGTCGGAGGGCACGAGCGTTGGAGGAAAGGTCTGCGGTATGTCAGTGAAATTCGGTGTGTAGAGCCAAGAAACCTACCCTTCTTGTTCTTCCTCTTGAACTCCTGGACGAAGTGGTTGACGAGACGGTTGTCAAAGTCTTCACCACCCAAGTGAGTGTCACCAGCGGTGGCCTTGACCTCGAAGATACCCTCCTCAATGGTGAGGAGAGAGACATCGAAGGTACCACCACCCAAGTCGAAGATGAGAACGTTCTTCTCACCCTCGGTCTTCTTGTCGAGACCGTAGGCGATGGCGGCAGCGGTGGGCTCGTTGATGATACGGAGGACATCGAGACCAGCGATGAGACCAGCGTCCTTGGTAGCCTGACGTTGAGAGTCGTTGAAGTAGGCGGGGACGGTGACAACGGCCTTAGTGACGGCACCACCGAGGTAAGCCTCAGCGGTCTCCTTCATCTTGATGAGGACCATGGAAGAAACCTCTTCGGGAGTCTGCAACAAACGTCAGTCAAAAATCAGAACCTCGGTCATCGAAAAGACTCACGAAGCTCTTCTCCTCGCCCCTGTACTCAACCTGGATGACGGGCTTGCCAGCCTTGTCAACAATCTTGAAAGGCCAGTGCTTCATGTCGGCCTGGACATCGGCATCGGCGAACTTTCGGCCAATCAATCGCTTGGCGTCGAAGACGGTGTTGTAGGGGTTCATGGCGACCTGGTTCTTGGCGGCATCACCGATAAGACGCTCAGAGTCGTTGAAAGCGACGTAAGAGGGGGTAGTTCGGTTACCCTGGTCGTTGGCTAGGCAATGTCAGTACAAGGAATAAGATTAATGGCAAGGGAGTGTACTCACCGATGATCTCGACACGGTCGTTTTGCCAAACGGCGACACAGGAGTAGGTGGTACCCAAATCTGTGGGATGTGGTCAGCTCTAGCAAGTCTGGCAGTGCGAGGGTGCTCACCAATTCCGACAGCCTTAGTCATTTTGATATGTGTTTAGAGTGTAGGTAAAAAGAGTAAGTTATGAAAAGGTGAAGAAAGAAAAAGACGAGATTTTTATGGCGAACCTCGGAGAACGTCACGGATCGATCAACCCTGCGGCGGTCGCCGTCGAAGATGCCAGAAGAGTTCCTAGTATGTGGGGGGCACTTGAGAAAAAGCTGCTGCGAGCTGCGCGCCTCTCTTTTCATTCGTCGTCATCCAACGCTCGCTTCTTCGCTGCTTCTTCGATCTGTAGTCTGGCGGTGAATCGGTTTCATCCTGTATTTCTCAAGCCGAATCAGAAAGTTGTCAGCCAAGGGGAGGTTTCATGCAGTTAATAATGTATATATGTAGGAGAAATGCTGTGGGAGTCTAAATATAACGTCCGCCCCGCCGACCAATCCTCTTCCCCATTGTCCGTCCTAAAATTTTTATGATTCTACATAGTCTAGATCTATTCGGTCTTTACCGCACGCCTGCCGTAAGCCTCAGCCAACCGCTCCGCACGGACACCCTCCTTCTCAACCTCCTCCATTTCTCGCCTCTCAAACTCGGCCCTTTCCTTGGCCGACTTGGCCTTGGAAGCAGCCACACGCTCCTTGTACGCATGGTACTTGCTGTCGGTACCAAGAGAGTAGTCCCACCACCTGAAACTGGTGGAGAAACAGTTGACAAAGGCAGCGTGGTGGAAGTCGTGGTGGTCCGCACCAGCCCAGAAGGGAATAAAGGTCCTCAAAGACCAGGGGAAGTCGTACCCAGAGTGGGCATCGACAGCTTGCCAGAGTCGGAGAGTGATCCAGAGGTATACGGTGAAGATGTGGAGATCACTGCGGAAGACGGCGTAGAGGAAGGGACCAGAGATGGTACCCTGCGCGAGGATAAGGACCTCGAGAGGATGGGCATACTCGGCAGCCTGAAGATGGTGTCAGCTTCGTGACCAAGCTCACAAGATGACACTTACAAGACCAATGGGGGCAGAGAATTCGTGGTGGAGCTTGTGAATGTTCTTGTACAGAGGCCCGTAGTGCAGAGCTCGGTGAGCCCAGTAGTGGAAGGTGTCCTCAAAGACAAAGAAGAAGGCGATTTGGAGAGCCATGAGACCCCAAGAAGTGAAGGGGACCTCATAAGTCGCCATACCAAAGTAGCAGCAGATGGGGTGGAAAGCGAGGATCAAGGGAGCTTCACAGGTGAAATGCGTGAGCAGGACAACCTTGGTACACTTCCACATCTGAGCTCGAGAAACCTTCTTGTTCTGTGATTGGCGTAAGCGGCGGCCCCAATGGTTTTGCATATACATACAGGCTGAATTTTCCATTGGTGAAAGTAGGGAATCTCATCAATGATGAGCCAAGGAATGCAGCGACCAAAGTAGACGATCTATATACGAGATCAGCACCGATCTTGCTCATCGAGAATATTGGGCCAATCCAATCGCGTCGCGTACCTCGTGCAGACCAAAACTCAGCAAACCAGTGGCAATGATGGGGTTTCCGATGAAGATATAGAACTGCGCCCATAATCTTTCGATCCAGCTGAGCGTTGTGAAATCGAGGCCGGGGTAGAAGGTGTTGGTGGCAGTGGTGGCGTTCATGATCTGCAGGTGTTGGGAGACGCCTGGGACTATCTTGTCCATAAAGTCGTACGCGATGGCGGCGGACATGGTGGAGGAGTGTGGAGGGGTGTGGCGAAAAGAAGGGGGGTGGCGAGAAACGAGAGGTATATAAAGGAAAGTCGGGGTGGATCGGAAAATCGGAGATGAAAGTGGAACCACTGCTCGCGCTCAAGCGACGCAGACATCACAATAATCCGCCAAAAAAGTGGTACGATCCAGCTTTGCGGACTCCTCCGCATCCTCCCCACCACCAGTCCACGTGCGGTCACTTCCGCAGAGACGCGTCGCGTTCGCATGTAAACAAATCACAGTTCCGAGATTTTCCTTGTCGTCCCACCATACGCCATGGAGAATCCGCACGAAGCAGAACAGGCCGTTCTTCTGGAGAGAATTATCAAGAATGTTGTAAGTTGCTTGGATCAGCATCTCGAGGTGGAGCCCTGACCCTTTCACAGGATAAATCAAACGAGGCTATTGTAGAGCTGAATCATTGCCTGAAAGTAGGTCGACGATATGGCCTACGGTTATGAGGCTGCTCACCAATTGCTGTAGGAGTACCTCGACTCTGCAGGAGCCGTTCACATCACTTCCCAACTATTTGCCAACTACTCTCGAAATGTCCTGTACAACCTCGAGACTGTCAACAATCTCCCAAAGCCTGCGTAGACCTTGAGCCCCGAGACGCTGCGAGGAAGAGAGATAGTCAGATCTGTTGTACTATTACTGTTTACTGAGAAGACGTGTACAATGCTGGAATCTGTATCCCGTCATACGACCTTTTGATCCTTTCACCTTGGATCCTTTCATCCGGATGCGATGCTAAAACGTTTTGTGTGGATGTGAACTTACTGCAGTATCTGCGTCTGATACAGCGTATCGATCTACGAGAAACAACTCATCATGCAAGCACCATCAACCAGTGGTATGGGCACCGCCGACGGTATCAACGGCCCTCTGAACCCTTTTGTCGTGACTCCACCTCCTCCCGACGTAAGCTCTCAGATCACTAGCGATATATGCAGCTGATCCTGACACTTCCACAGGCTAAAGACGATGAGATTCCAGGCTACGTAGGCAATGGTGCTTGACACGAAGGACAGCAGCTGACGCCACATGATGTGTAGGTGAAACGATTTGGAGCATACGTGAGTACATTCCCTCGATTCTTCTTCGGCATAGTGCTGATCTTTGGAGTAGCACACCCTGTGAGACGTTTCATTAACCCTCTATATACTTACCTTGCTGACGACTTACGTTAGGACCGAGGGTGTTTTGTAGGTCGGCTTAATGCCCGGATAGGTGATTTCGCTCACACAAGTACATAGCTTGCCAGCGGGCACTCTCCTCCCAAAAGGAGCCGGTTTCGCGATGCAGTCAACCATCGACTTTGGATTGCATTTCCCGGTAAGCTTACCTCCCAACATCGCCATGATCTCTGTGTCCAGCGCTGGAATATCTCGTCTGACAAACTGTAGAAAGGTACCAAGGTTCCAGGCGGATTCCTTCTTCCTGTCAGTCTGTCTGCCGTTCCATCATTCAAGTTGACTGACGCGGTCATCTCAGGTCTCCGTGGTGAAGAAGCCAGAGCCCAAAAAGGATCCGCCTCCATCGGAAAATCCATTCTGTTTGATACAATAGCTGTATATGCACCCTGTACACTCGATCATTGCTGTACACATACACTTACTGCATTCATCCATGCCCGACCTCCATTGCATGCATACAAGAAGAAAGGAAGTAGATTTACGTAATAGATAAGGAGGACGTCAGACGAAGCGCCTGAGGCTCGTGGGTTGTCTCGTGTGTCGTGTCGTCTGTTCTATTTCTATTTCAACTTTATTCCTCTTCAGCACATTTTTCACTTCTCCCCTTCACAGCGCCAGCCATGGTGACTCTGGACCCTCCCTCTAGCTCTACTGCTTCCGTGGCAATCACCTCACCAGGCTCCACCCCCACCCCCACCCAGCAGTCCACCTTCTCTCTCCCCAAATCGACCATCTCCCGAAAGAAGCCGCCTGGTCTGGATATCTCCAAGTCCATACTTCGCCCCACTCGCTCAGTTCCCGGACTCCCTCCAACTGGCGACTCTCCCGTTGGCAACTTTGTCTCTGAGGCAGACAAGCTTCGAGACGACATTGCGCAATTGCAGTTGAGCAGTCGCTCCACTGGTTCTCACCGCTCAGACGATGAGGCTGAAGCGGCTGGCCTTCAGAGTGACGACTCGGCCGCCTCTGGCGCTCACAAGAAGGAGAAGAAAGAGAGCAAGTCTGGCAAAGATGGGAAGGAGAAGAAGAGGAGAAAGTACAAGGACAAGAATGGGGAGGATCTTGTCAAGGAAGAGGATCTGGAGAATATTGAAGACTTGGGCGCTGGAAACGGTGGAACTGTTGCAAAAGTGTGGAACAAGAAAAGAAATTGCATTATGGCCAAAAAGGTATGTCATTGCTGTCATTCGAGACCAGAGACACTGACCTCGCACAGCTTGTGATGGTCGACGCCAAGCCGTCTATCCGAAAACAAATATTGCGCGAGCTGCAAATCATGAACGACTGTGACTCGCCGTACATTGTCGGATACTATGGGTGCTTTCCCGTGGACGTCCACGTCGGTATCGTCATGGAGTTTATGGACGCTGGGTGAGTTGTCGCTTAGAGTCCCTGCAGCCGAATGCTAACATCGCACAGGTCGCTGGACCACGTCTATAGGAAGAATGGTCCCATCGACATTAGTATCGTGGGCAAGTGTGCGGAAGCTGTGGTTCGTGGTTTAATGTACCTGTACGATGAGCATCGTATCATTCATCGAGGTGAGTCGATATAAGGTCCAGTTTCGATACCAATGCTAAGCCTGAACAGACATCAAACCTTCCAACATATTGGTCAACACCAAAGGCGAGGTCAAGATCTGTGACTTTGGTGTGTCGGGTGAATTAATTAACTCTATCGCCAACACCTTTGTCGGCACCAGTACCTACATGAGCGTTAGTGAACTCGTACACTCGGATGTGGCCCTGCTAATCTTGTTGTAGCCCGAACGTATCCAAGGGACAAACTATACCATCAAATCAGACATTTGGTCGCTCGCCATTTCCATCATCGAGCTCGCCACGGGCCGATTCCCCTTCTCAGACAATCCAGATGCGGATGATCTCTCACCGACTGCCTCTGACTTTGACCCTGACCCAACTCTCCCCCGCTCTGCTCAAAGACCTCAAGTTGACAAGAAGGAGCGTGTCAGTGTGGCTCCGGCATACAACATGTCAATTCTCGACTTGCTGCAATATATCGTCAACGAGCCTGCCCCGAAACTTGCTAGTCGTCGGTTCAAGTTCCCGGAGGAGGCAGTGGAGTGGGTTGATGATTGTCTGATCAAAGACCCCGATTTCCGACCTGGGCCCAAAGAGCTGTTGGTGAGCACATGTCTCGCACATGATTATGACAGACTGCTGACGATACCTGATAGGCAATGGACTGGGTAGCCAATTCAAAGGTGACCCAGGATGATCTCCGAACTTGGGCTCAGTCTTTGAAGAAAGACTAGCTTTAACCCCCGATGCTGCAATCATCACGATCATTCACGATGCGTCCCACATACCACACGTTGTCTGAAAAATGTTTATATAATGCCTCCCATAGCTCTCATGTCTGTACACAGCACTCTTTGACCTCTATACCCTCATCCTGATCGCCACAGATACCGTCCACTTTACCATAAGACCTTCAGAAGATCTGTCGTCCTCTGATAGGGAAGTCGGTATATATATTAGCATGGCCCGTTCTAATGTCCATTCATACATTTGTCACTAGCACGAGATGTGACCCGTTACACGTTCCAATATATACACAGGTCGGTCAAGGTACCGGATCAATGTTCGCTGTTTGGTCAAGGAACAACCGCTGAAGACAAGCTCGGCGAGACACGTGAGATGTGGACAAGGATAGGGAGCCAGATGCCACATGACTGTTGCCCCAAGACATCGTGGGTCTGACTCAAAGCTGAGACATTGGATGCTATGCATGTGTCGTCTTCTCACGCCCCCCCTAGATGACTCTGGATAACCTTGTATATCCTTCTATGAGCCTCCTCTTACTCCTTGTCGGCGATAGGGAAGTCCTTGCCGGTGAACTGGTATTATCATCAGCATGTGACTATGCAACGCAGACAAGACGCTCAGACATACCGACTTGAACCCGCTTCGGATAGCGTCGCTGGCCTTCTCAACGGTGCTGTTGTCAGCGTTGTTGTAGCCGAACTGCTTGAAAGCGGCAGAGACACCCTTGTCTGTCGTCGTGGTGAGCAGAAGATCTAGTCAGAGGCCTCAGAGCCTATGCGCCCACTCACCAAGGGCGTCCTGCTGGGTGCCGACTTGCTGAGCGTTGTCGTTGCTGGAGGCGGCAGCCTGGGGGTTCTCGGTAACGTGCTGGTTCTCGTTGGCGTCCATTGTGCTGGTGATGATGTTTGTAGTGAGGAGAAGAGAAGAGGGGATACGTGGAAGGCGGCGCTATATATACTCGTGGACGGTTGACGGTCGTCCAGTAAGACCGGAGATACGGCAACACAAGCTCAGGGCGCGCGTCATACCCCAAGAATATTACGGTCGATTTTTTGATCCCTTCCATTGTTCGGCCTTCTTACCTCTTATTTGGTCCTAATGAATGTGGTGATTGTGCCACCGTGCACTGTGCCCTTGAGCTATGGAAATGGGGTACTGCCAACAGCCATCCCGGTCTTGCTTTCTGTCGCAAACGCTCGCAGAGGTTCCTGAGCGCGGCCCTCCCAACCAACGATTGGACACCCGAAAAACTGATAACCCTATACCGAATGGTCCATATGGTACAGTGACGTTCTATCTGCCTCTCGAGTGATACAGCATAGCCCTTGGAACCGCATTGCTCTATCGTGAGGTTCAACAGCAGCGGGGATCATGGCAAGTGCGGTGCACCAGAAAAACAAACAGCATAGCAAACAACTCAATGATATCAATCAATGGTGCTCTTGGTTCAACTGGCCACGGAAGATGGGGTGTGATGGGCACTGAATTGACATGATGTCAGCTAGGTGTCAAGCGGCTACATACCCCCTCTCTTCATGAGAGATGTAATCAGATGTTCCAGATGCATGTACGTGGTTTACACTTGACCAACAGGGATGATGAAGCGAGACTGATAAGGTGAACTTTGATTGAGGCCAGAAGACAGCAGAGTCTGGGGGCTGAGAAGTGATACAAGGATACTGCCGCCCATGGGGGTAATGAACCATGGATCGTTTATGACCCATATATAGGTCCTACATAGGAAGATAGAGTCTCATTAAAAGTGGACGGTGCAAATGAGGATCATTATTGATCTACATGATCTGCCTGCCGGCATGCCTCAAATCTGCAGCCTGCAGCTTCTGCAGCCTTTGCGGCGGGATCTGCGGTGACGAGCCCCGAGGGGCTTCTCGATACGGCGAATTTGGTATAGATATAGTTTGGCGGGCGAGATTCTTCTTGGGGTCTGGAATCTTCTCGCCTCCCTCTCGACTCTCACATGCGCATAACGGCTTTTACGGCATTCTGCACCTGGGGTCGCAGTGCCTCATACCGAGATCTGCGTTCTTGTGCCGGTTGGCTGCCTGATCTTCCTTGTTTTTGTACGCTTTTCACCTTCTTCCGGTCACCAGTCCCTTAACTTCTTCTGCTCTCCTCCTTGAAAGCTTGAGCCAGCATTAACCCCGACTATAACATGCGGCAAGTCACTGAAATAATTGGCAGCACAGCCTCGTACGTACGCGTGTAAATGCACGAGATATACGACTACGAGCACATGGCACGGGAGGAAGCAAACTCGTGAAGTTTAACCACAGAGAAAGTATATAAGGATGACCAGGTGGGGACGAACATTTTCTCGCCAGCATTCTTTCCCAGTTCGCATCCGCCAGAAGATCCCTCGAGCGCACCGTATAGTCACCCTGTGAATCCAACTCGACTAGACAGCTGTGACTTCGCTCTCCTTTGCCCAGCCAGCCTCTGCGTCCTTACCACTACCATGTCTTCCACCCTCCCCACGGCGCTTCACGAGGCGTCTGACCCCATGCAGGTTACTTCTAAATGGGGTCTCCTTCGACCGGCTTACGGTCCCAAGCGTCTCGCTATCAAGAACCGTAAGATACCTGGCTTGCCAAAAGGACGAAGACGTTAACAAGAGAGTAGATTTTGTCGCCATGATTGGTGAATTTGTGGGAACCACTCTCTTCATCCTGTTCTGTCTCGGCGGCACACAGTAAGTTCATAGATCGTGCCGTGCAGCATGAGAGCGAAGACCAAGGCAGTGGCAATTTTGATGGCTGTAACGCTGCGCGCCACCCGTTGCCGGCAGGTTCTCGTCACTTCGACTTTCGTCATCTTTTCTTCTTGATGCGATCCCCTGTCTATCCGGGTCTATTCCTTTTGTCTATGGCAGACGCTAATCAGTGATGCAGCGTTGCTCTGCTATCTGCGACTTCCATCACTGGCGACGCTGACGCGCCCCTTAATACCTCTTCTCTGTAAGTCGATACAATGTTGTCAGGCCCATCACTAAGACCCTGCCAGCTTCTACATCGCCCTCTCTTTCGGCCTTTCCCTTACCGTCAACGTATGGATCTTCTTCCGCGTCAGTGGTGGATTGTTCAACCCTGCCGTCTCTCTCGGCATGACCCTCGCTGGCTGCTTGCCGCCCTTGCGAGGTGCTTTGCTGGCTGTGGCGCAAATCTTGGGTGGTATGACTGTGAGTAGAAGGAGGCCGACGCGCTTTGAGGATGGAAAGCTGATGGACGCGAAAGGGAGCTGCCATTGCCGACGCGTTGGTCCCTGGGCATCTTAACGCAGGCACTGCTCTGGGTGGTGGGGCCTCTATTGCCCAAGGTCTTTTCATTGAAGTCTTCCTCACAGCATTGTCAGTATCATTCTGGAGATGAAAAAAGTCCCTGCTGATGTCATCACAGGCTGATGCTCACCATCTTTTTCTTGGCTGCCGAAAAGCACAAGGCTACTTTCATGGCCCCTCTGGGTATTGGAATGGCCCTCTTTGTAAGTGTCTACAACATGAAAGCTCTTTTTCCTAGCTGACGTTTACCATAGATTGCCGAAATTGTCGGTGTCTACTTTACCGGTGGCTCTCTCAACCCAGCCCGTTCATTTGGCCCCGCCGTTGTCACTCACGACTTCCCCGGTTATCACTGGATCTACTGGGTTGGACCCTGCATCGGCTCTTCCCTCGCTGCAGGCTTCTACCGTTTCCTCAAGTGGATCGAATACGAGACTGTCCTTGGTCCCGAGGACCCCGTTGAGCAGCGACCTCTCTTGTCTCCCTCCGCGTCTCAAGCGCCCAGCAGCCCTGTCACGACCAAGAGCGAACAGGAGGCAGTATCCCACAACGAGGCTGTCCAATGGGCTACTAAGGGTCCTGGGGAGATGAAGGTCACTGGACCTGGTTTGGGCGATCTCGAGACCGACGGGCCCAGGGAAAACGTGAGTCGATAGTGCCCTCGAACTAGCCAAGAAGGCTGACCAATCCACAGCTGCACGACTTGAACCAGTACCCAGGCAGGATGAACGCTAGGCTGGAGAAGATCGAGAAGCTCTTGGCGCAGCTTGTCGAGACCAGGCGTTCAGGTGTGGAGACATCACCTGTGTAGATAGAGTAGAGCAACACCATCATCACGATAACAATCACGAATCATCATCGACATCAGCCACGGCATGGCACTATCTTCGGGGGGACATGGGACATGGGGTAATATACACGAATCGATATAATTAGTACACGAGCTTTCATATACGGATTGCATCTCTCATGGACCTATGTGCCACATCAGTAGATCAGCAGCTGCGTAATGATATATGCAATCTGCGGCATTATGAAACTTTGATACCCCAGGCCATATTGCCATAGAGACAACATCACCGTGAGCCATTATATCGCCGCCCTGCTCTTTCCTTCTGCCTCTCAAAATCATCTGCCCATGTGCCGCCAGAGACAGTGCTGGGGGTATCACCCCATTCAGAATAGCTCGGTGTCGGCTTGTCCTTCGAAAGCAACGCCAGAGCTCTTTCACGTTCCGACATGCCCTTTGTCTTGTTGGTCGAAGTTGATGGTTTGTGGTGTGAGGGCTGAGAGTGTCGATGGGAGGATAGCAGAGAGTTGATGGATGTCAGGGGGTCGTTGCGGTTCTTGGATCGAGCGTCCTTTCGTCTATATGAAAGTCAGCTTGCGGACTGGGGCCTATGAATGGGTGGCATACCGATCTCTTGCCCGTCTGAACTCGGCATCCTCCCCTACTTCCTTTTCGTCGTACCGTTTCATGTCCCTGTCCGTGTACCACGGTTTTGTCTCCTTGTCCGGCCGAGCAAGATAAACAGTGAAGGGATCCTTCTCTTGGTCCTTCTTCTTCTTTGCAATTTCCGCCAATGTGGGAGCTGGGCGCCCATTCGCTTCCTGCGATACCCATCAGCAACATATTCATGTGACGTGGTTGAGGACTCACATCTCTCTCCACATCCGCAAACAGATTGAAATGACCATCCTTCTCCCACTGCACCTCGTCTTCCTCTTCTTGCCGTTCTTTCCCCTTGGAACGTCTGGCGGTCTCGCTCGGAAAGTCGAAATCCAGCCTCTTCTTCTTCTTGCGCTCTCGCTTCTCTTCCTTTGCCTTCTTTTCCTTGTGTCGTTCTAGAAGTAATGAGGATGCCTCATTCGATTTCCTTGACGAGGTGGAAGGTAGATCGTCTTCTTGGGGGACCGTAGGAGAACCGGCCCGGCGACGGAGAGCCGTCAATCGTTGTTGGGATTCCTGAGAGATGTCAATATTTGTCGTCATCTTTGCATGCTCGACACTTACAGCGTCCACTCGATGCTGCTCCCGTTCTTGTTCTTCCTCCCTGGCCCGAGCTTCGTCTTCACGAACTCGTTGCTTGTTCTTCTCGAGGTAAGGATGATACGACTTGTGTCTGTCAGGCGACAGGCGTCAGTGGCAACGACGAGCGAGATTATGGCGCGAGACTCACTGGAGGATTTGTAGTCTCGGCATTGTGGTTGCTGTTGAGAAGTGAAGATGACACTAGAGAAGGAATGCCAGAATCTGATGAAAGAGTTCAGTTGGCCGGGTCGGTGGCCCCGGGCGCGGAGGTGGCCGATGAAGCGCGTCAAAAACAACAAAGACGCGAAGACCTTGTTCTGACATTATCAGTGGACTGACCTGCTTGCCTTTAATCCCACCGGGCCCACAACTAGCGCCAGCAAACACCGTTTCTCTGCGCGTGGGACCACCGACTTGGGCGCCATGAAAAACCAACAGCTCGTGAAACAACACTATGACTTGGGCCACAAGTATATGTCCAAGGGCGACTATGAGGAGGCATGGAAGAACTTTGACAAGGTACGCCATTCAAATACTTGCTCCCTCCTGCGCTTATTACTGGTCAAAGGCGATCAATTTTGGAGGTAAAAGCCTTGTCATTCTAGACTGCAAAGCCGCTGCCATGTCAAAGCTTCCCGAATGGAGGCAGAACGCTCTGCAAGTCACGAAAGAGATGGTATCCAAGTGGCCCAAAGATTTCAAGGTGGGGTACTCTGCAATGCGCACGAGATCGACTCTGACAAGTTTAGGGATATTATCGCCAAGCTTCCGTCTTGCATACGATGAAAGCCTACGATCCAGCGCTGGTAGCTGTCAAGAAGGCCGTTGAGCTCGGTCCTACCCAGGCGCAAAATGACCGCCAATTCCGAGCGGTCCAAGAACTCCGAGCCTCCATCACCATCGCCAAGTCTGAAAAAGACCGCTCCAAAGCTGCCAACGACAAGGCAGAGGCCGCCAAGCAGGCCGCCGAACGACATGCTGCTCGCAAAGCAAGAATCAACTATACACATTTGTTGTCACGGGATATCGTATTGACGATTGCCGAATCTGGCATGGTCGAGAACCCCAATTTCGTCTTTCGCATGGCAGGAGTTTGTAGGCAGTGGCGCGACATCCTGGTCGGGCAACAAGGACTGTGGGGTACTCTTGTATTGGGAAAGAAGAGAATGGATAAAAAGACGGAGGTCTACATTGAGAGATCGGGAGGGAGAATTCGAGAGATCAGGATCAGTGCTATCCTCAACAGTCAGCTCGCTGGCACGATATCTAGCCTACTCCGACCGCATTTGTCTCATGTCCACCGGCTCATCATCATCTCCACCGGCCACACAATCAGATATCTGATTCACCGGTGGACGGGTTGCTTGGAGAACCTTCAACATCTTCAGTTGGAAAATATCGACGGTATTGGTCAGGAAGAGAGCATCGTCCATGGGCTGGTGCCCCCTCGTGCGACCTCTCTCACTCATATCGAGATCACAGGCTATCAATACGCTAGTGCGATATGCCCTGGTTATCATTTCGACTTTCTTCAGACTGGGCTTCTGAAGCCGTCCGACAAGCAGAATGTTTTGACCAACGTCAAGACCCTCATTCTGCGTAACTGTGTATTCAACAGTGCGGGCTCGAGGGGCGTCATGCACCTCGAGATGCTTCTCGGGCACTTCCCCAATGTGGAAACGGTCGAGCTGTCGGACTTGCGTGATCTAGCCATGCCAGCACCTGACTGGGAACCCTACACCCCAGAGCTTCCCTTCCTTCGATCATACTCGATCAACAATACGTACGCCAACATCTGGGCCAACATCAGTACACCAGCTCTGCGTGATACATCTCTCCCATCTCACCGTCTCTCGCCATTGTCGAGATTCTTGCAGACGCCGGGTCTGGCCTCGGCGCTGTCCTCCATTCGTGTTCTGGACATTAGCGAGTCACCAGCTACAGACCAAGATCTGCTCAAGGCTCTTGCCTGTCTACCCGCCCTCGAGTTCTTGAACGTGACCGGCTGTCCCCTCTCCAACACCTTTATAGAAGGCCTTGTGAGAAAGACTGGAGACAAGAAGGAAACAGTCTTGCCGAAGTTGACTGCTTTGAGCATCGCGAGGAATGACCAGATCACCGGAGGGCCTGTGTTGCGTCTGGTGAGGAGTAGGTATCCGGGTGAAAACGCAGGAAAGGCTGGAGGGTCTCAGCAGGCAAAGTCCATGGGGTCGGCCTTCAAGCCTGCGAAATCCGTCTTTGGACGTCCAACCACGCGAGCTCCTGCCCCGACTCCTACTCCCTCCTCCGCTCCACCAAAAACGTCTCAGGTTCCAGAAGACCTTCCACGTATCACCTGGCTCAATATAGACCACTGCAACTTGATCGAACCCTCCGTCATCTCCCATTTGCGAGAACGCGTCAGGTTCGTGTCGAACGCCTTTGGGCAGCAGATCAACAAAGATAGGATCAGGGGCAAGGGAAAGTGGAGGTGGGATATGAGTGGAGAGATGGGGGCGTGCAAGAGACAAAAGGAGCCGTGTGGGGTCAGAAAGGTGCCAGGTATGTGCGCGAGAACGTCTTGAGTGATGGCTGACTCGGTACAGGTACGAAAGACCAGTGGTATGTCTACCACACTTGCGAGCAAGAGGACAAAGATGCAGAAAGAGGATGGGTGAGGGATGTAGTGGGGTGATCTCTTTCATGTATCTATGTAGATGTATTATAGTAAAGTATCGACCAGGATGTAAGCCATCGCTCAACCTCGGGCTGTGGCCGTCGCCGCCTTTGTGCTTTCCGGCGCGCGCATCCCGCTGTCTCTTTTGTCCTCCTCGCCCATGCCCCCCTATCCACGATGCCCCTCCTCGCCCGCCTAGGAAACAGGGCATCCCTCCTCCTCCACCATTTCGTCTACTCCTTCCCCTCCAGGCAGCCCGCCCACCCCCACACCGATGACGCCACCGACGGCCTCCCTACCATCAGGGCATCCGACTATGAAGACTCGGGCGAGAACGAGGCGTTGCAGGAGAGCATGGGGCCGCTTAGCTTTGCTGGGAGTGGCTACGGTATCACCCTCATCCTCATGGTAAGTTGTATGCCGAATCGGACATGCGTTGCTAAGCTCGGCGCGTAGATGATCCTCCTCAACCGCATTCACCATATCGTCCGCAGACCTCGGCAGACGCCAGTCATACAGCCGAGTCAAGGCGGGTCTCGCTATCAACAGCTGCGCCGCCGTGTCCAAATAGCCCTTACCCACCCCGATACCCCACTGTATATTCGTGTCCCCGGCGTTATCGCCCTCCTTCGGTCTTGGTTCTTGTTCACCATTGTCTTGCTGCAAGTCGGGGGCTATTGGCCAAATGTAGAGCAGCCTGGAAAAACTGCGATCTGGAGGAGTGCTGTCGGGGGAGTGGGAAGATGGGCAGGGAATATGGAGATGGAGGTGGTGTGCTGGCAGGTATTTGTCGGCGTCTGCATCGGCTTGGTGTGCAGTGGTATAGCGAATGGCCTGGACACTGTGTACGTGTCTCTTTCTCAGCTCGGATCACGCTGATATCCTGTAGGAGAAGAAGAGATGTAGCTGCAGGTTTCAACCTCTTTGGCTACAGTTTCTTGTTGCATCTCTATTCGTCTCCCTTCACCCACAAGCGCACCCCCGGGCCCCATTCACAAGGTCGCCCGGATGTTCATGCTCTGTTTCAAATGTGGCTGAGTCTTGGCGAGGTACGTGATGTGTAAATCACTGAAAAGGCTGCTGACAATCCACAGTTGACTTGGCTGCAGACGTTTGAATTGTCCAGGACCATGCGAAGCAACGTCCTCCTCCCCACCTCGGTCTGTGGTATACTAGGTCTGGGACATTTCATCTACGTTTTGGCCCGCGCCCCCTTACGATTCCCGAGTTTCACATTCCTGACTCATATGGTGAGTCCGAGCTGGTCATTCGTACGTATATCAGATCCTAATCTGACCAATACTCATATTCCCCTCAGCTCGCCCTCTTCCTCTCCGTCATTATTGTCTTTACTGCCGTCCTCAAAGCCATCACCTTGCTCTTTACTGTCGGCAAGATTCCATCTCTCGGCGCCTTGTTTCCTCACGAAGGAGTCGTGCCCCAGCGCGAAGATGACTTTGGTGTCGCCCTGCTCAAGATCGGCACTGCCTGCATCGAGGCTACCGCACTGACTGGTCTTCGCAACGAGCTTGCCGCAGTCGACGAGCCCAGGGCGCCCTGGGTAGAGATCATGACGTCTGGCAGCGATTTCCACCGTGCCATGCTTCGCGGTATCGATACCCCGGGATTCAGCACCGAGATTACAGATATCAAGGTATCCGAGATTGAAGATCCCAATAGCGATGCCAGTCCTCACTCTCGCGCGCTCGCCAAATTTGTCAAGACGTGCCGCAATGCCATCCTCTCGTCCGCCATCGCTCTTTTGTTATCTACGCGGTTCGGCCGTAAAGCGCTGAGGGTGTACAAGAAGGCCTGGCGGGCGAGATGGTACTATGGACCTCGTTCTTGGCGCTTCTGGCGTCGCGAATCATGGACAGAACCGCCCCAGTATGCCGAATTGCGGCGCGTCCGCGAGAGGCTGGATGAGAATGATCAGGCGCGTCGAGAACTGCGGTCGATGGTGACTATGCTGGATACGTGCAAGGAGCAGGTGAAGGGGGATGAGGCGATCCGGGCGCGGGCTACGGGTGCGAATGTGCGGCCTGGAGGCTCGAGCGTGGAGAGGAGAGGTGCGGGGAAGAGCGAGATGATGCCCTATGGGCAGTATCTCTTGGAAGATGTGGAAGATGAGATTGAAGATGATGGCGAGTGGACGCAACAAGTGGAAGAGTCGGATGACGAGTCGGAGACTGCCAGTCAAGCCACCAACAGCGAGTGGGGCGAGGACGACTCTGGCGACGAAACAGAGGTGGAGGAGTCGAGAAAGGGCGCAATCTATCGCGACCTCATCATCACCGAGCTGGAAGACGATGACGAGTCTCACGCCGAACTGCAACCCGTCCTCCTCGCGCATCTCACATCGCGCAACGGCACGCCCCTTACCCGGCGTCAATACTCGGCACTGTTCAACAATCCCACATCCCCGACGCGTGGGGGAAGAGGACCCGAGATGAGCTATGAGGGAGCTATGAGCTTTAGGGGCGTAGCGGCGGAGAGGAGGGAGATGATGGATGGGAAGCGGGATGAGGAGGAGCAAGAGACGAGGATGGCGTGTGTGGTGTGCATGGTCAGTACTAGGGATACGATCCTGTGGCCTTGCCGGTAAGTCTTTGTGCGTAAGATTGGGACGTGTGGCTGATAAGGCGAGTAGATGTCTGGCGCTTTGTAATGATTGCAGGGAGAGTCTGGCCAGTCGGCTGACTGCAGATGACCAGATGTGCCCGTAAGTATAATCTGATATCATCAAGTGTACCACTGACGCGCTTTTGTGTATCATAGCTGTTGTCGAAAGAAGTGAGTACCCGTCTTTGGCCCCAATGGACAACGCGCTGATATCTTTTGCAGGGTGGAAGGCTACAGCAGGATCTATATCCCATGAGACTGCATTCCTCGGCGATTCTTGGATCTTGGCTCTTTTTGTTTGTTTATACATAATCTCCCAGATCAGGATGTACTAGTACTTCGTTCTGGGCCTCGGGGTGTGTCGCTGCGGCTCGCCGTGTCGGGCAGTATCCCACGGCAAGCTACATCCCGGACAATCCCTCAAGTCTATCATCGGCTGATAAGCTTGGCGGGCGGGCGGGCGGGTGTCGGGCAAGGATGTCGGGCAAGATGCAAGATCGAGATCTACGTTAAGAGGTCGGTGGATAACCTTGCGGGTTTTGACCAATCAGAACCGCGCAAATTCAATGCTTGCATAGCGAAACCAATCCTTCCTTTGCGAGGTCTAGACATAAACGAGAGTTTCATAATGCAGACATGCGTTGGTTTTGCTAATGGGAGACTATGTTTTTGTGGGTTTTTTCGTCGTCTATGATCTATGATGCAAAAACCTAAACAAAACGACCAGAAGCAAAAAGCGTGGGGAGGAAAAAGAGAGAAACAATGATATCCTATCGATACAAAACTAGACCCTAATGACAGATCTATTCCTCACCCTGGGCCCTCCTCTTGGCAGCGTTACCAGCGAGCGCCTTTCTAAAGTTGTCGAGGGTGACACCACCAGAGCCAGACTGAGAGGCTCTTCGGTGGAACTCGAGCTCGGCTCGCTTCTCTCCATCCGCATCGGGGGACCCGGGCCTGGAGGCAGCAGGCGAGCCAACGACAGAGTCGTTGCCCGTAAGCTCATCGCTAGCCTTGGAGATGGCCTGGTTGTTCTTAAAGTTGGGGCGGTCCTGGCCGACACCCGAGAACGAGTTGGCCCTCGACATGGCGGGGGTGATGACGGGGGTGACGTCGGGGGTGGCGCGGGGCGCGTATCGGTCGACGGGCTGCTCGATGATGAGGTTGAAGGTGTTGGTGGCGGTGTCCCAGGTGGCCTTGACGTGGGAGAGGTCGTCGACGAGGAAGTCGGGGTTTTCCTTTTCGAGCTCGTGGCGCTCGTGGGAAGTGCACGTGGCGAGGACAAGGGCACCGGAAGCCTTACCGGATCGGATACCGGTGGGGGCGTCCTCGACGACGAGGGCTGGGCGACGTCAGCAACAGTTGGAAAAAGGGTGTGGAGCACTTACACTCGAAAGGAGAGGCGTTGCAGCCCGAAGCACCAAGGAGGTAGGGGTCGGGGAAAGGCTTTCCTCGGGTGACAGAGTCGGCAGTGACAAAGACCTTGGGGGTGGTCAAGCCAGCGATGGGGATAGCCTTACCGGCGTAAAAGTAGGTTGCTAGGGGGCGCGCGCGTTAGTACGTGATGGTACCGGGATCATTTTTTTGTTTGACGTCACATACAAGAGGTGCAGATGGCCCACTTTTCCTCGCCGTCGCGCTTGTCGTTGTCGGCGCTGAGCTGGGTGAGGAGGTTCTTGACACCGGGGAGGACCTCGATACCGGCACCGCTGCTGCCGCTCTTGGCGAGCTCCTCGGCGGCGTTGAGAATGGCAGTCTCGAATCGGATGACTTCCGAGGCAAGGAGCTCGGGGTCGGAGATCTTGCACCACTTTTTGAGGACATCGATGGTTCGCATACCGTGGGCGGCTGGGGCGGGGTCAGTTTCAGAGTGAGGAGTGAAAGGGAGCAACGTACACCTGAGAATGTCGTCGAGGTCGAGGGGGTAGGTCTCGGCAAAGAGGTTCCAGGCCTTGACGACGGCACCGGACGAGTTGATGAGGGTACCGTCCATGTCGAAGAGGACGGACTCGACGTTGATGGAGACGATGTGGGGGTCGGTGGCCGGGGTCATCTGGCCGGAGGCGAGGGAGGGGTTGGCGAAGGAGCCGCGGCGGGAGGGGGCGGCGGAGGGGGGCTGGGAGGTGGAGGGGGAGGGGAGGCCAGAGATAGTGACTTCCGAGGCAAGGAGCTCGGGGTCGGAGATCTTGCACCACTTTTTGAGGACATCGATGGTTCGCATACCGTGGGCGGCTGGGGCGGGGTCAGTTTCAGAGTGAGGAGTGAAAGGGAGCAACGTACACCTGAGAATGTCGTCGAGGTCGAGGGGGTAGGTCTCGGCAAAGAGGTTCCAGGCCTTGACGACGGCACCGGACGAGTTGATGAGGGTACCGTCCATGTCGAAGAGGACGGACTCGACGTTGATGGAGACGATGTGGGGGTCGGTGGCCGGGGTCATCTGGCCGGAGGCGAGGGAGGGGTTGGCGAAGGAGCCGCGGCGGGAGGGGGCGGCGGAGGGGGGCTGGGAGGTGGAGGGGGAGGGGAGGGCAGACATGGTGAAGGCATCCTTGGTGAAGACAGACATGGTGGGCAGATGGAGATGTGGATGAGGAATCGCGGGAAAAAGAGGAATGGAAGAGGGTGCAAGCGACGATTATAACGCCCAATACAACGCCCAATATGACGCACGGGGCGCCTTTTCCCGCCCACTTTCGCCCGCCCACGCGAGGCCTCCAACCGAGCTGGGCGAGAAAGCCCGATCCGGGCAGAGGGTGGAGAGCGACGTGACATCACGGGCACGTGGCAGGGGGTGTGGCAGATGCAGGTGGTGATGGGAGATGGGTGATGGATGGGCTGTATGCATGGACAGAGAGCAGCATGCACCCCAGTCCCCCCCCTCCCCCCCGTAGCGGGCGACAAACAACCCCGTCTCGCTCAGGGTGTCCGCTTAAAGGCCCTATCAAGGACCACCCCAGAATGGCAGACGGAACCAGATGCAATGACGCATGCATGTCGCTAACGGGCCACTCTTTATATCCCATCTCTTTCTCTTTCTATTCCCTATACATCCCTGTACTCACCATGTCCGCCAACCAAGTCACCCAGCAGCTCGACGACCTCGACATCGCCTCCACCGTCACCACCCCTGGTACGCACCCCCCTGATTCTCTATCTCCCGCGCTAACCGCACCCAGCCGTCACCCGCCCCTCCTCCCCCGCTCCCCCCAGCCTGCCCCGCTCTCCCCTCCCCAGCGGCAAGCACAAGATCGCCATCATCGGCTCTGGCTCCTGGGGAACCGCCCTCGCCAAGATTGCTGCCGAGAATGCCTGGAAACGCAAGGACGACTTCCACTCCGAAGTCCGCATGTGGGTCCGTGAAAAGATTGTGCGTAACCTCTACTACAACACATAAACCCACCCACTAACCATACGCTAGGTCGACGGCAAGCCCCTCACCCAGGTCATCAACCGAACCCACCTCAACTCGCGATACCTCCCCGACGTCCCTCTTCCCCGCAACCTCGTCGCCGTGCCTCACTTGAAGGATGTCGTCAAGGATGCCACCCTCATCGTCTTTGTCGTCCCCCACCAGTTCCTCCACACTGTGCTCAACGAGCTCTCCAGGCCCGGTATCCTCACCCCCGGCGCCATGGCCGTCAGCGCCATCAAGGGTGTCGAGGTCAACGGTACCGACATCCAGACCTTTGCCAGCTTGATCACTGCCAAGGTCGGCCTCCCCTGCTCTGCCTTGAGCGGTGCCAACATTGCTCTTGAAGGTATGTATTTTGACTTTTGACACGTGATTTTTTTCGGGAAAAATTCTGACGTCACTGGTCAGTTGCCTTGGGCCAATTCTGTGAAACCACCATCGGATGCCCTACCCACGAAGAGGTCTTGCTCTGGCACGCCGTCTTCAACGCCCCTACTTTCCGAGTGGCCGCCGTTGAAGATGTCAGCGGTGTCTCGCTTGCTGGTGCGCTCAAAAACATTGTCGCCCTGGCTGCGGGTATCGTCGACGGTCTCGGCTATGGCGGCAACACCAAGGCTGCCATTATGCGAATCGGTCTGAAGGAGATGACCGAGTTTTGTTTGGAATTCTTTGAGGGTTCCAAGCGAGAGACGTGAGTCTCCTATCTTAACGTGGAACCATACTAACATTTGGTAGCTTCTCCAACGAGTCTGCCGGTGTCGCCGACCTTACCGTCACCTGCTACTCTGGCCGAAACCGCAAGTGTGCCGAAGAGTTTGCCAAGACTGGCGCTCCCTTTGACTACATCGAGAAGAAGCTCCTCAACGGCCAAAAGCTCCAGGGTACCGCCACCGCCGAGGAAGTCAACGCCTTCCTCGTCGCCCGAAAGCGTGCGCACGCCTACCCCTTGTTTGAAAAGGTCTACAAGATTGCCTTTGAGGGCATGCCCCCCAAGAACCTCGTCGTGGGTCTCTAAGATGGCTGCGTGTGAAGAGTTGGAAAAAGTTGGAGAATCACTGTGTAGCCATTTTATCTCCCACCCGGTTCAACGGGACGTGCAGCCATTAGACAATCGAATAGAGTTTCCATAGATCCACCCCCCAATAAATACAAAAAACATTTTCCCCCTCATTGTCAAGCACAAACGTCCTCTTTACGTAGCATTTTTTCTTTTCCCTTGTCGAATTATCCATAGCAAGTGCGGTACGACCACTGGAATGCGACTCTTTTCATCATGCCAACGGATGACACGCGTGGTGCGCTTGCGGCTACATGGTCCGGTGACTTTTGTAATGGAGGATGATTTGATTAGCCTGAAATGGATCTGATTAGATTTTTTGGTGTTTGTTTCGGTGTCTAAATCTTCTCTTCTCTTACTCCTCGCCACCTTCTTCATCTCAGCGACGAGGCCATGGACACCCCCCGTGCCCCAGACATCCTCCGCTACGACCCAGACCTCCCCCTCGACGTCCTCTGCAACGTCGTCGCCCTCGTCCCACCCCCCTTCTACGCCGCGCCCCCGCCCCTCGAGCCCTCCCCCACCCCCCCAAACGAGCTCATCGCCAACCTCGACCCCTCCCCGCACCCTGCCCAGACAGACGGCCAGTGCATCTCCGCCCTCACCCGCGCCTCGTCCTGCCTGCTCGAAGCCGCCCGCCCGTGGCTCTGGGAACACGTCGATGTCAAAGGCGGCAGGGGCTGGCTCGCTATTGTCAATGCGCTGACGGAGGAGGTCATCGAGCAGGATGTGGAGCAGCTGACGCCGCTGGGCGGGTCCGTGGGCGGGGGGTCAGATGGGACAGGCAGTGGCGGGCAGACACCGGTCACGGGGCCGGAAGCACTGAGGCACCCTGGCGCCATCGCAGCTCAGAGCATGCAGGCGTATGCGTCGCCACCCAGCTCGGCAACCATGCCTTTCCCTGTCAACAGCTCGGCAGGGCCGATGATGGCCTCGGGCTTTTCGTCGAGCCCGCCTCAGCCGTCGCATATCCACCAGCTGCTCACCCCGCCCACGTCGCGCACGTCGTCCCCTGCCCCGGGGCAGCAGCCCAACAGCCCAGCCGTCTCCGTCTCTGGCTCCGGCTCTGATCGGGCAGAACACAGTCCAAGCCCGGGGCCGTCGAGTATCTCGTCAGCGACGAGGACAAAGCTCCGTGGACGTTCGCGCTCGCCACGGCGAACGGTCGGATTCGAAACGCAAGGTATCCACGCCGTCCTCGAGCGAAGCCGGTCAGCCTCGGACGGCTCGCAGCGTCCGCCAGGGGGTAATACGCGCGGGTTTTTGCACCGGCGGACCAGTCTGTCCAGGTCGCGGACGTGGCACGACTCGCCGGGGGATGATGAAGAGGAAGAAGAGGATGACGAGATTATGCCGCTGGTGACGCCGCCAGTCAAGCCCCCGAAGACGGGTGTCATTACGCCTAGAGTCACGCCGGAGGACAGGGAGAATGCGAATCCAGAGCTGTTGCCGCCCCCGGGGCCGTACATCAGGCATCTCAGCTTTACCAATTTTCGGACCATCGGGGCGAGGAGGAGCCAGGAGGAGGCGGTCAAGTATAGATTCGTGACAGCGGGGCGATTGGAGGGTGTCATAAAGGTATGTTTCGATTATTCGTACTGAACTTTTACTGACGTTTGGTAGAATGCGCCAAATCTGGTGACACTCTGCATGACAGAGTATGTCGATTCATCTCTAGCCTACCCTGTCCTCGAAGAGATCTTTTTCCGTGGTTCCCGCAAGCCACGCTACCACTCTCCCACCATCAACCGCGCCCGTTCCCTCTCTATCGGCCCCACCCCGTCCGTGGCGTCCACCACACACGACCAGCTCGACCCGCCACGTCCCGAGTATGTCCCATACGAAGACGAGACGGAGGACCAAAAGTGGAAACGGCGTGAACTGTTTACGCCCCTCGAAGCGCTCGACTTGACGGGCTGTGTCAGTGTCAACTTTACGCAGGGGATGCAAAAGTTTTACGATACGTGGTTGGCGTTGGATGACGAGTCGGATGACGAGGAAGAGGAGCGCGGTAGAGGGAGATGGAAGGGGAGCAGGAGGGGGAGGACGGGGCATTCGCCGGATGCTACAGAGGATGAGAGCGACCATCACAGTCACTCGGTTTCTCGAGACAGGCATGGAGAGAGGCACAACTATAGGCGTCCGCCGAGGTTTAGGCACATGCGCCGTCTCTGCCTTCGCATGTGTACATCCCTCGACTCGCAGATCGTGGCGTCGCTTGTATGGTCGTTCCCTTGCTTGACCCACCTCGATCTGTCCAACACCAAAGTCCCCGACGAGCTGCTCAGCCACCTCACCGACCACTGCCCGCGCTCCTTCCGCCTCACTTCATTGAGCTTGGCGCGTTGCCCAAAGCTCAACTCGTATGCGGTCGCAGACTTTTTGTGCAGGTCGCCTGCCGTGCGCGACTTGGTCGACTTGAACTTGTACGTCAACCCGACTCAGGGGAACGCGCTCGAGTCGGATGCTCTCATGCGGCTCATCACCGAGGCGCCTTGTATGCGTACCGGCAGGCTGAGGTACTTGGACCTTTCCTCGGCCAAGTTTACCCCGGCGCACCTGGCGGCGGACGTATTCCCATACCAGCCCAGTCTCGTCTCGCTCGGCCTGTCACACGTGCCCACCCTGGCTTTACCTCCCATCGCCGACTTTTTGCTAAACGTCGCGCCCAATGTCGAGATTCTCACCCTCGTTGGCACCGCCACCACGTCCTCCCTCGACCCATCCCGCTCTTCCCTCCAAATTACCCTCGAGCTCCATGCCCGGCTCATCAACCCGCTCACCACCCTCCCCTTCTCCCTCGCCAGCTTGTACCTCACCCCAGGCAGCTCGGCGACCGACTACAACCCCGGGCCTACCAGGCTGAGGGTGGTCGAGCTCATGGGCCCCATCAGGCGAAGTATCGCGCCGGACGGCAAAGGAGAGTGGAAGGTGATCAAGAGTAAAGGCGGGAGGGGCTGGTATGTCGATGTCTCGGCAGGCTGGCGGCCTGTACCCCGTATGCCTGCGTCGCCTACATCAGAGACGGGCTTTGAGCAAGCGTCGAGCAACGAGACGGAGATGGAGATGCAGTTTGTGAGGCATTTGCCAAAGGGTACAGAGCATAGGGATTGGCTCACGAAATTGAGTGATGCCACTGGGAGGGTCGGGAGTACGATCGGGTGGCATGCGAAAAAGATGGAGGTTGTCAGAGGGTTTGGGATGATGGGGAGGGAGGAGGGGATGGCGGGAGCTGGAGCATTTGCATTCGAAGAGTAGCCTTGTTGTCTACACATACTTGCCAATATCACCATAAACCGTTCACGTACATAATGTCTCTAGTAATCATGTCATGTTTTATAATGATACACTGCTGTTGTACTCATGTCTAGTGCTACTTGCATATGCGGAGCACGTGGACACGGCTACTGTTCCAGGATGTCAGGCCATTCGTTACCGTTGTACTAGTACACTAAGCCAAATGCTCTTTCCATGACAGCCAGTCGATCCTTCCTCTCCCGCTTCTGGGCTTGGCGGGCGGGTCGAGCTTGAACAGATGCCTCATGGTGGGCCGGCCGTGTGGACAATTCTATACGTCGTTAGCATTGTCTCCACAATGGCCAATATGACAAGTTACCCATGGTTGATCGATAGTGGCCATGTTGCGCAACAGTTGCGACATTTGGTTCTTGGTGAGAGCCTTGCCGATCATTACACTCTTTCGGCAAGCTCGGCTTGCAAACATGGCTCGCGCTTTGCTGCATCTGACCATCTGACCGGAAGGTCTGGAATTGTCGGAAAGCAGGTGCAAAAGTTGCTCCAGATCTGGATACAGTCAGCTTCCAGTTCCTGCGAGTATAGCGTACATACCTCTAAAGTCGAATGTGGTGTCCTTGCTGACCGGCATAGCTTTCAGACTGATTCGCTCCCCGCGGCCTGCGGGTTTATCTTCGTCAACAAGTACATCAAAGCCATTAGCGTTGAGTATAGGCATGTTTTCCATGGCCACGATCTCGTCGCTAGCCGTGAGCTGCAATGGTCGAGGTCTACAGATATCAGCCATTGTCCCGAGCGATATCTTTGGACTCACCTGATCAGAGCCTGGCCCTTGATCTTGGTAGTCTGCTGCAAAGTCTCAAAGTTGTACTTTTCGTCCGATGCGTGCTGGTCAATGATGAACAAGTCATCGGTCCGCTTCCCCTTCTCATGCTTCCCTATCAGGCGCGCGATGATGAAACCCTTGTTGTACTGCCCCAACACCTGCATCTTTTCAAAGTCTTCTTTAGAGATGACTCTGGAGAGTGCTTCTTCTGCGAGCTCGGCATCTTTGTTGGCTATACCAGCAGCATTGGCCAGGCCGCCTTGCGTGACTGCGGTGAAAGCGTCGCGTGACGCTTTGACGGTGTCTCTACTTGTGCGTTTGGCGTTGATTCGAGCACGAAGACGGGAGACGTCGAAGCGCATGGTGACTTCGCCTTGCGGAGCCGTAGAGATGATCTCGTCTCGATATGCGCCACTTGACTTTTGACTTTTGGCCAGGCTGGGTCTGGACGTGGATGGCGGTCGAGGTGATTCTCTCAAGGGCTGCGGCGAGTCTGCCTCGTCGTCAGAGGCTTGTGTTTCTATCATCTCTTTGGATAGCTGTGGAGACGACTCGGACTCGCGTCTTCGGCGACGTGAGGAGGGCTTTTGCTGGGGAGGTGGCATTGGAACGGGTGATAAACGTTTGGACGATCGCCGAAAAGGAAGAGCAGAGGTACTCGCCACGGGGCTTTCGTCTTCAAACACAGGTTGACTTCTCCTAGAAGTGGCTTTTGGTTGTGAGATCTCGGTTTCACTATCCACCTCGATCGCCTGAGGCTCGTCTTCTTCTACATCTACCGCTGGCAGTTCCTCATCCTGGTCCTCGGCGGTTAGCACTTCTGGCTCGCCTTCACTCTCTTCTGGCATTACCTCATCCTCGTCTTCAACTTCGATACGATCTCCTTGCTCCTTGGCATCATCCGCTTCAGACACGTTTCCTTCGCCGGCGATCCCCTCCTCATGGTCATCGTCGGCACCACCCTCATCTGCCTCCTCTTCGCTCGCAGCTCTGACGACTGGCCTTTGTCTGGCATAGGCCGTCAACTTTTCCCTCAAGTTCAATCTCGTCTCTTTTGCGTCCAACCGTCTACCTTTGCCAGCGCTCGTGGTCTGAGACGCCTTCTTCTCGGGACTCCACGACGCTTGCGATGTGTTCAGAGTTTGCTGGACGACTCTTGAAGCCCGTGAAGGAGTAGAGGACGAAGTGGGGGCTCGGCGAGATGATGATGAAACAAGTGTTGGTGAAGTTGCAATCGGAGTCATGGTGATCTCCATAGAGTCGTCTTCGTCAGCCTCGGTGTCGGGTGCCGCATTCACGACAGATCGGGAAGCTCGGCGACTTGATGGTATCGAAGCAGACGCCTGCTTTTGCGTCACTGGCTTCGATTCGCCCTGACCCTCGTCGACCGGTGTTTGCGAGCGAGACTGATCCTCGTCGTCCTTATCCTGGCTTTCCTCCTCCGCGGCGACCGGAGCCTGCTCCTTGCCCAAAGAGAGTTGCGATTGGACGTGTCGAATGCTCTTCACCGTTTGTGTCGCACCTTCTACAGTAAAGGTGTTTCTAGCGGGCTGGAAGAAGGCATCGAGAGCCGCCTGGTATACGTTTCAGCTCTTGGCACCCATATGATCATTGACAATTACCTTGAGCGATTCGATGAGCCTATCCTCACTGTGCACAAAGATCGTCCTTTTGTCGGGTGATACGTTGATGTCGACGCTTTCTGAGTGATTTCAGTATATACCGGCTACAATGTTGCAGGAACATACGGGGTGGGATCTGGAAATCGAGAATGACCAGGGGCAACTGGTTGGTATTGAAACTCTTGTAAACTTCATTGACGGCCTTGGCCACAGAGTTGAGGTTACATGGCCGACCATTGATGTAATAGAATTGTCGATCCGCACTGGACCGACCTTGACCCCATTGGGCCGAGGATATCAGACCTCGGACCTTGACGGTCTGCGATCTAAGCCAGAGTCAGCAAGCGTTGGCAGCGCATCAGATTCCCGTACTTTTCAGTGATACCCTCCCGCCGAGCCATGTTCTTGTCTATCTCAACTTCCAGGTCAAGATCCACGTCATTCACTCCCTCCAATGCTCTCGGTCCCCATACCGCCCCCACTGCTGACCGTAAAGACCCTTTCCCGTCGGTGGCCAGTTGCGTGTTGCGTTTGCTATCAACGTTTAGAAAACGTACTTGACGGACGCTGCCACTCACGATGAACGACCACCTCCAATTATCTCGACCTTTAAACGAACGCCTGTCCTCCCGTCCTTCAGAGAAACGGAAGCTGGGACGAGGGCGTAGGCCGTCAACAGCGTGAGCGCTTTGGCCACTTCCTTCTTGACGTTCCTCTCGAATTCTTTTCTGCGGACCGCAAGAGGTGTGAGAAGACCAGTGAGAATAACAGTCGTGCCACGCTACAGAAGCACATTCAGCTTGCTTCCGACTGAAGAAGGACGAACACTGACCGTCCGAGCCGTCCGTCCTGAATGATCCACTACCTTGCCATCCTTGCCCAGCTCGAGAACGGCCGCCATAGGCAAGAGCTCCTTGGTGGCTGTGATGATCTTGACTGAGGAGCAAAGAGAACAGAGCGCGGACAGAGCCTCTCCACGAAAGCCGAATGTGGTGACCTTGTACAGCTCCTCCAAGGATGGCAGCTTCGACGTATGGTGTCGCATACCTACAGAACAGATTAGTATTATACTCAATCACAAGTTGAAAGGCATACCAATGCTCTCCCAGTCGGCCTCTGCTATGCCCGAGCCATTATCCCAGACTTCGATGGTATCCAGCCCGTTGTCCTTGATCTTGACATCTGAGAAACGTATCAGCTTGCCGAAGATTTTTGCACAGTTAAGGACGCTCACCAACAGAGGTAGCCCCTGCGTCCAAGCTGTTCTCTACCAGTTCTTTGATGGCCCCCTGCAAATTCTGAATGACCTGGCCGGAGTGAATATGGTGGATGGAGGCTTTGTCGATGGCTACGGCCTGTGAGTATCAGCTGGCTATGTATAGCCACTCACCCTTGATAGTGCCGCTCATGGTACAAGAAACCTGACACAAGATACCTAATGGTTATGTTGTTTTGACCGTACTACACTCATCGGCACGAATGAAATCGAACATCAGGATGAGAATACGCGTTTCGGCGACAGACGCGTCGCGTCTAGCATCCGGTCATGACTTTTTGCTGCTGAACACCTGAGGAGTGAGGAGCATCCAAGTCCCGAGACAGTCATTCGTTCGCGATGCGAGAAAGATTAACACAGCTATTGCATTTGGTTTATACACAATGTTTAATGATGATTACAACGGTCCAAGAGGTCCCACATTATCGTCCGCCTTCTGTTCCTTCTTCTCCTCCGCCTTCTTTTCCCGCTCCCGCGTTGCATCGTACTGACTGGTCTCGAGGCCCCCCAAAGGCTCCGAGTTGAACCCAGAGTTGATCTGGAAGCCCATAGTAGGCTCCTCCGTGGGCTTCAATGCCACTGGAGGCTCATCTTTGGGCACAGGCAGCGGCTTGTCGGCTACCTCCATCCGCTCGATCTCGTCTCTCATCTTGGCAACCTTATACGTATGCTCCCCGGACGGTTCAGCCTGTGTGCGCGAAGGCCCAGCTTCCGGCTGAGGTTGAGAGGGGAAGGAGGTGGGGGGCTGGTTGGGGTGCGCGTCGATCTCACGGATGGCTGCCTGAGCTGCCTTCCACGCTTCAAGATTCTGTTTGCACCAGTCTCTGTGGACGGTGGACAAGTTGATCGTGAGCTGGCGCATGTCAGCCACCTTTTGGCGCTGGAATCGATCGAGGTCTGCCTGGAGGGTCATGGAGGCATACTTCAGATCCTGCGCGGCTGCGTGGTAAGAGTCTTCGAGCTGATTATAGGTCAGTCGTTGCTTCGCCAGAAGTGAGATGACCTACTTGACTGATATTATCCCTTGTCTTCGCAATGTTTGCCCTCCTCGTAGCCTCGGGGTCCATGTCCATCATCCCACTCAAGCTATGCTTAACTGCAGACAACAGACCGAATCCCTGTCCTCTAGCTCGCCTGACTGCTCGGTCCCGCTCTTCTCGTTCTTCCCTCGACACCTGGGGTGTAGGGCTCGCACTTCCGAGGAAGCTACCACCCCTTTCAAGAGCCTCTTCCAGGCGCTTTGCTTCACGCTCCGCATTCTCAAGTAGTTCAAGCTTGTCGCGCTGGGTGTCAAGAGCCTCTTGGACAAGCTCAAATTGGACATGCTTTTGGTGGCGGAACGACAAATGGGACCTGATAAGAGCCGCAAATTGAGAGTAGATGTGAAGCGGTTCAGTAGCAGTCTTCTCCCATGACTGCAGCAGAGCTGCTGTTGCCAGGTATTCGGCGTCCACGGCTTGCCCAACCTTCTCGACCGCCTCTCCAAGCTTGCCCTGTTCGATCAAACTAAAGCCATTCCATATACCGCCGAGCTCCGATAAATCATGCGCTCTCTCTCCCCATCGCTTAGTAGTCCGTCTGTTGACCTTCTCCATATTGCCAGAGAAGTGGGTCTGGAATTTCTCGGTGAAGGCTTCAGAGTCAATAAAGCGAGGGTCAGGTTGGCGAAGAGGATGGTTGGGGGATGGAGTGGGGAGTAGATGATGAGCAATGTAGGCTGTTGTAGGCGGAGTCTCTCCTGTAGTGGGCGTAGAGGGTTGGAAGGTGGGATTATGGGAGGGAGCGTGGAGAGGATTTTTGGGGAGAAGCGACACTGGAGGAGAGTGGATGACCTCGGACTGAATCCACTGATCAGCAGGGGCACTCGGACGCGGCGGAACTACCTACCCAGCTGACTCCTTCCTCCAAGAAACGATGAAGGACATGTTCACCGCCCAAGATGGGGTGCTTCAGCAGCCGCCTGAGAAAGTCCTCCAAGAGACGCTTCCTTCGCGCAATCACAGTAGCGTCCTCCTTTGCCTTACTCTGGCCTTTGACAGCATAATCTGTCAGTGACTGCTTGGACGGGATGGGCGGTATGATTAAGACAGGGTAGAGACCTGTCAAAGCTTGGTGTAATGACGAGAAGGCGGAATAGCGTCGGCGCGTGGTGTGCGTCTGCAATCGTTCAGCCTGTGATCACATGGGATGTTCAGTCACTCACCCCGACTCTTATAATATAAGTGATATAGCTTGCCGTCCCGCCCTCATTCGTCTTGATGGCATCGATGATATGCACCTGCTCCCCGAGCGAGATGTCCTTGTCGATGCCACAGCAAAAGTCGCTTTTGGGCTTTGGCCCGCCCAGGGCAGCCATCGATTTGGGCTGCTTGGAAGGATCCGGGAAGCTTGCCCGATGGGTTGGTGGGGGAGAGCCAGAGGCAGCCGATATCAGCGAAGATGTCTTCTTGGGCTGAGGGACGGGTACAGAGTATGGGAGGGGCGGCGGCGAGACGGCGGGCAGCGGCAGGGAGGGGACGGGGGACTCGGGAGGGGAGGCGGGGGCGGGGATGGATGCTGGGGAGGATGCGAAGGGGTTGGGGGGGGTGTCGGGGTCCATGGTGGTGGTTGATGCAAGATACAGCAACTACCAGGGTGGACGGATGATGACCCGGTACAACGGCGCGAGAGCGGGATCAAATTGGCTGTGCTACCACCATGATTCTGCTGCAAGATACCCGGCAATGCATATATGTAATACATGACTATGAAGTCTGGCACTACTATGCATCTACTGGCGACACATCAGTCCCCTGACATTCACAGGAAGCAGCGCCGCATCCTCTTTGCTCATTTTCTTCAGCGCAGGCAAGGGGTAGAACTTGCTCAACGCCACCAGCTCCAACCTCAATTGTTTAAGCTCTTCCGCCGTCACCTCTTCGCTTTCAGACGGCTCTGCCCTGGCCTCAGTATCCTCTGACACAGCCGCGTCATCTTCCGTCTTGACCCTCTTGGTATCCGTCTCGTCTTCAACCTCTCTCTTTCTCTTGTCGCCCACACTCGAGTTGACTCCTCTGAGACGTCTCTGCTTCTCAACCAGCCTCGACATTTCCTTGCCGGTCCATTCCAGCCCCACGTTCACTCCACTCTTCCCTCCCACACCTTGATACATGAAATCGCCCTCCTCGCGCAGCAAAGGCTGGATATCCATCGGGTTGGCAGGTCTCGTCAGATAGCGAAGAGCCACTCGAGAGTACGCGGCTTCACCCAGAGCACTGTATGATGCTCTTGTGTCTGGAGCGGACAAGCCACGTAGGGTGTCATGCACCAGCTTTCGCGTGGAGGACTGGAGGAGGGGCTCGTGGTAGTGATCAAACACATACTCATCGAGAGGATAGTCTGGCTTTTCTTCGCCCTCGACACGCTCCATGGCACCTTTGACGAATCTATCCAGACTATCCAGGTATGCTTCACCGATCACATCACCCGTCACCATATCCCTCACCCAATCACCAGGCGACCGTTTAAGAGGACCGTCGAATACGTTGACCAAGTTGGTGGGGGCCGGAGGATCACCTCGCCTGGCTCTGGTGTACATTGGACGTATATGTTCGGCCAAGATCTCGTCGTCATCGGTGATGCTCGGAATACGTTGGCGGAGGAACGCGACTTCAGACGCCACAGAGGGATACTGGCCATACTCCCAGGGCGGCAGGGTCTTGTGAGGGACCTGATCATGTCGCGGGGTTGCTGGGTTGAAAGGCAAGGGAGCTTGTTGGGCGGCAGAGTGGGGAGGAGGCTGGGCCATCTCGAGCTCCCACCACCCGTCCTTGCTTCGCAGCGCTTGCCAATCGATAATCTCTCTCCATTGGTCACCACTCCTCAACCTCCAAGGCTCAAAGAGCTGATGAATCTCCTCGGCCTCTGCTATATCCCGACTCCCATCCACCAGCCAGTTCCTCCACTTGCCGGAAAACTTTTCACGTGCCCGCGAGATACGCTTGTTATACACGCGCTTTCCGCCATTCAAGTTCCAACCCACAGCACGGGCCATGGCAGAGTTGGGAGGAAAGTTGAGCATCTCCTCGGGAATGTAGTGGAGTGGAGGCACATGATCTCGGACTCGCTCTTCCTGCACTACGGTCGTCTCGCGCTGTTCCCGGTCACGAGTGGACACGACAGATGTCGCACGGACAGGAGTGGCGGATACACGGACAGGTGAGGGCGGTGGGGTGATTGCGATGGGACGGGCGCGCTCGATGTGCTTGAGTCCGTGTGATAGGATGTTGGACGCAGATTTATATGGAGTCGTGTGTTCGGCATTAAACTTGTGGGCTGCTTCTACCAGTTTGCGCAAGTCGGCCTGCAAAGGTCAGCTCAGTTCAAACAATGATAGATTCGTAGACATACCTCGACTTGGTCCAGGCTTCGATATTCGTTATTGTCCACCTTTGCCTGCATTGTCCCCATGTCCATCGCCTTGTCTTCACCACCTATTCTCTCAAGATAATCGGGATACGCCTGTGTATCGACTAGTACATGATGAGCTTGATAGCTGAAGGGACTAAAGGATACTCACCAGGCTCTTCAAACAAAGCGTACTCGTCCTTTTTCCGAAGCTCGATCATGATCTTCTGCAGCAACTCCTTGAGAGGCTTCTTTGTCCTCGTCCACTTTACAGCCCGTCTACTCGGTGTCTCTTCCTCAAGCTGCTGCGGGTATCCAGACTCCAACCCTTGCGAGGATGGACTCAAAGGAAGTGACAGCACATCAGGCGAAGTCGATGCGCCGTCCTGGGTAGGCGTCTCGGGCATCGTGGGGGTCATCTGTCTGGACGGCGTTGCAGACGATGTCGCCAGTAGCCTTGAAGGGATGGCAGACGGCCGCTTGGCGACGGTAGCCTTCTTCTTTGTCGACGGCCTGCCAACCTTCTTCGTCGATGCCGTCTTTTGGCGCTGGGGTTGTGTCGGGGTCATGAGCGCTGCGGGCGAGGCAGTACCTGGTGGCGCTGGTAATGGCGAGTCAGAGCCACCTGGTGCTGGCAAGTTTATACGCAAAGACGAAGGCCCCGAGACGTTGCCCGTGTTCAGCTTGATCTTGGGCAAGGGAGTGGAGACGGAGCCGTTGGATCCATGGCTGGTCGGCACGGGTGGCGGTGGGGCGGGAGTGGCGGGGGCGGGGCCGAGGGTCAATTTGAGCTTGATAGGGGGTATCTTTGGGGGGTCGTGGCTGGGCATGGCGGGCTCGGCGGCGAGGAGAGTGGACACGGCAGGTGGAGGTACAGAAAGCAAGTCACGCACAAATAAAATGTATCAGACTGCAGCAATATACTCCCGTCATTTGCTTCCGTCCCTCCACCTCTGAAGTTCAGATTTCTGAAGTTCTTCAAGGTAAGAGTGTCGAAGCTATACGTATAGCAAAATGGAGGCTCCCCACAAGGCCCATCATGCCTCCTCATCCGGCACAAAGCATGCCAAGAAGGATGCCGCAAAGGGCATAGACAGGTCTGGCGGTAACAGCTACAACCCCAAGGCAAGTGCAGTCCAAATATTTGTTTTCATCTTCTGACTCTTGTATAGGCCTTCACAAATTCTTCCTTCCGAGCTGCCGAGAAATCTGCGAGGAGAACCGCCGAGAAGGATCAAAGGCGTCTGCATGTCCCCCTTGTCAACCGAAACCCAGACGAGCGGAAGGTCACCAATGAGAAGGGCAAGGGCATGGACGAGGGGTCTTTGCCCCCTCCACCCATTGTCGTTGGTATCGTCGGCCCACCCGGTGTTGGAAAGACGACTTTGATGAGGTCTCTTGTCAGGAGGTTTACCAAGCACAACTTGAGTCAGCCTCAAGGACCCGTCACTGTCGTTTCTGGCAAGACCAGGAGGATCACTTTTGTTGAATGTGGCAACGACCTCAACAGTATGATTGATCTGGGCAAGGTCGTCGATTTGGTTCTCTTGATGATTGACGGGAGTTTTGGATTCGAAATGGTAAGCTCCATCCTACTGCAAAAGAGCATATCTGATTTATCTACAGGAAACGTTCGAGTTCCTAAACATCCTCCAATCCCACGGTTTCCCCAAAGTTCTCGGTGTCCTAACCCACGTCGACCTCATCAAGAAGGCTTCCACCCTCAAAGACACCAAAAAGCGTCTCAAGCACCGATTCTGGACAGAAATTTACCAAGGTGCCAAGCTTTTTAGCTTGTCTGGTGTCTTGAACGGACGATATCCTGATGCCGAGATCAACCTGCTCTCCAGGTTCATCTCTGTCATGAAATTTCGTCCGCTCGTATTCCGAAACCAGCACCCATACCTCCTTGCCGACCGAATCCAAGATCTCACTCCTCGAGAGGCCGTGCGCGAGAACCCTAAGATGGACCGAAACATCACTCTGTACGGCTATGTCCGTGGTCCCAACCTTCCCCCGCGGAATGCCAAGATTCATATCCCTGGTGCGGGTGATCTGGAGATCAAGGAGGTTGAAAGACTTGCCGACCCATGCCCGTTACCGACTCTGGAGAGCGAGAGAAGGAGAAAGATGGGCGAGAAGGCCAAGTTGATCCATGCGCCCATGAGTGATGTTGGTGGCGTCATGTACGACAAGGATGCAGTCTACATTAATGTCCCGGGTAACTTTACCAAGGGTGGTGAAAGTGAGTCTTTCCTCGGCCGTCTTTGGTATAAGCTAATGGTATCGCAGCTCTGCAAGGAGAAGGCGAAAAGATGGTGATGGAGATGCAAGACGCCCAGAACACGTTTGCCGACAATATTCAAAACTCTGAAATCCGTCTCTTCGGCCACTCTTCCGCTCCTCTTCAAGCCCCTGTTCAGCGCGTCCGTCGACGTGCCGAGCCCCGCGCTGGTGGACCAATGCTCGGCAAGGCGGACGATGACGAGTTTGACGACGACAGCGACGAGGACGACTTTGATGGAGAGGGTGAACCGAGATTCGGGGATGACGAGTCTGAGGGAGATGAGAGGGATGTGGCGTATGCCGACTCGGATTCTGATCATGACGATCTTGCTCTTGCCACGGGTTTCCAACAAGACGGCAAGCGGATCAATTTCGAGGATGATGCGTTCCCATCTGACGAGGAAGATGACGAGGAGGGAGATGAAGACGAGGATGTGCCCGGTTGGAAGAAGAATCTGTCTGGCCGTGCTGCAGATGCGCTCGCCAGCCGTCTTGGCCGTCGACGCAACCTCATGTCTCTTATCTACGACTCGCCCCTCTCTCCCGAGGAAATCTCTGCAGGAAAGACGAAAGCTTCCTCTGCCGATGCTGGGTCTTCTCATACTGGGGACGCCTATACCGACCAAGGCTTCTACAAGGTTAGCCGCGAGGAGAACAAGGGTGATGAAGGTGACCAGGTCAAGCAAGAGCTTGACAGAGACCAGCTGAGACAAAAATGGGAGGGCGATGAGATGCTTGATTCTCTCAAAGAATTGTTCATCTCTGGTCCCGTTGGCAATGGTGGTGAGGTGGACGAGAATGGCGAAGCCTACGAAGATGAAGCTGGAGACTTTGAGGACCTCGGGGAGGAAGAAGTGGGCGATGACGGTGTGCCGTATGTCGGCGTCAAACCCAACCAACCGAGCTACGAAGACCAACGAGCTGCGGCAGCGGCCAAAAAGAAGGAGGCTCTCCGAAACAAGTTTGACGAGCAATACGATGGTTCAGATGACGAGGGCGACAAGATGGACTACTACGACCAGCAAAAGGCCGAGATGGCTCGTCAGAGGCAGCTCAACCAGGACGAATTTGAAGGTCTCGACCTCAATGCGCGAGCTCAGATTGAAGGTTACCGCTCGGGCTCTTACGTTCGTTTGGAGATCAATGATGTTCCCTGCGAGCTGGTCGAAAACTTTGACCCTCGTTTCCCCATCATTGTGGGAGGTCTGCTCGCTGCGGAAGAGAGGTTTGGTTTCATCACTGTGCGTATCAAGCGACACAGATGGTTCACCAAGACTCTCAAAACCAACGATCCGCTCGTATTCTCCCTCGGTTGGAGACGTTTCCAGGCCATGCCGCTCTATCACCTCGACGATCATTCGATCCGAAATCGATACCTCAAGTACACTCCCGAGCACATGCACTGTGCCGCTACTTTCTACGGGCCAGTATCGGCGCCTAACACTGGTTTCTGTGCGTTCAACTCACTCCAAGGCGATGCGCCAGGTTTCCGAGTGTCTGCCACCGGTGTCGTGCTCGATGTCGATCGATCAACCAAGATTGTGAAAAAGCTCAAGTTGACGGGTACCCCGTACAAGATCTTCAAGAACACTGCCTTTATCAAAGACATGTTCAACTCTGGGTTGGAAGTTGCCAAGTTTGAGGGCGCGAATATCAAGACGGTGTCTGGTATCCGAGGTCAAGTCAAGAAGGCTCTGAACAAGCCCGAGGGTGCCTACAGAGCCACGTTCGAGGACAAAATCTTGATGAAGGGTGAGTTGGCATACGACTACATGTGCATTACTGACCTGTTCTAGACATCGTGTTCCTTCGAGCTTGGTACTCTATCGAGCCCAAGAAGCTGTACAACCCTGTCTGCTCTTTGCTACTGGCCGATAAAGACTCGTGGCAAGGAATGAGGTTGACTGGTCAGATCCGACGAGAAGAGGGTTTGAAGACTCCTCTGGATCCCAATTCTGCTTACAGGGTACGTTTTGAATACATGAAGGTGATCTAGCTGACACGCTATATAGACCATTGAGCGAACCACTCGTCGATTCAACCCTCTCAAGGTGCCTCGCAAGCTCGCAGCTTCCCTCCCTTACGCCTCCAAGACGCCGCAACTCTCCAAGCAAAGCAAGCCCACGTATATGCAGTCTCGTGCTGTGGTGCTGAGCGACGACGAGAAGAAGGCCGTAACCATGCTTCAGCAGATCCAGACGCTGAAGAAGGACAAGGCGGCGAGAAGAAAGGAGAAGCAGGATGAGAGGAAGAGCGAGTACCGCAAGAAGGTCGGGGAGAAGGATGAGAAGAGGGAGAGCAGGATCAAGGAGGAGCGACGGGAGCGATTCAGGCAGGAGGGCTTGAAGAGGAAGAGGGACGAGATGAGCGAGGGCAAGGGTCGGGGGGGCAAGAAGACGAGGGAGTAGTCTGCCGGCGGGTGTACCAAATTGAGGTGCCTAGCGCGCATGTATAATTTGAGCACATTGGTCACTTCAGGGGATTTGGTAAGACAGGCGCGTTGTTCTTCCGTCCACAGCAGAAATGATGAGATGCGTCCGAGTTCGGTCCGCCGAGTCCGCAAGTCACATGTGCCACCCTATCACGCCTACACAGGCTGGTCACAAGTCAGAATTATTTAGTCGTGTTATTGGCGCCGGTGCTAGTTGTCCTACCGCACACTTACCCATGGAGGGGTATAAGAGACACCACACAGACCATGCCCTGCCTCCGTCGCATTTGTTGCTTCCTTTGATCGACTCGCTGCCTATCGACGCGACCCTCCTCATCCCTCCAACCGGACTTTGATTCTGGCGACACCCCTTTTTCCTCCAGGATATGTACATATACCTATAGAATCAAGACTTGACTATCCACCCACCACCACACTCGTTTCATCCACCATGTGGATGCGGACTGTTCTACTGGCCTCTCTAGGCCTTGTCGTTCCTTCTCTCGCCCAATACGATCCTTCGTCCTCTGGCTACAGCGTCAAGACTCCCCCACTCTCAACAGACTGGACAGACAAGGTTGGCACAGACCCTTGGACTGAATACCCTCGACCTCAACAAGTGCGCGACAAATGGCAGAGTCTCAATGGTATCTGGCGCTATGAAGCGGCGTCCAGCCTGGACGACGTCCATAGCCCGCCTACCGGCAAGGGAGAAAGTTTCGGGGCACCTATCATGATTCCTAGCTGTCTGGAGAGTGCTCTGAGTGGTGAGTCATATACCCAGAACGCGAATCAGCGGCTGATAGAAAGCAGGTGTCATGGCTGAGGTCGGCAGTGCAAACCTTTCTTGGTTCCAAACCACTTTCAAAGTGCCATCCGACTGGCAAGGCGATAATGTAGTTATCAACTTTGGAGCCGTCGACTACCAAGCGACAGTCATTGTCAATGGGAACAATGTGACCGCGCACACCGGTGGCTACAATCGATTCTGGGTCGAGATCAGCGAGCATGTCAACTTTGGAGAGGACAATGAGCTATTGGTGTTTGTGCATGACCCTACAGATAGTAACGGATATGTTGTACCAGGCAAGTCATCATCTGAGAACGTTGCTAGCCGACTAACGATACTCCAGTTGGCAAACAGACAAACATTCCGTCACACATCTTCTACACGCCTTGCAGTGGTATCTGGCAGTCTGTCTTTATCGAGCCGGTTCCCAAGACTTATATCGACAAGATTGACCTGTCAGGCGATATGTGGGGCGTCGCCAACATCACCGTCCACTCTTCCGACAACTCTTTCCAATCTGTCAAAGTCTCTGTCCTTGACGAGAACGCTTCGACATTGTATGAAGGCAATGGTACTTCCGATACTGCCTTTACCTTTACCGTCCCAAATGTCTCTTTGTGGTCGCCTTCATCCCCAAAGCTATACAACGTGACTGTCGCACTAGGTGATGACTCGGTTGACACGTATATTGGCTTTAGGACGGTGGAACGCGGTACAGTACAAGCGGTCACCAGGCCTTTGTTGAACGGTGACTTCTTCTTTGCCTTTGGTCCTCTAGAGTGAGTCGCTTGAGCCTTGACTGAGATCGATCTGACCATCTCATTAGTCAAGGCTTCTGGCCCGACGGTCTTTATACCCCCCCTAACCACGAAGCTATGGTTTACGACCTCCAGTTCCTCAAAGACCTCGGTTTCAACATGGTCCGAAAACATATCAAGGTCGAAACCGATCTTTTCTACCGAGCGTGCGACGAAATCGGATTGTTAGTCATGCAAGATATGCCTTCATTCAACGAAGACCTACTTCCGAATGATGAACGTGAGGTTCCATCGCTTTTAGATACCCCAATTGCTGACATGTCCTAGAACAAGCGCAATTCGAATCCCAGCTCGAAGAGATGGTCCAGCTTCACAAATCATTCCCCTCCATTTACGCCTGGGTCATCTACAACGAAGGCTGGGGACAGCTGGACCGTGGACCCGAAGTGGAGATCACCCCGAGGCTGCAGTCCTGGGATCCCACGCGATTGGTCAACTCTGTGACAGGGTGGCATGATCATGGGGCTGGTGACTTTTTGGATGACCACCATGTATGTCTACAGCTCATCATACACACAGAGTAGGCTGCTGACGGGACGGGTAGTATGTCGAGCCACAGTGTGGAATGGCTAATGCCTCGGGACCTTCGTCGCCATACGACCCAGACAGGATCGGTTTCCAAGGCGAGTTTGGTGGTCTTGGGCACAACGTCTCCATCGATCAGTGAGTCCGATTCAACGTTTATGCGGCAATCTCGCTCTGACCAGGTGTATCTCGCATAGTCTGTGGAATGTACCTGAAGCTATTGCCGCAATCAACGAGACGTACGAGATTGACAAGACCATCGACGAATGGAACTCTCGAGCCGTCAGTTTTGCCTTTCGCCAGAACCTAGAAGCTGATAAACCTGCAGCACACTGTCCTCGGGATTCTCGAATCTCAGATCAAAGACTATGCTTGCTCGGGTGGTGTCTGGACACAGACGACGGATGTTGAAGGAGAAATCAACGGTCTGATGACTTAGTAAGCTTCCACCTGCTTCGCCATTTCAAACTCTCTTACTGAGGCGACACGTAGTGATCGTCGTGTCAAGCGAACGGTTGAGTCACAGTGGAAGTCCGACATCCAAGCCTTGTACAAGGCCGCAGCTGCGAGGGGCGGAGGTGACGGTATTGGTCCGGCGTCGACCGCGAATGATACTGCCTCCAGTACTGTGCTTGCTTCCCAGCCCTCTGAAAGTGTCTCGAGTTCTGGAAGGAAAGCGGAAGGTGGAGGTGTGCTGGGTCTGTTCTTTGGAGCCTTTGTGACGGCTACTTTTCCTATCGTGTTTTGATAATCGATACTTGTTTCTTTGATAATCTTACCTTGTGGCGTGCTTTTGAGTATCTGATCTCCGAATTTAATTCTCGAATGTGATTCATCTCGTGTTGAAATGCGGATGCTACATAAGTGATGCTACGTGTGAGTTGTACAGCAGGTTAAACGTTGTTACGAGTACGGTCAACTAGTCACAGTCATCCCTCTAACCTGTAACCTGTCTCATCAGCCCCTGCGGCAGATTGAACGTTGCTCAAAGCACCGGACAAGGAGGAGGTATACATGAAGAACTATCTTGCACTTTCTGGCGAGCAAAGCAGGGAGTCGGAGATGCAATATCGGGTATCATGGAAGACATTCATCCTCACTAGACCATAGCTCGAGCTGCCTTGAGCGAGCTATTCAGCAACTTTGTTTTCACTGGCACACCTCCTCAAGGTATATCGACAACAGCCCAAGCATAACCTTTGTAATACTCGCAATGTTCGTTGAACGACCACGCAGCAGCACGCGCCCAACCGATAAACAAAGGGCGCACGGGCCTTTTCTGCGGGCCTGGCCCTTGCCGGCGGTCACCGCTCAGGGCTGGTTATAGAACTGATTACGATCAATCACAGCCGGAAGCTAAACCCCCATTACAAAAAAGCCCACCCACCATTAGAAGGCATTAGGAAAGACGGGACTTGACCCTGAGGAGCTGTTGTTCTCTGCGGCGATGGTGGCGATGTCACTTTTTGCTCCCCAGCTCGAAAGATAGAATCGCGTGCTGCTCACATCTTACTTTATATTTATTGTCCATCAAGAAGCTATAGACACACCCGCCCTACGCTACTTTTACACCCCCCAATCCCTCTCCCGACACTACACAGCCAGAGCTTCTCCTCCACTCTACCCCACTTACGCGACGCGTCGCATCAACCCCATCCCATCGATGGCGCCCTTCCACCCCACACGGCGCGAGCTCATCCTCGTCCTCGTGCTCACCCTCCTCTTCGGCCTCCTTTTACACCTCGACCTGCCTCTCCGTCTAACGGACTCTTCGCCTGGGTTCAGCAACTTCTCAGATGAGGGGCGGAAAGGCAGAGGAGGAGAACGGTGGCTGGAAGATGTCGAAACTGGTGTAGAGTTCTCAAAGGCGGCCAAGATTGCTGGGATGGCAGAGGCAAAAGTCAAGTGGGGGGAGCAAGGGGCGCACCGGACGGAAGTGCTCGCTCATGCGCCGGGGTGGACGATCTTTGATGATATCTATCTGTTCAACGGGACGTGGTTCATCGTGACTGATAATCCATCAAGTATTCCGTTATTGCGGTTGATGTCGAGTACGGGGAATGAGATTTGGAATGATGAAGAGTCTATCCGTGGACGGTAAGTGAATCAAGATGAGGCGGCCTGAGCTGACGATGGCCCAGTGAACCGACAGAAAAAGATATGCGAATCGTGTTTCCATCCGAGGCCAAACGTCTCTGGGGCCACTCTGCGTCATTGGTATCCGGCAGCACATTCCTCATCAACGACCCTTCGCAATTCTTGGACCACTACTACCATTTCGCTGCCGAACTCCTTCTCGGCCTCTGGCGAACCTACGCCTCCCTTGACCCCACCATCTCTGCCCAGGGCGTCACCCACCTCCCCTCACCGACAAGGATGATGTTTCCCCACGTCGGTGCTGGGAGATGGAACGATTACGCCAAAATGAACTCGTTCCTCTCACGCGCCATCTTTCCTTCGATGTCGTACGAATACCAGAACGACTTTTTGGACAGGGCCGATACGGGGCGGGCATTCATCTTTGAGAGGGTAGTCTTTGCGGATCGCGCGGCTGCGTTCAGAGGACCAGAGTTCAAGAAGACATGGAGAACAGCGAGCGAGGCGGTGACGCTGCAGGCCAGCAAGTTTTGGTGGGCGCCAGTCAGGCGGAACCTGATTGAATTTGTGGGGAACGGCCAAGGCGGGGAGCTCGAGATGGGCGATGTCGGTCTTGGGGTTGGGGTGGAGGTGCCGGATATTGAAGAGGATATCGAGGCGCTCGAGGCGGAGGAAGGCGCGCTGGAGGAGGAGAAGGAAGAGTTGAGGGAAAAGATCATCAAGGAAAAGCAGGCGCAGGCGGGGACGCCGGTGATTACCTATGTCAGCAGACAGGACTGGGGCCGGAGAATGCTGTTGAAGGAAAGCCACGAGAGTCTTGTGCACGAGCTGCGCGAGCTGGAGAAGAAGTATGGATGGGAGGTGAGTCGTAATATTTCTTTGAGACCAGTGCTGACCGGTTCGCAGGTCAACATCGTGTCGATGGACAAGCTGTCGCGAGACGAGCAGATCCGGCTTTCGGCGCGCACGACAATCATGATGGGTGTGCATGGCAACGGTCTGACCCACCTGCTATGGATGAACAACCAGAACCCGCGGGCAACGATCATCGAGTTCTTCTACCCTGGTGGCTTTGCCGAGGACTATGAGTTTACTTCTCGAGCGTTGGGCATGACACACTACGGGGTGTGGGACGATCAAACGTTTACTGCGCCTGATACGCCTCAGGTGGCGTATCCCGAGGGCTTCCAGGGGAACGAGATCCCTCTGAGTGAGTTTCTCGGCTTGTTTTGGGGCCCGTGCTGATGTCTTATAGACGGCAAGGTGGTGGCAGATCTTCTTGTGCAGAGACTGCTAGTCGAGCGTCCCGCTCGTTCCTTGGAAGAAGAGGATGTCGCTCAATAGATCGTCCTCGGCGCACCGACTGCCCCGTCTGCCTGTGCAGCTCGCCGTGTCTCATCATTGTAAAAGTATCTCATTTGGCCCTGCCCCAGGGCCAGCATCTTCCATGGCTTTTCAGCCAAATCTTGTGTCATAGATGTTCATCCTGTCCGTATCTCCCCCGCGGTCTTCTCGATCGCTATCACGTTTCTTGCATTGGGCGACAACGGACTTTTATATATGCATGTCGGGTAATAGGAAAGTTTGTGGTGTGCATCAGGAAGACGTAAAATACCAGGTCGAAGTAATTGTGGTGAATTTCGAAAGAAATGGTGCTGCCGGGAGATTTTGGTCCTTGGAAATTTGGTGCGTGCCTGGGAGAACCTTTCGCTTGATTTCTTTCTCGGTGTGCATCTGCGTACCTGCGTACGACGTGCTTCTCCCGTTGGTCCGCGCGCGGAGGGATGGGATCTTGGGGTCGCTGTGAACCTCCCATGGCTCCCACGGAGCACTTTAGGCTACGCCTCGCCCCCCTCGATGCGCCCTGCATGGCCAGGCGGACGAGATTCTCAGCCGGGCAAATAATCTAGGACAGGAAAGGAGGTCCCGCAGGGTGGACTGGGCGGGGTGATGAAGGTGTGCGCTTGCAGCTCATTATTGGAGTCCTGGCTCCGGCTGGGAAAGGACCATGCGATGGACATATATATACCCCCCTTTCCCTAGCCCATCCTTCCCATCGCCCATCACCTATATTATATCCCTGGTTCTCTCTGATCCCCTCGCTGGCCGACTGTTCATTATGCGCTGGTTCTGTACTGCCCTCTTCGCCCTGCCCCTCGCAGCCGCCCTCTCAGAGTACCAGTATCTCTCCACTGTCAACCAGTTCGCCACCTCGTTTCTCTCTCCCAACAACATCGAGGTCGTCCGCTCTATCAACAGGTGCGCCCACCCGTTCTCCTCTTGCTCGCGCTGACGCCCTGCAGCACTCTCTTTGCCGAAGATGTCACTGGCACGGCTGATCGTGAGTTCATCGCCCTGCCCGTAATTCAAGTGCTAACGGATGAACAGTATCAACAAAGTAAGTGCTAATCTCGGCGATGATCCCATCTGATCCGGTCCATCATGCTTAGTTTCGACGGACGCGAGCTTTCCACGTGAGTCGCCCTGTTTCCGAGCTGTGCATTGCTGACGTTTGCCAGCGAATATGTCAGTTACCCGGCCTGCCCCAGATACCCAGCTCACCTCTCGCCAGCTCTTTGGTCTCTTTGTGAATAACGCTGAAGACCCCGACGACCCGTCACCCTTCGGCATCCCGATATCGTATAACGTAAGCCTCGGGCCCAACAAGCTTTCGGAGGAGTTCCCGTTGATTGTTGTTCCCAGGTCACTTCTCTGCTCGTCCAGCACGAGTTTATCGCTGCATCTATCAAGTTTATGTGTACGTCCCACGCATCCCTGGCTGGCTTGACTGATCCTGCTGCAGTCCACTACCCCATTTTGAACAAGACATACCCCATCCAAGTATGTCGTCCATCACCCCACGTGGCGCGGCTGACATGCTTATTGCAAGATCGACGCATTCATCAGGGTCAATGAAAAGGGCGAGATCCAGCAATATGATGCTTCCTTCCGTCGATGGGCTTGGGTACGTTCTTTCATCATCTCTTGTTCGTACGCTGACGAGACCAGGCCACCGATGTCATCATTCCGTACGTCCACCCTGCAGCACACAGATTCAAGCTGACTCCATTCCTAGCGAGCTCCTCCCCCACATGGCTCAGCGCTTATCTCTGCCCGTGGAAAACACCTCCCTCGTCCTCCGCGAGTACCTCTCCCGCAAGATCTGCAACACCGCCGTCACCTACTGTACCGGCGACGACCAGCAGTACGACGACTATGACTCTTGCATGGACTTTTTGAATACGAAAAAAACGGGAGAGTGGTACCGCATGGGCGAAGACAACCTCGTGTGCAGGCATTTGCATGTGCCGATGTTGTCGCTCAGGCCGACTACGCATTGTCCTCATATCGGGCCGAGTGGGGGTGATATGTGTATCGACAGGCAAGTCTGTCTTATCGCTGTATGGATGTGGGCTAATGGAAAGAGCAGAGACTATGAGCAGGTCGTACTCGCGTCCCATTTCCCCGCTGGCTTCCTCGCACCGAAACAAGTGACACCCGAGAACGAGAAGGAGGTGGGACACATCCAAGCTGCTAGTGGGTACCCGCTCGACCCGCTGCTCGAGATTGCACTCAGCACCGGCGATATGCACTCTTGGGATCCGACTCTGTATGCCACCGCTTTGCTGGGTGAGTATTTCGTTTACAGTGGTGGATCAAGCTAAATGAATGCAGGCTACTTTCTTATCTATTACATTTTCTCGCATGGGCTCTGGCAGTAAGTCGCTTCCATGCACAAGGTAGCATTTGGCTGACAGTTCTCAGGTGTTTCATGCGCTTTACGACAAAGTTCCGCAGCCTGGAGCTTGAACACCAAAAGAACGTAGTCATGTGTACGTCCCTTCCTCTCCCCCTCCCCAGCCATCTAACACTTGTATAGACGCAATGAACATCATTTTCACCACCGTCGCCCTTGCCCTCCAGCTTGCCGCCTCCCCCGCGCTCGGCAAACACTACCGACTCTGGGAAGTCCAATGCCTCCGCACGGGCGGTGTCCTCGTCTCGGCGTTGTACATTTTCGAGCTCGTTTACCGACTCAAGATGCGCCTCCCTCTGTACGCCCCCTCTTGTTTGACAAGAGAGAAGACAAGCTGATGAGAGGTATAGAATTGCACACCACTTCCTGACAATTATCGCTATATCCTTTACAGTCAGCGTATTCGAATATACAATGTCCATGTCGTACATGGTATCCGCCATCATCTGGTTGTTCCAAGCTACCACCGAGCAGCCTACCTTCCTGGGTCTCATGGGATGTAAGTCTAGCAGATGAGTGGGATTGAGTTCGAAGGCTGACGTCTAGTAGACCGACTGGGATGGAGTAGGACGTGGGTGGCGAGGCTGTTGAAGTTTGCTGCTGTGCAGACATTCATTCTCAAAGTATGCCATCCCTTCTTGTTCCCCGTACTCTTAACTGACAAACTGTAGTCTGCCAGTGCGATAGGCTTGATCGTCTACTGGGCTCTGCACCAAAAGTACAACTATCGACCGATCGACGTAGCTTGGACGTGTATCGTGTTTATCGTCGCTGTCGGGCTGCTCCTTACTCAAGCGTAAGCCTACTTTCTCTCCTTCTTTATAGAGCACAACTGATAAGATCATAGCTGGGGCTCATATGTCACATACGCCATAGGAGCGCGTATCCAACAACGCCACTCCATTCTTCCCACCCTCCTCCCCGACGCAGCTTCGCACTACCCCAAAGACCGTTCTGCAGACCACCGTCTCGTCCTCAATTCGGCTCCATCGTCCGACACCCTCATAGGCGAGGCTGAGCCTGTGAGCCCTTCTTTCAGCTTTGGGGGGAAGGCAAAGATGCTCTGGAATAAGACCGCTTCGCTGTCTTCTTCCGAGGGGTCGGAGGGTTCGGCGAGTACGGGTGCCGCTGGGTGTCAGTAAGACGAGCCTAGCACCCCCGCCTTGATCAAGAATAAAGCGTCTCTGAGGATCTTCCCGCCCCTATATCTCTGAGAGACAGCAAACACGACAATGTGTGTTGTACAACAGTCCCCCTACGCCGCCCCGAGCATTTCACGCCGTCAAAGATTGGATATACACGCGCCGGGCGCCCATTATAATCATTTCACATTCACGAACAACAAACAAAAGAGTGTATATAGACAGTCTCACATACACGCATAGTACAATTCCAAAAAGCATTTATACACGTAGGTAGAAAGCGTTTTCATACACGCAAATACATGTTGCAGAATTATATACACGGGAGTCTCGTAATCATGTCATAGATCCAAGAACGCACCTTATGCACGCATTCAATACATGATCATCTCTTTGTTGATTCACAATGCAAGGGTGAAGCTGGGCGGATGTGGTTCGCGGATTTTGACCGTAAGCTGGCATCTTTCAGCTGGAAGCTCTTCGCACCGAGTCGACCACCACTTCATCGTTCCCTGAACTACAAAAAATGACTGAGTAAGCGGTATAGTCTGTCAGAACATTGTCGAGAGTTTCGAGGTTAGTTGAAAGTTGGGGACTATGAAAAGCCCTGGCACGGATGTAGGACGGGCTGATTCGGCGCAGTGATGCTGCGGCTCTTCGTAGGTGGGCATTGTATGGTCAGTCGATATGAGAGCCAAGTCATGGCTATTGTGAGGGGCTGCAGTATGATCTTAAAGAATAGCTGTTGCCGACTGGTTGTGGACGAAAGAAATAAGATTGAGAGACGCGATTTTCGAGGCCGACGGTGGAATCAATTTTTGTCAACAACCACCGCATTGGAGATCTGCGCACTATTCTCCATCATCTCGTATCAATACGCACTATTCGCCAAACCAAACTGCGAACTCCACAGTCATGGGTCGTAAGAACCAAGCCCCAGAGACATCCTTCTCCCCTCCCCTCCCTCCCTCTCATTACCTCGTCCACCTCGGCGCTCCTCAGGGTTCCAACAACTTTCTCTCTTTCGACACGGCTGGAGAAGAGAGATTGGTGGAAGTTTCAAAACTGTTGAGGAGGAACAAGGGGCTGATCGTTATGCGAGGTATGTCCTCTAGTCTTTGCGATAGTGGAGAAGGGGCGCTCAAGGATGAAAAGGCGACTTTGCAATCATCAATCTCTTCCCTATACAGCCTGATGAGAAAACCTCAAGGCTTGTAGGCGAGATTGTTCACATCATGGATAGATCAGATATCAAAGAATGGAAGAAAGCCGGTGCTTGGTATGTTCCCTGCATCATTGTTCACGGTGGCAAAACTGACTTGTGTGAAGGCCGGAAGGGTTCGGAGAAGAGCCTGCACCACCTCCTCAAGAGGCTGAAGAGGCTGAAGAGGCTGAAGAGGAGGAAGATCAGGAAGAGCAAGAAGGAAACGAAAGTGCATAGATAGCTGGCGAACCAGAACAGCCGACCTGGTCGTTGATCCGTCGTCACGCCCAGCGCCACGGTCTCGGAAAGCGGGGCAAGCGCTCCCTCTCCACCATAAGACATACCGGTCTACTCAAGACATGGCATACAATGCATATTGCTACAGATATCTGGTCCCTCACTACCACTCTACCAACAACCTCATATCCCACTGGTCCATCTCGTCGAAATCATCTCCCGTCCCTTCTACCTCTGGTTCAGGCAATACAACATTGATGGGTTCCCCCAGACTATCCACTTCGAACAGTTTCTGGAAACATGGTCTGCCGGGGGTGTTGAAGTGCTGATATGGGTCCAAAGGAGAGATTGAGTCGCCACAGCGGTAGCAGAAGTGGGCGTTACAACGACCGCATGTCATGTGGTTACAGCCGTGGCTGCTCTTCATCAGTTATTGCCCATATCAAGGTGACGGATACTCACCTCTTTTCCACACGCACACCACACCCAGCACACGCTCTCGTTCGGCCTTCAAGCCACTGCCTATTCATCTCATCTTCCTGCCACTGCCTGACCAGCCTATCGATATTCGCCTTGCCCTTCTGCTTCTCGATCCTCGCCCTCTCCATACTCCCCTCGGGATGACTGAGGTACTCTTTCACTATCCCGGATACTTGGGGGAAGGAACATGCGGTATGTGGGCCATGCCAGGTGGAAGCACAGTAGAGGCAGAATGAAAAGTGGCATTTGGGGCAGGATCGGTATGCTGCCCAGCGGTCTTCTTTAGCTATCGGTGCTTCTGGTGGAGCGGGATCGGATTCAGCAGGGTTGGATGAGAAGTCTGCTAGGCGGATGACTTTGGAGGAGGAAGGGGCGGCTGAGGTGGGTGTATCGGGCATGGCGGGAGGGGGTACGGCGGCCTGACAAGTCGGTCTTGGGCAGACGGTATACGAAGGATCGATCTCTGCCATTCTCCTTTCCTTCAGACTCGCCCATCTCTCTTTCAATTGCGGCCCAACGACACTCTCAAGAAGGTCTGAAGGGACATCGGAGGAAGAGTCCATCTTGTCACGCAAGGCGCGTTGCTTGACGCATGGTGGACTTGGGCACGCGACGGATTCAAGGGTGCCTTCTGTGATGGCCAACGTCCAGCAATCGCTCAGACATTGTGTGCAACTGAGATCAGGTCAGTATGTAAGACGCGGAGGGGCACAGCACATACAAAATACACCCGCATTCCAGTTGAACGCATTTGTTGCCCTTTCTATTCTCCCAGCAAATCGAGCAGGAAAAGGCCGTTCTTTCAAACTCAGAGTGTTTCTGTGTAGCATCGTAGGATTTGAGAGACGCAAGGAACGCCGAGGAATCTGTAGTTGGAGGTACACCAAGACTAAGGCGAGTCAGCCGGGACCCTCCTGGGCATGCAAGACGTACTTGAGCACACCGTCTACAATCTTTCCACATTCGACTAGACAATCGCCGTTGATTATCCAATCCATCCACTTCCATATCACTCCCTGCCCCTCTCCCATAGCTTCCTTTTCCTCCCGCCACATTTGTCCGAGCATACTGTCGAACGACTTTAGTACGCTCTTCGGCAACCAATTCCCTTTATTCTCCACCGATTCAGACTGAGGTAGAGGGGCACGAAGGGATATTGAATGCGGCGGAGAAGACAGAGGATAGATCGGGGGTAGCAGAACTCGAAGTATTAGAGGAGGAAGGTGGTCGACAGTCAAAGTACCTGTGGGCGTCTCTGAAGTGCTCTGTCGGGGTTTGAAGGTTGATGAGAGATGTGTCTGTGTGGATGCTGGGAGTGTTATAGGAAGGGTGAGAGTCAGAAGACGACCTGGCTTGCCTTGGGGATTCGGGTGGGTCGTTAGGAGGGTAGGATAGATGGACTACGCTTTGTCAGCGACGGGTCGAGGGGTGATGGACATACCTCAAGGACGGTGACTTCGTCATTCTGGAGCGCATCACATTCGTCAGAAGCCATCGTGTTGACACTGAATCGTTGGTTCTGAAAAGATATACCTGTCAAACAGGAAAAGCTGAGAATACTGCAAGCATCGACATTTTTGGCCATCGCCACCCGTCGGTGTTCAGCTCGGCGGCCGAGCAGCTTCAGCCAGTCATCATTCTGGGAATGCAACGACACTGCAAGTCAGAGAATGTATATCTCATTCGACTTGTCGATTCATGAGCGCGAATGAGCTGGTCTTACTTTGTCGGGGAGGTGTGACAGGCTGACAGCTAGCGGAGACGTCAGTGATTGCGCGGGAGTTGGTGGCGCCGCCGCTCAGTGTAGCTGCTTCGTTCCGGCTCTTTAATCTTTCCAGTGATGCACGTTGATACAGTCATTCTGCATGGCCTCGAAGCATGTCGGCGGCGCAATTGATTGCCCAGCATGCATGGAAAGAATACTATAGTAGACGGTGACAAGTCGTCTAGGTCACGTGAAGCGTGCCTTCTTCCGCGCTGACGTCTGTGACTCTCGAGTTCAACTGGAATTGCATCTTCAGTCTCTACACCTTGCTTCTTTCTAACGCAACGAAATCACGGAAACCACCCCCAGGTCCACCCTCATCAACAGCGTATCCATTCTGAACAACTCTCGGATTGAAAGGCCAACCCGCCATGGTAAGTCAATATTCCGCCGATCCTTTCCTGCCCTCGCTCACAGTAACGTCAGCTCCTCCGTATCAGATCCCCAGCTGGGACTGCCCGAATCACAGTCACCAATGAGACTCCTGGAGAAGAGTTTGCCCAGCTCATGCTGGATACCATCCCCAAGTCGGATCCCCAACCCGACTTGGCCACTGCCAAATTGAGCAATCAACCAGGGGCAAGTGGAGAGAGTGTTCCATTCGCTGCTCTTCAGGGGAGATCAGTGGGAGACATGGGATTCTCGTAAGCCATTCAAGATCTAGTGGAATAAATCTGACAGACGCAGCCACGGAGACCTTCTATTCATGTCGTACAAACCTCGCGGCGCCGACCTCGACTCGCATCCTACGACCCAAGCCACGAGCTCCCCCTCCCACCCTGCCCAGCCGGACCCATCTCACCCGCACACCCATACCGATGCGCCACTTTCCAACACCATTACGCTCAAGGATTTGAGCCACGTTGTAGAGCATCCTGTGGACAAGTACTGGGAGACGCAGAATGGAAAGATTGAGAGGAAGAGGGATCCAGACTTTTGTCGGCATGGGGAGAAGGGAATGTGTGACTATTGCATGCCTCTCGAGGTGCGCATTCAAATATTTGAAGGACACTGCTCACAATGTTGTAGCCGTATGACAGCAAGTACCAGACCGAGCAACAGATTAAGCACCTCTCCTACCACTCCTACCTCCGCAAACTTCTCTCTTCCCGCCCTGCCTCTTCCTCTTCCGCAAACAACCTCCCCCCTCTTACCCCTACCTCCTTATCCGTCATCACGCCTTGTCCTTCTGGATCCCACGCACCTTACCCGGACGGTATCTGTTCGACGTGTCAGCCATCTGCTGTCACGCTCGCGTCGCAGCCGTTTAGGATGGTCGACCATGTCGAGTTTTCATCCCCCGCTCTGATTGATGACCTTTTGTCTGCCTGGAGGCGTACAGGTACTCAGCGTCTTGCGTTCCTCCTTGGCAGAGAAGACAAGTATGAAAAGGTGCCCATGGGTATCAAGGTCGTCGTTGAAGCGGTCTGGGAGCCGAAACAGGAGGGAGAGGTGGATGGTTTGACGGTGGAGACGCCGTGGGAGGACGAGGCGAGGGTGGCAGAGGTTGCAAAGTGGTGTGAGAAGGGGCTGGAGGTGGTTGGTATGATTTACACTGATCTGACTCCGTGAGTTTGTCTATACTTTCTTTGCCCCTTACTGACGAATGGTAGCGACCCCGAGGATATCACCAAGACAGTCTACAAACGCCACGCCCAATCCTACACTGCTTCCTCTCTCGAGCTCCTCATGTCTGCTGCATACCAAATCTCCCACCCTCTCCCTACCCGTCAATCTCCCACCGGTCATTTCTCCTCACGCTTTGTTACTTGTTGCCTTACCGGTGACAAGGAAGGTGGTATCGATATTCTCGCCTGGCAGGCTAGCGAGCACGCCGAAGCGATGGTGAAAGCTGGCATCGTGGAAGCTAGTGTCGACCCTGGGGTGGTCAGGGTGAGGAAACCAGGAGAGGGCGAGTATGTGCCAGAAGTGTTCTATAGTTACAAGAATGAGTATGGGATTCAGGTGAAGAACCCTGCGAGACCGACTTTCCCTGTAGAGTATCTCTACGTCAACGTAAGTTGTTCTTCGTGTCGTAGGACGAGCTAATGAGAAGGTAGTTGACCCACGGTTTCCCCGTCTCCCCTAACCCGCTCTTCTTGAGCAACTCGTTCCCCACCGAGAATAGACCCGGTCTTCATGACCAGTCCATGACTGTTGTCGTCTCCCAGCTTGCTGCTATCTTGCAGTCGAGCGACGCCGAGATTGGTGATACCGGTACTTGGCCGGCGAGGATCAAGATGGATGTGGCCAAGTGGCTGAGCGATTGGCATCTGGTGGCATTCCTTTGTATGCAGGGACTCTTTTCTCTTGTAAGTGCCGACCCCATGAGATGAGAACACTGCTGATAGTATGAGCAGAAAGAGCAGCAGATCCTGTGCCGCGCTGCTACTGCCCACGCTCACCCCAACGACAAGACTGCCCTCGAGGAGCTCTTTGCCTCCTCCGGCTGGCAGACGCTTCTCACTATCGTTGAGAGCGACGCCGCTGCTAACGTACGTGGTGCGCCGCCTCCTACGTCGTCATTCAACAACCTCGGTATCGATTCACCCTCTGGTGCTGGAGCTTCGGGTTCTGCAGGAGGGGATGCCGATGCGGGGGGGACCAGGGAGAGGATATGCCCGCATTGTACATTCGTCAACGAACACGGGGGTAGTGATTGTGAGATATGTGGGCTGCCTTTGGACGGGTAAAATCATAAAACGGGGTACATACAAGAAATGTATGACTAGAGCATCTTTGCGATCGATCATCTTGCATAGGAAACATTCATGACATGTACTTTTTCTACGCACTTCCCAAAACCCTCAACGTCCTGTCCATGCCCGCCAACACAATCTCGCTGCCGAGCTTGCCGAATCTCGCACCCACAAGCTCGCCCGCATTCTCCTCAAACTTGAGCAACTCTTCCCAAGTCTTGTTGGCATACACTCTCGCATCCGTACCGACCACCGACAAGAACTGCGCCGAGGGGTCAAACCTGACCTCCTTGACAACGTTCTCCTCTGGCAAAGCCCATTCGGAGAGGACGTCGAGTTTACGGAGATCAAAGATCTTGACGGTCGGGGAAGTGGAAGAAGAGGTGGCGAGGTAGTAGCCGTTTTCAGAGAATGAGAGAGAGGTGAGAGGGGAAGTGTGGGAGGAGAGGGTGGCGGCGAGGGAGGACGATTGACGGGCGTCCCAGACACGGACAGTACCTTCTTTGGTACCACCACCGTGCAAGATACCATCGGGGTGAACAGCGAAGGAGTTGTAGGCAAAGGAGCCATCGACGCCGGGGATAGCAGCGTACTTGCTGATCTCCTTGGCGGTGTCGAGGTCATACAAGCTCCAGGTAGAGTCGGACGAAGCGGCAGCTGCGTAAGAGCCAGAGGGGTGAACGGCGAGGCCGGTGATATCACCCTTGTGGCCGGTGATGCTGCCCTTGGCGGCCCACTTGCCGTCATCCTCACCCCAGAGACGCACAGTCTTGTCGGCAGACCCACTGACAACAAGCTTCGGCTCACCCTCCCTCTCCCTGAAAGCGACGTGTGTGACAGGCTTGGTGTGGCCCTTGAGAGTACCGAGCACCTTGCTCGCCTCCAGGTCGAAGATCTGGACAGTCTTGTCGGGGCCGCCGGTAGCGACGACGTTGCCGTCGGCAGCGAGGTCGAGAGCAGAAATACCGGCAGGCTTGGTAGCGTGGAGGGAGGGAACGTGGTTGATCTGGGTGTAGGTCTTGACTGAGTCGGCCTTCTTGTAGCCAGGAGCGGGCTTTCTCTTCTTACGTTGGCTTGAAAGGCTGTACGATGATTAGCAAACTTCTTGCGGGTAGCAGGTAGACGTACGCCTTGTTTGTCTCCATAACCTTGGCCTCGACGTCCGCGGGAAGGGCGCCTTCCTGCTCCATCTCGACATCCTCAGCAGGCTGCTCCTCTTGAGCGGGAGCCTGGAAGCCGGTGACGCTCTGGATAGAAATCAAAGCTCTATTTGGGATTAGCTTTTGACTACCTTGATCACACTGATACGCACTGTCTGGCGGTGTCCCTCTCCTTGATCAACCTCGCAATCACCCTCGTAGCAGCATCCTCCCGATAGAGAGCGTTCGCCAACTCCTGTCTCGAGCTCTGGAAAGCCTTTTTGATCTCCAAAGACTCGAGCATGATAGAGTCATACTCTGATTGGAGCTTAGTGAGAAGGGAGGGGATGGATGTATCGGTGGCATGGCGGGGAGGGATGGTGGATGGCTCTTGAGGGAGGTCAGTTGGAGGATGGAGTGAAGACGCGTTTTCACGTACTAGCCTTGACATCGATGATGTCTTCTCTTGTCAGAGGTTCACCAGAGAGGGGGTCGGTGCCGTTCTCATCTAGAAGATTGTTAGATGGTTCTTGTGAAGATGAAGAGTACTTGCCGATATATCTCTCGATGAGGGCTTTTTCATAGACAGCGCCGGTTGTGCGAGACACGACCGGGTTCTGGGGGGCTTCTCCCGAGACTGCAGGGGGTGAGCGGGGCTATGGGGGAGGGGTGGACGTACTGGCACAGAGAAACATGGCGACGGGTATGGGTTATATGGTGAGAGTTGGAAAGAAAGAGGAGATGAAGGAGGAGGAGAATAATGCCACGTCACGGACATCGCCGCCCTCCATAACCTCTCTGACTTGTATCAACTCTTGCTCAAGTCTGTCTACGCGCCATGGACCTCACAAACTTCATCAGCGACAATGTCGTGAGGGCAAGTCGCCCATAGTATATACTGGGTATCGCTGACAATTCTCAGATTCTTGGGTCCTCGGACAGTGCCACAGTCGACTTTGTACAGTCCCTCGGTACGTCTTTCCTCTAGGTCTGTCATCATAAGCTAATACTTCTATAGCGGTGTCTTCCAAGACACCGGGAGACTTGTACAACTCTCTACTATCCACCGGCATGGAGTCCAACCCCGAAACACAGGCGTTCGCTGCCCAAGTCCACTCCTTAGTGCCCCGCAAGACAAAGACCAAAGCTCCGAAGGCCGACAAGGCTTCCGCCTCGAATCAGAAATACAGCTTTCTGACGGACGATCAATCTGGGTCATCTAGCAAGAAGGAGAAGAAGAAGAAGAAGAAGGAAAAGGACGGGGGCGAGACGGTTGGGGTGACCAAGGCGAAACATGTGCGCAAGAGGGAGACGGAGGGTGCTTGGGATTCAGACGAGGAGGAACAAGAACCCAAACGTGCCCGCACTCGATCTCCCTCCAGATCGCCTTCACGCGGTCCCGAAGAAACAGAAGAAGAGCGTCTGGAACGTGAACGCGAAGAAGATCTACGGGAACGAGACGCCTTTGCTCAAAGAATGAAGGACAAGGACCAGGATCGTACAAAGTCGCTCGTCACCGACCGGACGTCAAAGTCGGTCGGGGGAATAGAAGCGGCGAGACGGCGGGACATTATGGATGACCCAGAACAGAGAAATGCTGCGATTGCCGATCTACGAAATCGTTCACGTCAAGAATATCTCTCAAAGCGAGAGCTCCAGCAGCTCGATCTGCTTAAATTGGAATTGGAGGATGAAAAGATCCTCTTTAGAGGACAAAAGATGTCGAGAAAGGAGGAGGCAGAGCTGGAGCGCAAGAAGGAGCTCATCAGGCTTATGGAGGAGAGGAAGAAGATTGATGACGGGACAGATGGCTATATGCTTCCCGACGACTATATCACGGAGCAAGGCCGGATAGACCAGAAAAAGAAGAAAAATGCGTTGTACAAGCGGTACGACGAAGGAAAACAGGTCGAGGGACAGTTTGTCACCGACGTTGATCAGTGGGAGGCGTCCCAGCAAGACAGGACCAACCTCATCACCGGCGCTCTCGACAAGGAGGTGCTGGTGGAAAACTACGACTATGTGTTTGATGAAGCCCAAAAGATCAAGTTCTTGGAGGAGGAGAAGCTCGATGGGACGTTGACAAAAGAGGCGCAGGCGTTACTGGACCAGGTCGATCAGCTGCAGAACCAGGGTGAGTGACTGCATTGCTGCAAGAGGTTCAAGCTGACAGATCGCAGCGAAATCGATGCAAGAGACTCGAGATTCACTGCCCATCTTTGAATTCCGAGATGATCTTCTTGAAGCCATCGCCGAGCATCAAGTCCTCATCGTCGTCGCCGAAACCGGTTCAGGCAAGACCACACAACTGCCGCAGTATCTCTACGAAGCAGGCTACTGCAAGAACGGTATGAAGGTGGGCTGCACCCAGCCGCGTCGTGTCGCGGCTATGAGTGTTGCGGCGCGTGTGGCGGAGGAGATGGGTGTGAGGCTAGGGCAGGAAGTGGGCTACTCGATCCGATTCGAAGACATGACGAGTGATAAGACGGCTTTAAAGTATATGACGGACGGAATGTTGCTACGAGAGTTCTTGACGGACCCAGAGCTGTCTGGTTACTCGGCGTTGGTCATTGACGAAGCGCACGAGAGGACCCTGAGTACGGATATATTGTTTGGTCTTGTCAAGGTGAATTCTATACTAATACTACAAAGTAAGTGTCATGCTGACGATATCAGGATATTGCGCGTTTCCGTCCAGACCTCCGTCTACTGATCTCGAGTGCCACCCTCAACGCCCAAAAGTTTGCCGACTTTTTCGACCAAGCTCCCATCTTTGACGTCCCCGGCCGTCGTTTCCCCGTCGACATGTTCTACACCCAACAACCCGAAGCGAATTACATGCACGCCGCTGTCACCACCATTCTCCAAATCCACACTACCCAGCCCAAGGGCGATATCCTGCTATTCCTAACAGGCCAGGATGAGATTGAAGCGGCAGAGGAGAGTTTGAAAGAGACAATGTATGCGTTGGGGGACAAGGTGCCAGAATTGATCGTGGCGCCGATTTATGCGAATCTGCCGAGTGAGATGCAGAGCAAGATTTTCGAACCGACACCGGAGGGTGCGAGGAAGGTGAGGCTTCTACGCTTGTGAGGTGGAATAGAGCTGACGTCTTGTAGGTTGTGTTGGCTACCAATATTGCCGAAACGTCAATCACAATCGACGGTGTAGTCTATGTGATCGATCCCGGGTTTGTCAAGCAAAACAACTACAACCCCAAGACCGGCATGTCCTCCCTCGTCGTCGAGCCCATCTCGCGTGCTTCTGCCCAACAACGTGCCGGCCGAGCAGGTCGTGTCGGTCCCGGCAAAGCTTTCCGTCTCTACACCAAGTGGGCATTCAAGAATGAGCTTTTGGAGGATACCATCCCTGAAATCCAACGTACCAACCTGTCCATGGTAGTCTTGATGCTCAAGTCGCTGGGTATCAATGATGTCTTGAATTTCGACTTTTTGGACAAGCCGCCGGCGGAGACAATCATCAGATCGTTCGAGCTGCTATACGCGCTGGGGGCGTTGAACCACAAGGGGGAGTTGACGCGGTTGGGGAGGAGGATGGCAGAGTTCCCGGTGGACCCGATGTTGTCCAAAGCTATTATCAACAGTGAGACGTTCCACTGTACTCAAGAGGTACGTTTTCTCGCTTTCGTTTCGCGGTGCCCGCTGACAAGTGATAGGTCTTGACAATCATCTCTATGCTCCAAGAATCCGCTTCCCTCCTCTTCCGTCCCAAGGACAAGCGTGTCCATGCCGACAAGGCCCACAAGAACTTTATCAAACCCGGCGGCGACCACTTTACCCTGCTCAACATATTCGAACAGTGGGCTGAAAGCAACTACTCCCAGCAATGGTGCTATGAGAACTTTATCCAGTTCAAGAGTTTGAGTAGAGTGAGAGATATCAGGGATCAATTGGCGCAGCTTTGTGATAGGGTGGAGGTAGTTATTGAGAGTACGCCGAATGATGTTGTGCCGGTGCAAAAGGCCATCACCGCCGGGTACTTTTACAACACTGTGAGTAGTGTTCTTATTGGGATGCGCAGTGCTGATTTGCTGCAGGCTCGTATCGACCGTGGAGGCGGCTACAGGACCACCAAAAACAACCACTCTGTCTACGTTCATCCATCCTCATGTCTGGTCGGCATGCAGCCCCCGCCGAGGTTCATCTTGTACTATGAGCTCGTCCTTACTTCGAAAGAGTATATGCGTCAGTGTATGCCTATCGAAGGAAGCTGGCTGTCTGAACGTGAGTGTTGCTTCTTCTTGTGAACTGGGAACAAAGCTGATATGACATTGTAGTTGCGCCGCATTACTTTAGCAAGGGTGAGATTGACCAGTTGCTTGGATCAGCGAGCAAGGTCAAGATGCCCAAGAGAGTGGAACAGCCAAAGGTCGGGCCTGTGGGATGAGAGGACGGGGATGGACGGCGGTATGTTCAGCAGGAGGGTGGAAAGGAGAAGTGTCATCATTAGCATCATTGTATCAATGCAAGAATTAGTCAAGCCGCAGATCATCATTCCGGACGCCTACAAGCTCGTGTCGGTATTAGCATCTTGACCCAATGATCCTTACCGTCCCGCTGTCGATCACCTTTGGAACTCTGATCGCCTTCCCAGGATTACCGCACCCACTACTAGTAGATGGCATTGACTTGTCAACATGCAAACATTGTGAGGAGGAACAAGCACAATTATCAGTCTAAGTGCACACTGCCAAAGGTACCTGCGCCCCTACTGGCCAGCCCTATAACATGTCAACAATAAGCCAGCACAGCCAGCGGAAAGGGGGCAGCACACGACACGTGAATGGATGGCATCATGCGACACATGAAGAGATGTTTGTTTGAATACTACTATTCATCGCATCTACGACTATACTTCTGACCTATCCGCCTTATTGCTTGTCCTGGATGGGGACGTCTAGAGAGAAGAGTCAGTACGTGAATGGATCTTATGTAGACAAGCACTTACCCTTGCCGGAAACCTTCTTGAAGGCAGATCGGACACCGTCAGAGATCTTCTCGGTGGTGGAGGCGTTCTGGCCGTGGCCGGCCTTCTTGAGAGCGGCATCGACACCCTTGTCTGTGGGAAGGTCAGCGACAAGTGGGCGTAGAGGAGGAGAGACATACCGAGGGCATCCTGCTGTCCGGTGGCTTGCTGGTCAGACATTGTAATTGATATCTGTGTTGGTTCGTGTGGTGGGAAGAGAGTAGAGTGTGGTGGGAAAGAAAGATAGATGGAAATGGAATGGCTGCTTTATATAACCCGTGAGAACGAATCTAGTGAGTCTTACGCCATTATGACATCATCCGGCCTCTGGGTCCACGGCTGTCTCTCTCGCGCCCTCGCCCTGGATATCAAGACAATTGGGCGGGAAATTGATTGCTGCCCGTGCTAAAAGTTGATGCATCCTAGATTAATTGATCCCGGAGTGTGTTTGTGCAGCGAAAGGAGAGAGAAGGAGGACATGGACGCAATAGCTGCGGAGTACGTCATCCGTCTTTATCTCGCAGCAGACAGCGGATGCAGCGGATTGCCTATCAGGATTACACCATGCGACTATCTGCTCTATGTCTCGTCTTCGTGTCTGGCATGCACCAGCACCTCCCGGATCAGCTTGACGTATACCCCCTCTTCCTCCCCATCCTGTCCGCCGCTTTCTATCTGCGCGTCCACCGCCTTTTCCACCAGCTCCAGCTGCGGCTTCTCATCATCGTGCTTGCCTACCCAGAGGATATATTCGGCTTCTGACCAGCCGTGTACTTCGTGCGGCAGGCGGAGAGGGGAGCGGACAATGATGTGGTGGAGGACGATGAGAGGTGGGATGTGGACAGTCTCGACAGGGTCGGCCAGCGTATCTAGGTCTGCAAACAATATTGTTCTACTCGACGTCAGCCAGGAATCATACACCGGCTCAAGGACGCACCGGAAAGACCGCAGAGCCTGATACTCTTCTCCAACGCTCTCAACTCTTGCTCCGCCCCTCGAGCCCTGCACCCGGCCTGTATTCAACAGGTTGGTAACACTCATCTCCAGCTCTGTCATATCCCCCGTCAATTTCAACGCCCCGCTCTCTCCCATCGGTCTCGCGATACTCCCATGCAGCAAGAATGTCCTAATGATAAACTTGCTCAATTCCAGCACCCACTCCTTCAAGTACTCGCCCAAGCCCATACGGCTGAGGATCTCGCGCTTGGCGAAGGAGAGTTTGTCGACGAGGTCTTGCATGTAGGGGCTCCCGCCGCCAGTGTCCATGCCCATGGACATGGGATCGACGGGCTTGGCAAAGTCGACGCGGTGGATGCGGGAGAGGATGGAGGTGATTTCTTTGCGCAGAGCGGCGTCGAGAGCGTCGGTAATGCGTTTGAAGGTGGTTTCGACAGACTGTTCAGGTCAGCATGATACAAAAGCGCTAACGGGACTTACGTTGACTGAAGGGGTGAGGATATCCCAGACCTTGCCAATGTAGTCTTGCTTGACATAGACAAAGTTGAGCCAGCAATGATACAGACAGCCCACGAGCTGAGCATTGATCTGCTGGGAAGGTGTGGCATTGGGCCCTATCATGCTGTTTGCTGTAAAGTCTTTCACCAACTAGACATTTGATTAGCTCTGAAACCTTATGGTTGGACCTCTTTGCTCACCATCCCATCAATCTTCTTGACGAATCCATCCAACACTTTCGAAGCGTTTCTGGCCACAGTCCGCACCAACAACGGATCAAACCTCGCCGAGTCCAGCTCATTCGTCATCGTTCTCGCAATGTTCACTCCCTCCCCTGGTCCCGGCGGATGTCCCCTGCCCGACAAGTACTGCCCGACCCCCGTAGTCACCGCACTGGTCATGCGCTCCGTCGAGCGCGAGAGGTAGAGCGTTTCAAAGGAGGAGACGGAGCGAAGAACGAGGACTGCTTCGGGGGATTGGTGTTCGCGGGTGTAGACGGTATCGGTGTGGACGGCGATCTTGGCGAAAAAGTCGTGGAAGAGGCGGAGTAGACGGGGGTAGCCTGTGCTGAGAGCCAGCTGAATCCATGTCGCTGCGAGCCATCAGATGTGGTCTATCATTTGACGCGAGACTTACAACGAGAAGACTCTCTGGATTGTGTCTCGAATGCCTTGGCAAGAGTCGTCCAGAATGTAAAGCTGGGCTTCTCTTCCAATCTCTGCACCACAATCAGCAAAGGTCTTCTACTGATATATTGTACGCACTTTCATAACCTCATCCAAGAACTCGACCTGCGTCACAGTATCCCTCTTGACCTTCAGGATCTTTTCCAAAGTGTACACCTTGACGCAGCAATTAGCGACGTCCTCGATCACCCGCTCAAGCCTCTTCCATAAAACATTGATCCACTGAGGTGCTGTCGAAGACGTAGGTTCGGTAGCAGGACGACTACGCGCAAACTTGATAGCGCTCTGAGAAGCAGCACCCTCCTTGGCAGCTACTTCTTTACCGATAGCAGCCGAGTCGAAAGCTCTGGTCACGCGAAGGGTGACTGCATCGTTTAGATCGGCCAGGAGGTTGGACACGAGGTCGGGGAGAAGGCGAAGGTTGTGGGCTGTTTGGAGAGCCGAAGAGAGAAGGCTTTGGTTCTGTACAATCTGAGCTGGCTGATCATTGTATATAGAAAAGGACTTACAAGATCTTGTAGACCTGCCACGACCATACTTTCCATTTCTTCAATGATCGTATCCCTCGCTTGATCCACTAACGGGGCATACGCCCGCACGAAATCAATCTCCATCAACGATATCTGCACCTCCCCATCATCTTCCTCCGTCGCCGGCTCTTTCAACAGCGCATCCAGCTCTGCGCAGCTCAACGCAGCCTTGGCAAGCTCCCTCCTCTTCTCCGACTCGTCCGACTCTTCTTTGCCCTCTTCCTCCTTGACATTGTTCATTCGATCCAGCTGGCTCTCTAGCCGCCGGGCGAGAATGACAAAGCGACTGGCACGCCTGGAGACTTCGGATACTTGGCGCAGTGTTTCTTGACGCTTGACTAGGGTGGAGAGGTTGGTATATGGTGTGTGTATTTTGGAGTGGAGGCGGTCGATGGACGTGGATAGAGAGGTGAGGGATGTTCGTATAGGTGTCAGATGTGAGGATAGTGATAGCGATGTTGTGAGATGGTTTAGCAGTAGGTGGTGAGAGCTGGTGATCTATGGGGGGTTAGCTAGAGCCGCGGAGGGTATGGAATACCAACTTCTTGTCTGAGCTGTTTTGTGACATCCTCCTGCATATCGTGTCAGCTCGCCTCTAGGTGTAGATGGCTGACGCACTATTCCAAAGTTGAGCCTGGCAAGCTCCGAGCCAACGTCCGAGTCGCCCTTGTCCTTCTCTGTCGCAGCATCATTCTCCTCGTCGTCTGGTCTGTACTGGCGGCCCTGGAGGATGGCGTTTGTGTAGGCGTGGACGTCGAATGCGTCTGAGAGGAATGGCTTGTGGTCTGTCCCCGTCAGCGCTGCCCCGCCCCCCCCCCCCCCCCCCCCCCCCCTGAGACTCACCGAGGAAAGTGTCTGGCATGGCTGTGCTGAAGAGAGAGAGCAGCAACAAGAAGACGCGTCAAGCTATCTTTCTTAACCGGCCCCCGCTTAAGATTTCAGCCAGGCACCCATCAAAATAAATCATCAAAGATCTTCAACTCAACTTTTGTAACCACCACCACTATGCCCAAAGAACAGGTCCGCAAGAGAGGAAAGAGAAAGACAAAGGCCCAGGAGGAGGAGGCTCCTGCTCCCGTGGTCGCTCCCACGACCCATGTGGCCGACCCAGAACCCTCGACTTCAACTGGAATTCACCCTGCTCGAGCTGCCATGCTCGCTGGACGTCCCATGCCCAGGCAAGCACCTGCTCCCGAGGCGCCCCGACAAGAAGGTGAAGAAGGTGTCGAGGGCGCCGAGCTTGCTGAAGGCGATGGAATCGATGGCCAGGCCGACTGGACAAGGGGACCTAGGACAGAGTCTGAATTTCCGTTCGGCATCTTGGACCCGGACGTGAAGGCGTACTTTAGGAGTATCGAGGATCAGATCAAGGATTGGGAGGGTGTATCTTCTGCTGGAGAAGAGAGGGAAGGTGTGTCCACTTTACTTCAGGGTGGCACAAGAGCTGACGATTAGCAGACCGACAAATATTCCTCTCTTCTGTGCTTTCCGAACTGCGAGGCCACGAGCTGTCAGCGTCTACCGACCCCGAGACGTCCATCATTCTCGAGAGACTGCTGCCTTCGCTTAACGACTGGGGAAGAAGAGTCATTGGAGATTCGTTTGGAGACAAATGGGATGTCCTGCTGAGACACAGATTCTCCAGTCACGTTGTGCAGACTTGGATCACCCTTGCTGCCGACACTCTCGACCGAGAGGTGAGTCTGTGACATTCTGTTACCCAATGCTGACAATGTATAGGCTCGCGACATTTGGCCGCCCCAGCAAGCTTCGCAAGATATTTCAGCCGGCCAACTCCCCACCATGTCCGACCTCATCACCTCCATCGTCTCCCTCCTCCTCCCCACTCTCCCTCAACTTGTATCATCCCCATACGCTTCCCCCCCTATCCGTCTCCTCATGCTTGTCCTCACTCCCAGACGGGCCCTGCCAGCTTTGGGCGAGGGCCAAGGTAACGAGAGTGGTATCATCAGGAGTAAGAGGTCTGGAAAGTGGAGAAAGGGACAGGATGTCAAGGGCAAGAGTATCCTGGGTGAAGATGGCCCCAAGGACAAGTCCAAGCGCAAGCTTCCCAAAGAGCTCAAATCGACGAGAAAGGAGATCCGAGTGGCTTTGATGGAGAATCTCGAGGCGGCAGAGTGGAAGGCGATGGCGGCCAATGCGGTTGGGTGCCCGACAATACAGCTCGTGCTCGAGTTCGAGGTGGACGACAAGGAGGTGGAGAAGGAGGGTTCGTTGTTTGACATACTCACTGAGGGACTCGTCTCGCAGCTTGCTTCCGGCAAGACGGAATTCGAGGCCCAGCCTTTCCTCTTGTCTCTCCTCGCTTCTCAGACCGGTACTCGACCCTTCGAGAGCCTTTTGCAGCTTTCCCCGGCACCCGTATTTGGTGCGTTGTGGAAGACGTACTTTGAGGGCAAGCTGGGTAAGCTTGCAGGCCATCCTTATGCCAACTTTGTCGTTGCCAAGGGCGTGTCGAGGTTGGACAAGGACCAGGTTGAGGAACTCATCAAGGAGGTCAAGGGAAACAGCGGTGGTCGAGGTCTCATCAGTACGTATCATATCTTTATATCTTGAAATTTGCTGACATATCTACAGAGGCCGCCCGAACGAGCGTCATCCAAGCTCTCGTCGACCGCTCTCTCACCATCCCCGAAATCCAAAAGCCCGTCCTCCAACTGATTTTCTCCTGCCTCGAACTCCCCGCCACCTCCCAAAACACCCTTGTCCCCTGTCTGATGACCCTCAAGACATTCCCCATGTACCAAGCTCTCATCACCGGCGAGCCTTTACCGTCAGATGAGCCTGCCCCCCAGGCGGAGGAAGGGGCGGATGATGACGCGGAGAAGGCTGCTGCCGCTGCTGCGAGGTTGGCAGCGTGGCAGAATAGGAGGACGGCGAGACCGAAGGATGATCTGGCGCCTAATATACAGGGGTGTTTGATTTTGCAGGCGATGGTGGGGATGGACCAGGCCAACGCTGCTGTTTTGGACTCGTAAGTGGCTCCAATGGCACTGCCGAGTGTAGGCTGACATTGTCAAGTTTGACTTCATTGCCCGTGGACGCTCTCATCACCTATGCCAAATCCCCCATCGCCTCCCGTCTCCTCGACAAGGTCTTTATTGACCCCGCGGCGCCTATCAAGTATAGGAAGAAGCTTATGATGGTGTTTATGGACCATTACAAGCAGCTTGTGGAAGACAAGTTGGGAAGTAGGGTTGTGGATATTATTTGGGACAGGGCGGATGGTTTCATGAAGGTGAGTCTTTTGTGTCCTGTTTGTGCACGGCTGACAAGAGGACAGGAAAAAATCGCTCGATCGCTCATACCACACCTCACCTCTCTCGGTGGCTCGCAATACGGCAAATACTTTGTTCGCCGAGCCGATATCGTCCTTCTCAACCGCCGTCCCGAAGAATGGCGCGAAAAGATCCTGGCTCTCAAACACCACTTTGCCCACCAAAAAGAGCCTGCTGAGGAGGTCAAGAGTGAGGTCAAGGAGAAGAAGAGAAAGGAGCAGAGGGATGATATTGATGAGTTGTTCGATGCGGTGGAGAACAAGAAGCGGAAGACTGCTTAGATGGTGTGGCTTCAGGGTATATAGATGCATGATGGTCTATTACGATACAACAATGAGCTGGGATTAAGCATTCTATACTTGTTCTAGATCTCCCTATAGTCCAATCAGCTTTTGCACTGCGCTCAACAGGAAGAAACTTACTCGGCCGGGGCGCTTCGTAACCACAAGTCGATGGCGCCGGAGAATACGGCAAAGGCAGCACCACCACCCAACATGGCACCCGGGCCAGCATTACGAGCGAGAATCGCACCCGTCAAAAAACCAGCAGAGACACCATTGTAAATGTCATTCTTGGCTCGATACTAGAGAATCATCAGCCCAGTTTACAGGCTCGTCAAAGCACTTACACCCTCAATACAGCATTCTACACCTGAATACACCATACCGACCTTGGCGAAACCTTTACCGCTCGACCACATACTCCTTCCCATGTCCTTCATGACAAACCACGTCTGAGCTCTTGTCGATGCGTGCTTTTCAGACGCCCGGGAAAGAGGGTCTTCGTAGGCAAATGTGGCCGACATGAGGGAAAAGAAACCACCCAGTACGAGACCTGCAATACATTAGTGAATCTCAAGCATGATATAACTCGAATACGCACCACCAGTACCAGCGCTACCGACCTTGAACGGACAACTCTCAGCAGCCATACCCATCCATCTTTGGTATTTCAGAGCCGTCTGCATCTCCTCCTTCTCCCAGTCGGTGGTGCCGGCCGGGAAGGGCTCCTGCCCCGGGAGGTATATGGGGGGCAGGAGGGGCATCGAAGCAGGCATAGGGATCGGCATCCTGGCGGTGTTTCTTGTGCTATAGATCATGCAAGTGATGCACTTGACAGACTTTTCAGGCCTGGGCGGCGGTGGCCGCCGTGCACGTGGCTCCGAGGGTCCGAGCGCGACGCGTCTGTTCTCTCTTGCGTTGTAATGGGCTCTGTCAACAGCTGTTATTATTTGCTCCCACCCGTGCCCAGCCTCCCTCCCTCATGCCTCCAGCCCGCCCGCGACAATGAGCAGCACGGTGTCCCCCTCAAAGAGACGCTCGAAACAGCTCGAGGAAGAGGTCTGGGACGACGACTTTGAGTTTCCCGTGCAGAAGAAGAGGTCCAACTCGGTCACCAAGGACGAAAAGTCCCGCAAGTCTCTGGATGATGACTGGGATGAAGACTGGGATGAGTCGCCCCCCAAGCCCGTGGTATCCTCCCCTTCGCGGCATGGCCTGTCTCAGTCCAGACCTATCTCAAAAGTCCCTGCACCCCTCAACATCCCCAACCATGCCCATGATCAGTCAAGGATCTCCCCTGGTGTCACAGCAGACCTATCATTACCCTCGCCGTCACCAATGCCGCCCAGCTCGAGCAATCCACATCAGCCTCTACTCGCGTCGCGCTCGAACTCGTCCCTCCTCTCCATTGGACAGGGAACAAAACCCCGCTCCAGAGCTGGCTCTGTAGCGACGACAGGGAGCGGCACAGTGCGCAGAAAGCTGGTCAAGAGGCACCCTTCGACCTCTTTCATTCCAATACCCGGCAACAGGTCTGCCAGCCACCTTCCTTCGAGCACATCTTCGACTTCCATCTCGTCTTCGCACAACATTGTTTCGCCAGCCGAAGAGTTTTCGATACCGCCATTACCGGCTAATATGCCGAGGAGTACGTCAGGGGAGCAGATGCCGCCGCCGCCTCTACCTGTAAGGGGTGAGAGTGGCGTTAGTGCTATGATGAGACGGAAGAGCAAGTCGAAGAAGCAAGGGGCGCCTCCCTCGCCGTCAAAAGAAAAGTCGTCTTTGGGAGAGGCAAAGGAGCAGAGAAAAGGGTTCTGGAATAGATTGTCTGGTGGACCCACGGAAACAGGTGAGTACAAGGTGACGAGGTTGGCGCAGAGCTAACGAGTCTCAGATGGAGTGCATTCACATAGACGGCGAAGATCATCCTCCGTCGGAGCTACTCTTGCCAAACCCGAATCTCCACAGTCTCCCATGCCTCCCCTTCCCTCGAATCTTCGCTCCCCATCAGCCACTTCCACCTCCACGTCGTCGTCCGCTCATTCACACAACCGCGCGCAAGGCGTCACTTCTGTCTTCACTTCAATGCTCCGTCGTTCATCGAGCAGTCTGTCGAAAAGCAGTCGAGGATCAAAAGAACCTCCCTCGGCATACCCTTATGCGTACCCGGGCGGCGATGGAGGACGTAGTAGATCGAGTGTGAGCGTTGGTATACCCATACCGGAAAAGACAGACGGAAGGACGACACCGGAACAACCACAATCGTTTTCGCGCGGCTTTCACCTCCCGTCCCCTTCTCCTCAATCACCATATCACAGTAAACCGCGTATGCCACTACCTCTGGGCCGACCACCCCTTCCAGATCACACCGCATCTGTTCCTTTACTCTCGGGTCAACCACCTTCTCTCAACACAATGTCAATCGATGCGGATGATAGTGATGAGGAAGGGGACAAGACGCCCCGCCGAAGGAAAAAGGTGCCCCTGGCTTCGCTGCGAACTTCTCCGGGAAAGAAGGGGCATGGAGAGTCTTACGAGCATGGTTCCCCCGCATCTGCATCCATTCCCGGTCTTCCCCGGTCATCATCTACCAGCCCCTGGCCCAGCTTGGGCTCCCCCACAAAGACGCGTGTCAATCCTATGCCGCTTGTGCCGTCTGGAGGTGGGGGAGAGAATGAAAGTATCAGCAGCGGGCATACCGGGGCGAGCGGTAATGGGAGCGGCTTTGCGTCGACTGTTAGGAGGCTGGGATCAATCTCAAAGAAACACGGGCGTCGCTTGTCTGGGGGTTGGAAATTTGGCACACAGTCGTCCAACTCGTCGTCAAATTCTGGCGGAGGGGTAGCATCTGCTGGGTCGGTATTTGGACAGCCGAGGGATGAAAAGGCAGTGCTGGAGACGGTTATGGGATCGCCAGTCAAGGACAGGCGAGATGATGACCTCGTCGATTCGCCAGTGGTCGTACAGCACCCTCTAACCCCCGATACCAAATCCAAACCCAAACACCGCCCCCGCCCCTCCGATCAATGGGATCATGACTTTCCCTCCTTTTCTGCCCCGAACGCGAATCAGTCATCGACCACCCTCGCAAGACTGGATAAAGTCGAAAAGTCGGCGACGCAGGAGAAATTGTTGTTGGCAGAAGCAGACAAGAAGAGGATGGAGGATAAACAAAGGAGAAGACAGAGCTGGAATGATTTCGTGATTCCCAGGAATGTGTTGGAGAAACAAAAGGAGCTGAAAGAAGGGATCGGTGCTGTCAAATTGTTTGCGAGAGGCGTCAACAGTGAGTCGGCGAGAGATCTGCAAAGATTGGGCTGACGTGAGATAGCTCTCAAAGCGCTGTCGGCTACACATGCTGGTCTGAGGAAATGCATCATTGAAGATGGGTCCGAGACAGACGCCAACAAGTTTTCTGCCCTCGAGGCAGAGTTTGCGCAATGGTGGGAGATGGCCATCGTCCTCATTGAAGTGGGATCCACGGGCAAAGAAAGCGGTTCGCAAGCTTCAGTCGAAAGCCCTAGACGTGAGCGAAGGGTGACTCTTGCGAGCGAGGAAGCCCGGGCTGCTGGAGATGCTCTCAGACAGGCTTCTGGGGGATCATTCAAGAGCCCGTATAGCTCGCCGGTGCAATGGAACTACGAGACTCACTCTCAAATTGTGGGCCCGAGCCAAAAGAAGATTTCGCTACCCGACCCTTCCGAAACGAATCAGTCCACTTTCCATGGTCCTCCTCGAGCCTCGCCACTGCCCGAACAATGGCGCGCGTCTACTGGCCGTCAAGATCTTTCCAAACGACAACTCGAAGTGCTTCGCACCATGCTGAAAACGCCGATGCCTAGCGGTAGTGTCAGCAGCTTGGAAAGGCCCGGGATGAGCAGAGGGGCGAGCACGATATCGACGAGGACGGGGAGCTCTTTGGCCGAGAGATTCGATGCGGTGCATGGGCCGGGGGCGGCTACCGTTGCTGCACCTCCCATGCCTCGCACGCACACTCCGCTTCGTATCGACACTACTTCACCGCAAGGTCTCGTGGTAGAGCCTCCGACTGCTACAGCCAAGCTCAACCAACGCCGTATGAGTAAAGCTGGCTTGGCGGGACTGAAAGAGTTTTTGCGGTCTCTAAAGAAGGATGGAGGCGGGGAGAAGAAACCTACTCCGAGAAGGATGAAGTCGCATTCCAAAGCTCTGCGTGATGCCCCAGTGACGAGCCCTTCGGATAAGATAGATTATCGGGAAAAATCGAGCATGTCGCCGCCTTCTTCACCGTCCTCTCCCACCACAAGACAGTGGTCGAGGATGCCCCAGACAGCGCCTCCGACGCAGACGACCACGAGAGGTCCTTACGAGACATCACGAAGTTCCTTCGCCGTCTTTGGGCCTCAGGGCCCATCGCCTCCTCCCACCACCGGCTACGTATCGGGCACACCCCAATCGCAATCGTCCTCTCGCATCTCCTGGCAAGCCCAGCCGTCTGCTTCCCAAGCTTCTTCCCAGCCAAACCCAAAGAGACCTAGTCTGCGAAATATCTTCCGGACAAGCTCGGGCAACTGGAGTGAGCTTGCTGCCAACTCGACTCCGAACCCATCGAACGGCTCGCCGGGGTTGAGAAAGAGGGGCAGTGTCCAGATCCTGGGGCAAATCAACGAGACGATGGGGAAAAGTCCCCAGCAAAGGGAGGTTAAGGAGAGAGAGAGGGCGCATGCTCAGGCGCAGACGATGGGGTCGTTGACTGGCCGCGTACCTGGAGTCGCCCGCAGCTCGATATCCGTCAGTGATCCTCTACCCCATCCCCATGTGAGATCTGTAACAGAGATGGGCGCGAGGGTCAAGGGTGAGAGCCAGGGCGAGGGCGATCAGACTTTGAAGCCGAGGAGGAAGGGCCGGGCGACGCCTTTGGGTCTTGGATTGGGGTGGCCAGAGAAGAGGGCGGAAGAAGCTGGTTTGGCTCGGAGCCCCACATCGCCTGTGCGCGGACGGCCACACGCGGCGAGTACGTCGACGATGAATAGCGCGACGACGGGCGGCGGCGAAACAGGGGATGAAGAGTTGGTGGTGGCGTTGACGCCAGAGAATCTACCGACGTTGTTGGAGTATCTGAGACAGTGTGAGATGAAGCTGGGCGAGTGGAAGTTGCTGGTTGAAGAAGAGGGATTGGGAGAAAAGCTGGTAGAAGTAGAGAAGGGGGAACAATAGGAAGGACGATTTTTTGCATTACTATCTCATACACTCATTGCATGTACAATACAAAGGTTACGCTCCCATGGCGCCTCTATCCGCTTCACTCTCCATGACCAGGATTCGTTTCAGTACGCCCAGGACTGTGCGGCACGCGCATGTCCAGGCTTCTTCAGCCGTGGCATCACTAGCAGAGCTCTTGTCTTTGGCAGACGCATCGCCTACTCCAAGGCCCATGATGGACATGGACGGAAGGCCGAGGGGCATGGATGATATTCCAGGTAGGCGGATAGAGTGGTTGGATATCTTGTCCTTGTGGATCCTGCTTCCCGTCAGTTTGGGATCACGAGTGGAGTTTCGGACGTACTCGATATTACCCATCGCCCAGGCCTTGTTCTGCTTCTTGCCGAACTCTATCAACTGCCTGAGACAGTCCAGGAAAGCCATCATGGCGTGGTTGAATCGGCGGTTCTGGAGAATACGGGCGGGAGTAATGTCGGAGGACGCATAGAGCTCATAGGAAGATTTGGAAGGGGGCAGTTCTTCTATACGAGAGTATGATCCGAGTGGCACTACTTTGTATCTATTTGCGAGTGAGCCGAGTCCTAGAGGTAGGGGACGACTCACGTATCAAAAACACACTCGACCTTGTCGGCGATCCTATGCAAGCACAGAGCAACGAGACCCCAAGCCGCATTGATCTCTTCCCACTCTACCACCGGCCTGCCGCCTAGACGAAGCCCATTGATGGTCCCCACCGTCACATTCGACGACGAAGACGGTGATAGAGGCACATGGCCTATCTGGAACGCGTCGTTGTAGACGTTGGTCGACTCCAGGTGCGCTAGGAGGGTACGAGAGAGGAGGAGGGATGTTTGGGCGGTATTGAGGGATGAGGTGAGATGAGAGAGATGGTTCGAGAGGGCAGAGTGGGAGAGGAGAAAGTCGTTCTCTTCCCTCTCGACTTGTTCTTCTTCTGCCTTGGCCAGCTCTTCTTCGTGTTCGGCAACATCGAGCTCCTTCTCCTTGCTTTTGAGAATTGCCTTTAGCTGTTTCTCCTCGTCTTGCAGCTCCTTCTTGCGCCGGGTGAGGGCGGCCCATTCTGCATCTGTGCCTTCGACGTCGTGCCCGCCCAGACCGTGTCTACCCTTGCTCGGCGCCTTGCTCTTTAGCTTTTCACGGTTCCGCAATATCCCCTGTTCAAAGCCTATATAGGCGTCCCGCTCTTTGCCCAGCTCTTCCGCCTTCTTCTGAAACTCGGCGGTCAGAGAGGCGGTACACTCTGTGCACAGCGGGTGGGCTATCGGCGTATTACCAGAGAGAATGGAGTGCAGCTGTGCAGACAGATGCGATGCGTGCGGTGGGTTCTGGATAGACGGACTTGGAGAAGGCTTGGGATATAGGGCCGAGTCGGATAAGAGGATAAAGCTCTCCGCGACGCTCCGCCCGCCATGCCTACTGGACCCGGCCCCGGGCGTAGACAGATTAGCGTCTGCCCATACCTTTGCCGACTGCCTGGATGACGGAGGCAGCGCTGCGAGTTTCTCAAAGGGGGGCCAGTCGTCGATGGAGGATGCGGGGGAGTCGGGGAGGGAGGAGGAGATGAGGCTGTAGTGGGCGGGGGAGAGGGGGGCGAGTTGGAGGGGCTGGGGGGTAAGCGGGGTACAGCTGGGGGGCACTCACCTGGCTGCATCGCTGGCATACGTGGTGCCCGTCGTCCGACATGGTGCGCGTGGCAGCGTACAAGTACATCGAGTGGCAAGTGCAAACAGCCGCGGCGGCCGGCGGGCGAGGATATTTGATCCCGCTCCGCATGTCCCCCCACATAAGGACGAACGTTCTGGAGGACGCTACGTGTTTGTAATTACAGTTAATTACGCGGTGACGTCGGTGCGGGGGTGTTCTGGCATGTTCGGCTTCTCACGCACGCGCACATATAAGGCGACCGAATTCCATCTCTCCCCACCAACACAAAATACTTTCAACGCCACTCTTACCACTACATCAACTACTATCTACACTACATCCACTACTCCTACACCACATCCACAATGGCCCAGACTAAAGCTATTGGTATCGACTTGGGTACCACCTACTCCTGTGTTGCCGTATGGCAGAACGACCGTGTCGAGATCATCGGTGAGCACCCTCTTCCTTCCTGCCTTCGACCCAGCTGACACTCTCCTAGCCAACGACCAGGGTAACAGAACAACACCATCATATGTTGCCTTCAACGACTCTGAGCGTCTGATCGGTGATGCCGCCAAGAACCAGGTCGCCATGAACCCCTACAACACCGTCTTTGACGCCAAGCGTCTGATTGGCCGCAAGTTTGCCGACTCGGAAGTGCAGGCCGACATGAAGCACTGGCCGTACAAGATCATCGACAAGGCGGGCAAGCCCGTCATCCAGGTCGAGTACAGGGGCGAGGAGAAGACTTTCGTACGTACTACTAGTCCCATGATTCGCGCAACTGCTGACCATAGCCACAGACTCCCGAAGAAATCTCTTCAATGGTTCTCATCAAGATGAAGGAGGTCGCCGAGGCTTACCTCGGTGGCAACGTGTCCAAGGCTGTCGTCACCGTCCCCGCCTACTTCAACGACTCTCAACGTCAGGCCACCAAGGACGCCGGTACCATTGCCGGTCTTGATGTCCTCCGTATCATCAACGAGCCCACCGCCGCCGCCATCGCCTACGGTCTCGACAAGAAGACTGAGGGTGAGAAGAACGTCCTCATCTTCGACTTGGGTGGTGGTACTTTCGATGTCTCTCTTCTTACCATCGAGGAGGGTATCTTTGAGGTCAAGGCCACCGCTGGTGACACTCACTTGGGTGGTGAAGACTTTGACAACCGTCTCGTCAACCACTTTGTCCAGGAGTTCAAGAGGAAGAACAAGAAGGGTAAGTCTGTCGTCCACACACTTGGAACTCCACTGACATCTCTCTAGACCTTTCCTCGAACGCCCGTGCCCTCCGACGTCTCCGAACCGCCTGTGAGCGTGCCAAGAGGACCCTTTCTTCTGCCGCCCAGACCACCATCGAGATCGACTCTCTCTTTGACGGCATCGACTTCTACACCTCCATCACCCGTGCCCGATTCGAAGAGCTCTGTCAGGACCTCTTCCGATCCACCATGGACCCCGTCGAGAAGGTCCTCCGAGACTCCAAGATTGACAAGTCCAACGTCAACGAGATTGTCCTCGTCGGTGGTTCCACCCGTATCCCCAAGATCCAGAAGCTCGTCTCCGACATGTTCTCTGGCCGTGAGCCCAACAGGTCCATCAACCCCGATGAGGCTGTCGCCTACGGTGCCGCCGTCCAGGCCGCTATCCTTACCGGTGACACTTCCGAGGCTACCCAGGACTTGCTCTTGCTCGATGTCGCCCCTCTCTCCATGGGTATCGAAACCGCTGGTGGTATCATGACTCCCTTGATCAAGCGAAACACCACTGTCCCCACCAAGAAGTCCGAGACCTTCTCCACCTACTCTGACAACCAGCCCGGTGTCTTGATCCAGGTCTTTGAGGGTGAGCGTGCCAAGACGAAGGACTGCAACTTGCTCGGAAAGTTCGAGCTCTCTGGTATCCCCCCTGCTCCTCGAGGTGTTCCTCAGATCGAGGTCTCTTTCGACGTTGACGCCAACGGTATCTTGAACGTCAACGCTGCCGACAAGTCTACCGGTAAGAGCAACAAGATTACCATCACCAACGACAAGGGTCGATTGTCCAAGGAGGATATTGAGGCTGTGAGTATCTCTCTTCCTTTGCACGAGCTGCATGCTGACTTTCTACTAGATGCTTGCCGATGCCGAAAAGTTCAAGGCTGAAGACGAGGCCGCCGCCGCCACCGTCCAGGCCAAGAACGGTCTCGAGTCCTACTCTTACTCTCTCAAGACCACCTTGTCCGACAACGCCGACAAGTTTGATGCCGAGGACCACAAGACCCTCACCGCCAAGGTCGACGAGGTCATCAGCAACCTCGACACCATGCAGTCTGCCTCCAAGGAGGAATTCGAGTCTTTGCAAAAGGAGCTCGAGGCTGTTGCCAACCCCATCATGACCAAGTTCTACGGTGCTCAGGGTGGTGCGCCCGGTGGCGCTCCCGGAGGTGCTCCTGGTGGCTTCCCCGGCGCTGGCGGTGCCGGTGCCTCTCACGAGGACGGCCCCTCTGTCGAGGAGGTCGACTAAGCGATAGAATAGAGAGTTGAAAGGGGAAAAAGAGTCTGATAGAAGTCACAACAACATTAAAAAGAGTCATATTTGTATATTTAATATTCCGGTTTTCGTGTTCTAGTATATGCATCTGGGTTTAGGACCACTTTGAGCACTGCGATTGTTACACCCGAAGACTTTGACAGGCTGAGTATGTCGAGAAAGGAAAGCTCAGAGATTCGCCCGCTCTTCGGTCCGCCCGCGCCGTAACTCCGGGCTATGCCGGGCGGCATGTGATCTATGGCATCTACTAGGAAGCATGCAGTGATGGGCAGCGATATGCATATAAGCAAGTCATGCACTCAGCTATATCTACTCGTCGGCGTCGTAGCCTTTCCTGATCCAAGAATTGCCACGATAGGATGGCGAACAGCTCAACTAAAGCCGCGGCCGACGGCGACTTCTTGGGAAACCCATTCCGAACGCGAGAGGAAGTCAAGAGAGCTTGTATAGCTTGTAAGAGCAGGATTGATATATTCATACGTCGGTACTGATAATGCTACAGTACTGGATCCTCTGCAAAGCAAAGCATCACATGGGGGCGCTGTGATCAAGATTGGAAGCACCGCAACCCACTACGACGACAAGGCCGTCGCTCTGGAAGCTTTCGCAAGACCACTATGGGGTTTGGCTTCTCTCCTAGCTGGCGGGGAGCAGTACGATGGTGCAAAGCTTTGGGTTGAGGGGCTGGCTAGTGGGACAGACCCTGAAAGCGAGGGATATTGGGGTCTATCGGCGGACAAGGATCAGAGGATGGTGGAGATGAGCCCGCTGAGCTATGCTATCGCGCTTTGTCCGGATAAGTTTTATCATGTGAGTCGATGAGAGTTTGGTGAGGCATCATGGCATGGGCTGATTGTCCACAATCAGAGCCAAACACCGCAAGTTCAGCAGAACATATGCCTGTTCTTGCAGAGCTGTATAGGCAAGCGTATGCCTGACAGTGAGTGTTCATCAGCAACGAGTGGCCTCGTATATTGACATCTTGGACAGCCAATTGGCTTTGGTTTCGTGTATTCGCCAATATCGCTCTGCGAACCGTCCAGTCCGACTTCCATAACGGAGCACAAATGCAGCGAGATTTGTCCCGACTGGAAGAGTTCCAACTGGACGGGCATGCCCCGAGCGGGGACGATAGTGGCTCTGCAGGTTGGAGTCGGGATGGGCCAGAGGACGTTAAACAACTGGACTACTATAGCTCGAGCTTTGCTATACAGGTCGCCCAGATGCTCTACAGTAAGGTCAGTACGAGTATGCCGTCGTAAGTAGAGCGGGGCTGATTGTAACGCCGCGGCAGCTCGCTGCCACGGAAGATCCTGTGAGGTGCGACAAATACAAGCAGCGAGCCCAAGATTTCGTCAAAGACTTCTTTTATTACTTTGCCGATGATGGTAAGTCTCATACGACGTTGTGAGCGATTGTTGACATAGATATCAGGCTCTGCTATCCCGTTCGGTCGCTCGATGGTCTATCGCTTCGCTGTAATTGCTACCGCCTCGGTCCTACCTATGGCGGACATTGAGCCTCCTGCACCCCTTTCTTGGGGTCATATCAAGGGATTGGTGCTGCGCCATCTCCGCTCTTGGAATGATGCTCAAGACATCTTTCGAAGCGACGGCACTCTCAACATTGGCTACCGTTATGACTGTATGAACATGACTGAAAACTATAATGCTCCTGGTACGCTACTTTTTCTCTTGCCATCAATGGATGCTGATGGGCAAACAGGGTCGCCGTACTGGTGTATGAAAGCGTTCTTATGTCTCGGTGCTTCCTCCGACCACCCTTTCTGGGTCAGCGAAGAGCTGCCCTGGCCTAGCGATCTCTTTCCCAAGGTGAAGGCTCTCCCCGATCCATCTCACATCATGTGTCGTCAAGGCGGCCATACCTTCCTCCTATCCTCCGGCCAATCTCCTCATTACGCCATGCGTGCCGGCCCAGCCAAGTATTGCAAGTTTGGGTATTCTTCTGCCTTTGGCTTTTCTTGCCCGAGCGGCGATATGGATATCGGTCAAGTTGCGCCCGACTCGATGCTTGCTCTCCGGGACGTGTCTGGCGGGGTGGATGAAGGAGATGGTGAAACGTGGAGGGTACGAAGGAAGCCTATCGAGGCGAGGCTTGAGCGGAGGGGGACGGACGGAGTGCATCTTCGAGCAAAGTGGAAGCCCTGGCATGATGTCGAGGTTGAAACTTGGCTGTTCCCTCCCACCAGCCCCTCTTCCAGCTGGTACCTGCGCGTTCACAGGGTCACCTCGGGGAGAAAGCTCAGGTCGGTAGAAGGCGGATGGGCGACGTATGGACAAGGACCGGATGGCCGAGCTCTGGTGCAAGACTTCTCCGGCGTCAAGAGCGAGGGCGGAGACGAAGAAGAAGGATGGGCTCGAGCGGTGACTTCTGGTGGCGCTGTCGGGTTGAAAGACCTATCATTCAGAGGCTCTTTGGGTAAGCGTCTGGGAAAACTCGTCCAGATCGATCCCAACACCAACGTCATATTCTCGAGGGGCGTGCTACCCAGTCTTGTGGGTGAGATTGACCAGGGCGAGACTTGGCTGGCTACTGCTGTGTTTGGTAAGCCGACCTGGGAGACAAGCCAAGAACGAGAGAATGCTTGGGAAGATGTACCTGAAGTTTCGAAAGTGACTCGCTTTGTACTATAGATAAGGTTCACCACCTGATGCGACTAGTTATATCTCACTGACCGCTCATGGTCTGCAGTCATCAGGCTTTCGTAAGATCAATAAACTGAATCAGCTGAACCGCACCTGGACACTCTTCGGCAATGAATATGATAATGTTGCATCCCTCTAGCAATTATAGACAGAGAATTATATGGTAGATGAGAACGTATGTAACTATCTGACAGCCTATTATAGTCGGAGGTTCTAGTGCTTGAGAGGAGCAGACTCGCCCTGCTCGGCGACATCATAAGTGTTGTTTCGCTTGCTGGTCAAGGCAAACTTGTCACGGAAGACCCAGAAGAGACCGATGACAGAAAGAGCGACTGTGTAAAAGAACGGTCAGGTTCTGAGTCTCGTCCGTAAAAAAATGACTTACACAAAGCCCAAGCCAGACCACTGATAGCAGTAATACGAGAACACTCGCTCACGAACGGCTGGTACTTTACAGGGAACCTGCTAAGGTCCGAGGTGTGCTTGCACTGGAGACCGTGGCCGAAGGGGGTAGCCTCGAGGATACCAGCACCGGTACCGAACCAAGCAGCGAAAGCAAGGAAGATGGGAAGGTACATGGTGAGGCCCAACTTGAAGTGGAAGATGCCAAAGATGAGACCGACGATGGTGGAGAACAGGAGGAGGCCAAGGGCATGATAGTATCGGCCATCGGGATAATTGTTGTAGTCTCGGCCGTGCTTGTGGATTTGTTCAGAGACAAGTCCGAGTAGGGCAATGTCGATACACAACCAGAGGGTGAAGAAGACAATGTAAAAAATGTGGCGGGCGGTACCGAAGAGAAGTCGGGCAGGGGGTAATATGGGCAGGAAAGACTTCCTGGACTTCTTGGCAGCGGGAGCAGCAGCACCGTCTTGAACATGTCGTCAGCCACATCCTATTATAATATGGTCTCACTCACCGTGTACAGAAGGGGCGGGAGAGGACATTGTGAAAGTCTTGGATGTGCTTTGGTTGGTAGAGAATCGGATTGGGGAATGAAAGGAAAAAGCTTCGGTCTGGAGGTTATATAGCGGGTCTCATGATGGAAATTGCATGACGGTGCTGACGGAAGACGTGGGTGGCTGACGCATCCTTTTGGCCGAGCCACGAAAATCCAGAGCCTGCTAGCGACGGAACTAGTGGGCTATAGACCCGTGTCGTGCGAGCCGTATTAGGAGAGGAGAAGGGATGCGTCGTCATTTGCCACTTCTTGTGGACGCTGATTCACTCAAAGAATTACTGCTTACATACCAACTCGCGTAATCTAAGTGTGCGGCCATTCCCGCCGAACTTTATCTCTAGCGAAATCCGCAATTCGTCCGCGCGTTTTAGATCCGCTACCTGCTCGAAATCTGCTGAGTCGAGGACCAAATAAGTACAGAGTGCATGATGATGGATGAAAACTTGAAAAGTACAGACACATTATAGACGTCCGGTGACTACTTAAATATCTATGTCTATAACGGGACCCAAGAATGAGAGAATGAATGATTTACGCCAACGCGAGGTCCTTCTCGCTTGACTTTGCCGACTCCACGCCTCCATCCTTGAGGGATTGCGTGTCAGTTCCCTGAACGACGACAACCTCGTGGCTACCCTCGAGCTCGGACAAGACGATCCAGGTGGGAACGATGCAGATGAGGAGGATACCAAAGTTGATGCCGATACTGACAAAGTGATTGGCATTGCCTTCAGATTGCATCCTGCCAGATGGTCAGCAGAATGACTAGAGAGTATCAAAGGAAGACTTACGCCCAAGCGACGGTTTGCCCAGTAGCCTCAACACCTCGGAGGATACCAGTGTGGTGAGAGAGGGAAGAAAGGTCAGTGGTGTACTGGCCGACCAACCAGTAGAGGAATTGCTGGAAAGCTTGACCGGCAAAAGTCCACTGCACTCGAGTCAGCTCAAGGACACCAAGCAATGATAAAGGACTGACGAAGAACACCAAAGCATACGACTTGTTGAAGCCGGCCGTGAACCAGTCCCAAACAGGCGCGGTGTCGGCATTGTAGAATTGGTTCTGCAAGATGATAGCCCAGATCCAGGTGCCGATAAGGATAGTGACGATGGAGCCCTGCAAATATATTGTCAGATGTGAACGATAGGTGGCAAAGCGCAACATACAAAAGCAACCTTGGCCCTAATCTTGATGGGGATGGATTGACGATCGAGGAGGGTGCCAATGATGAAAGAGCTGAAGATACCAGCAAAGTTGGTGAAGAAACTGGAGAAGGCCCTCGATCGCACAGTCTGAGAAACATAAGCGCAATGTCAAGGAAATGCAGGTTCAACGACTTACAAAGTACTTGGTCAAAAATGTACTCAAAAAGCCGTTGTAGAAATAACTGATGAAGAAGGCGGGCAAGAGAAGAAGGATACGGCGAGACAGGGCGAGGTCGAGGACGGCCTTGAACTCTTTACCCCAAGACTCTTGCTTGTTGACCACAATGCGAGTACCATCCTTACGGTGGACTATTGATACGATCAGTATGATAGCCCACTTTCATGAGTAAATTTCCTGACCTTTCTGAGCGTCACTGAGACACGTAGCAATGGGCAAACCTGAATACTAGTCAGGACACGCCCAACAGGCCACATTCTCAGACTTACCAAGGCACATGATAGCGATAAAGACAATGTAGGTGGCGGAAGAGACAGATCCAGCAGTGCTTCTACCGGCGTTCAATCCGAGGTTGATAGCTCCACCGACGATGGGGCCAGCGGCCTTGGCCGTTTGCCAGATGGCGAGGTAGAATCCTCGGTCTTTAGGGCTGGGATATCCGATGATGACAGCGGCCTCACTGGGTGTAGTATGAGCTCCTGCCTTCTCGTTTCGAAGAGTCTGAACTTACGCAGCCCAGAAGAAACCGGCAGAGATACCGCACATAGCACTAGCCCAGAGCATGAAAGCGGTGTGGGTGGTAGTGTTGTTAACGTACAAACCAGCACCGTAGAGGGGATATCCAACGGCTCTGCAGGAGCATTTTAGCACAGGGAGGAATGACAAGAACGAAGACAAACCCAAGAGCAAGACCCCACTTGAGACCAATCCGGTTGTTGATCGCACCGGCGGCTACACACACAACTGCAAACAACTATGAATGGCATATTAGTTCCAGAACTTTGCTGTACGTCATCATATGTCCACGTACGCCGTAAACGAGAGCGTTGCTAGAGGAATAGTTGGCATCATGTCGCGTGCGCTGGATCAAAGAAAGATACTCACGCAATAGACACCGCCGTGACATCTGCGGCACCTCCAGCACCTAGACCACCTCTACAGAGAGCGTCAGTAGCTAGACACATGTAGCACACGCCGACCTACAAAGCATCCCACATGCCCGGGGCGGTGAATGAGATCAACGAGCAAATCAAGACCTAATTTCGAGGTCAGTATGAAGTGCAGCCAATCTGTATAGCGCACTCACTTGAAACCAAACACTCCTATAAACTATGCATCGCGTAAGTCTCGTTCTCTCCCCTTCACGCGATGAACTTACAGGGATACTTTTGGATGGGTGCGCTGTCATCGGTGAGCTGTTGAGCAGGCTCTTCCCGTTCGGGGTGGATGGGGGGAGTGATATTGCCCATTTTGGTGGATGTAGAGGAGCAGATGGAGGAAGAAGAAGTGGAGTTGAGAAAAGTCTGCTCCAAGGAAATTTATGTGCAGTTGTGAGCTGCGACTCTGCAGGATGGCGTGCTCGGAGAGAGACTCGCTTGAGGATGTCGATGTGGCGCCGCTCGCGCAAAAAGTGGGGACCCGCCGTAAAAATTGTTGATTTTTGGCAAGATGCCATGATCGCGCTCGCTTTTTTCCTCGGGAGATCATTGATTTCGGGATTTGTGACTATTCTGTGCCTTGTGCCTGTTCCTGGTTATTGACCTTCTTCTCCGCGTTCAACGGGGGTTATCCATGATCGCAAACGTCTTGGCTCGCCTTTTGCCAGGGCATGCCGGCCAGCTGTGGATAGCAACTGACGAGCGATGAGCATCAGTGATGAGTTGCGTCGTAGATACTCAAATCTCTGAAGGAAATCATGTAGTATGCGAACGCAGCGAGCCGGAAGAGCAGAACAAGAAGGGGTGCCGTGAACATAGCCATAGCCTGCATGACTTAAAAACCCAAGTAACACACAATCCTCCACTAGGGAGGATACATAGACCTCCAGCCCACCCGTATCTGCGGGTCATATCACACAGGCTCAAGTCGAAAGACTCTCCACCCCGACTTTTCGAGCGTGACTTGCAGCTGCTTAAAAGCTAAACCGCTCCTCTTCAAACTCCACTCCACCCACCCCCGTCGCACGATACTCTTCCATATTCTTCACCGCCAACATTGAATCATACACCAGCCCATCCGGCCCACAAGTCGAGACAAACATCCCGCTGGGGTTGGTCAACGACCGGCCGTGGTGCGCTATCGTCTCGTCGGCAATACTCGACATGAGAATACCGAGATCGGGTCGAGCGGGGTTGGCGGTGATACTAGAGAAGGGCAGGTTTCTGCGGGATTTGTAGGTCATTGTCGATGCCGTAGATGGGTTTCGGGCGAGGTATGACATCTTTTCTTGGTCCGCTGACGACAAATCGACATTCACCTTTTCGCCGGTTTGGATGTCAGACAAGAGGGTGATGGGGGAAGAAGCAGGGCAACGGGTGACGAAAATCTTAACTCGCAGAGCTGTCGGTGGGATATACGCTTTGCCCCACTTCATGTTTTCGATGCACGTCGTCTCCCACGCACGGGCATCGTCCACGAGTTCAGTCAACGTAGAGATCAGAGGTTTGGCTTCTTGCTCTGTACGGACCATCCAGATCAAGTCAACTGTCCTCGCTCGAACAGAGCCGGTCGGGGCGCGAAGGACGAGGTCGTGGGCAATGGAAAGGGCGTGGGTGATGGCAGAGCCGCCAGAGACGAGGACGACGGAAGAGAATGATGAAGGCATCGTGTTTCCGAGACCGCCATAAGGACCTTCGAGCACGATGGTCACACCTTGTCCTTGCTGGGCCTCGGCATCAGGAGTGTGCAGGTTCTGAGCCAAGTTGAACAAGCTGGTGGTCCAGTCTCCAGCACGCTTGCACATCAGAACGAGACCTTCCCCGTTGGGCGCCGAGGCGATTGTGAAGGGATGGCCTTCGAGGCCTTGGCGGAGACCGAGGCTGGGGACGCGGATGCGAACGTGTTGGCCTGCTCGCCAGCCAGATTTTAGCTCTGGGATGGTGATGATGGTCATATCGGAGGAAGGGACGGCGTGAAGCTGGGCAGTAGCCAGACGGGTCTTGGTGAGACTGCAGAGCGCAGAGACAAAGTAGAAGACCATAGCCGCGATACTGTCATGATGTCAGCCGAGTACGACGCTGGTACGTGGACATACCAGTAGGGAACTGCAGAGTCAACGTGCCAGGCAAGGCCAACAAGAGTGGCTACCATGCCAATAAAGTGACAGAACTTGAACAATCTGAAGTAACCTTTCCGGATGGATGGCAATGACGAGAGGGTAATCAAAATCAGAGCACCAAAAGCGACATAGCCATAGATGGCGAAAGGCTTGGCAGAATGCGCTTGAAGAATACCAGAGCTGGCCCAGGTGTACACTGTGACAGGATTAGATAGATCTAATGTATAAGGTGGACTCACTATATCCGACAGAGTGTACGGTGGAAGCCGCGAAAAAGACCCGGCCGACTACCTTGTGGTAAAGCTTGAGCTTTTCGTAGCCCTGGCCAACACACAAGCCGACCACATTGCCTCGCACACCTAGAGCAATCACAAGCGGAAGCTGTGCGACTCCAACAATACCTGAGCGCTTATAGTCTGACCCGTAGCCCGAGTCGGCGGACGCCACAGCGAGCTTTGACTTCCATACCAGCGCAAAGGCAGAACACAAAAGGTAGCCAAGCACGACGTACAGTGCAGGCATGCTGGCGAGAGACTTGAGGTGGCCGGGAAGACGGTAAAAGGGCATCGAAATGAGAGACGACGACCAAGGGACATAGTGAAGGAGGGGCACAATATGAGGAGGAGGCTGCAAGCGAGGTCGGGCTACCGAGGGGAAATTGCCGTGCTGCTTTGCATCGTGGTAGGGAGAGAAGGGTCCAGACGTCTGTGCAGTGGCAGGCGTACAGGGAGAGAAGATTTCGATATGTCTTTCGGGGCCCTTGGATAGCAGCCATCCGGTTTTGAGGTCGCCTCCGCCTACTGCGCGCGCGCTGAGGTCGGGAGTGGTCGTGACTTTTAAACCGCCAGATGACTTTGGTGAGGGCCAAAACTCGGACTTGGGGAATGAGGCGAAAAGCCGGGCAAGGAAACGGGCGTGGCCAAGAAGCATGCAAAAGATGAGAAGTCCACCTGCTGCGAGATAAATGATGCCTGGCATGGCCACTGCATGTATGGTCAGAATGCAGTCTTGCAAGATGTGTACACGTACTGTTTGTAGAGGCCTGATCGGCCTTTTCTAAGGCGATGATCTCTGTTTGGTTGACTGCCGTCGCAGTGGCAGAAGCAGAGGCCAAGGTGGCGGTCATCAACATGTTGCTCGCAACACTGTGAGCAATGGCTGTGGCACTCGAGTTGCTAACCAGCAGCGACATGATGTGCATTGACAGAGGGCGAAGGGGGTAGAAGAGTAGGGGGTCAAATGAGTGTGGGGCTGCCAGTCAGGCAGATGTGCTGTTGGCGTGAAAGGGCCGTGTTCTTGTTCGCTGTGAAAGAAGAGAGTGAGTAAGAGGTTCGGGGGATCGGTAGGGGACGGACTTGTTTTATACGTATGGGTCGTGATTGAGCCAGGACCTGCCTGTGAATGATGGACACTGAAGAATGGATAGGCGTGAAAGGGCGTGACAGGGCGTGACAGAAGACTGGCTTGGCGGTCAGCGGGGATGGGAGATGGGAGGATGCAGGCGTACTCGTGTCGTTGCAGGTCAGCTTCAGATGCCCACCCAGCTGTACTCTATATATACTACACCAAGTACTAAAGCTGCAAACACGAGAGGCTGCGGCGAGAGGCGCCTGCAGAAAACAATGCACAACACGCCCGTGCACAACGCACACTGCCCGCACATCTTGCCGCGTCAGCCAGGCACCCCCCTCAATCTTCTCGTTATTGTCCCCCACCGTCGCGACCAGGGAGCAATCTCCTTCCACGCCCTAAGATGTACATACAACATGTCATATCTCAAACACCATTATACGCGGTACGACCCGATACCCCGCTGATCCCTTGCAATCTCCTTGTCCCTCTCACTGCGAGACTCCCATCTCAATGACGGTGTCTTGTCGACAAACTGTGACAGTTCAGGGGCAACAAAGATCGTCCCGTCGTACGCTTTGTAGAGCGTGTACACCATGACATAGCTCCAATTGAAGACGACTTGCAGCGAAACGACCGCGCCGATGATCTTGAAAGCCCAAGAGTCGAGCTCTATCGCGAGCGCCGTCGAAGCAGTCTATACCAGCGTGAGCTCATATCGCGCTATAATGACGGGTAGACGTACCGCCCACACTCCGATGGGGAATGTCAATGCCGTAAAGCCAACGCTGAACGATTGTCGGCCAAAGTAGGACCTATCCTCATGCCACCAGTGGTCGATCAGCGACGTGGTCGCAAACACATACCAGCAGAATCCCAATCCCCACAAGATTAGGCTCGTGATGATACCTCCTGCATAGATGGCGTCCGCCACCCTCCTCATCGCGCCGGATGCTATCTCACTCGAAAGCGCACCCGCGGGTGCGATAGTGAACCCAATATCATACTCGTATGCCAGCTTACGCACAGTCTTTCCCAGGACCACCATGCCGAAACTTCCCTGGCCGCAGGGACCCAGAGGCAAGTACAGTGTCGTAAGAGTCGCAGGTGCGGGAAAGCCGTATACGACAGTGCGATGAAGAAAGATGGTTATGACAAACATTGCCAGGGGGACGCCGATACCGTAGATGATGTAGGCGACAATGACGGTGGACCGCGCGAGTTGGGGCATGTAGGGCATGATGGCGTTGGAGACGACCCCGCCAGAGGCAGCGGCGACGACGCAGGAGACGATAGGGAGCAGCCATATGGCAGCCATGGTTTCTGGAGTGTGTCTCTGGCGAGTAAACCTAGTCCAATGTCAGCATGTATTCTCTTGAGGCATGTTGATACTCACATGATGTATACTATGCCCAGGTTGATGACCACCGAGAGAATAATGTCGATCCACCATAATCCCAGAGCCAGTCTAGCCCATGCAATGCCACCATCAGGTACACATGAAAGAGCAGTCATGTTCTGTGGATGGTCAGCTTACATCTTTGCCAGAAATTGAGTATACTCACGACGAGGGTTATGAGACCCATAGGAAGAGTCCCCCAGAACATGCTAGCCACCGGATGCGTCAATGTAGCAGCAAACAGCCCCTTCCATATGACGAATCGCGCGATATTGGCGAATAGCAGAACGAGGAAGAGGACAACATTGAACACGAATATCACGACGGCAAGCACTCGGAGCCAGTGTGCGCTGAAGGGAAAGTCGTACAATAGTATCGAGACGATGCCTGTACCCATGGTAAGGGCTATAGAATACATGTCAGCGACTGTTTGAATCATGACCATGCTTTTACGCACAGAAGAATGCAGGAGTCAGATTCAATAGCGCCTGCAGGACTCTGTTCATCAACTTTGAGCGCCAGTTTGCAGAGATGGTGCTTTTGGAGTAGCTCTCTTCAATTTGGTGGCCATCGTGCGTTGAGGTGGTCATGGTACGGGGGAGGAAAATGGAGAGGTGGGGTAATAGGGGGTAACTCTCCTATTCCAGCATCATACAGGCAAGTTCGATTTTTCTACCACCTTGTCGATGAGATGTCTGTGGAGCGCGGGTTCCGAGACCCAAGATTACAGGCTTTACACAGTGGCGAGAGGCGAAGAGAGTCAGCGGGGTTGGGCTGTTGGGGTGCAGACTTGTGGAGGAAAGAATCATAAACTGTTTAATAGTTACAGTGGCGTCTCGCCTGTTTCGCTATCGCCTTCCGGGAATTAGCCGATGGCAACAACATTTCCGATTTCGTGTTTGATTCGCGCTTGCTTGAGTAGAATAAACTATTACAAAAAGTTCCTCAAGGGTTTCTATTTCATGATATTGTCCATATTCCATAATGTCCGTTCTCCAAAAGTCCGTCTTTGTCTTACTCACTAGTCACATCTTCTCTTCGAGCCTCATCATCCCTTCTTTCCCAATCTCCTTCCCCCATTTCCTGAACTCTGCCTGTTTGATGATTGGTGATGATTTGCTTCCGCGTTTCCATATGCCGTCTATATCTGGCCCCTTTCAGGAGTCTCTGGACACGCCAGCGAGTCTGACATATATGTAAAGGCCATATACAGGCAATGATCATGCATTGGGGAGTGAGTTTGTATGTTGTGTGCAATATGCTTCTCTTCGTGTCCATGACTAGTCTTCGTACATCTTTTCTCCTTCTTCAACACTATTCTTGCAAGATATCTTGCAGCTTGGGCCTACAAAGATGTTAGCGTGGATATTAGAACAGGCGAAATGGACCGACTTCAATTCTTTGACATCCTTGCTATGTCTGATATCAGAACCAGTGTTGATGAGGTTTTTGGCCTCCTCATCCTCGAGCAAGATGCCCAGACCATGGTCTTGTGTGAGCTCCAAAACGTGGTCAAGTTCCTGCATCAAATCTTAGTATGCTGCTCGACGCTAAATGCGACCAACTTACAACAAAACCATCAGAGTCGACATCCAGCTTCTTGCCCAAACCGTCAATCATGTCGTCGGAAGGCCTGTGCTTGATGACCTTCAATGCCTTCTTCAAGTCCACGAGAGCGATTTGGCCATGAGGAGTGGTCTGGATCAAGTTGAGACTTGATCCGACCTTTTCATCGTACTTTTCAAGCTGAGCGTCAATCTTCTTGACCATAGATCGGACACGCTTGGAGACAGCCACGGTAGGGCTGTCGCCTTCCTGCCTCTCCTTGGATTCCTAAAGAGGTGTCAGCCTCAACCACCACTGGCGCGAATTCACTTACGGCCTCGGACAACAGGTTGTCTTCAAGCAGAGACTTGAGCTCATCTCGCTCCTTGACAATACTCGACTTGGCAGTCAAGATAGACAAGGCCTCGGCCAATTCGGACAATTGCTCCTTGGTCATTCTCGCGTCGGCCTCCTCGGCAGCCTTGGGAGCTTCCTCTTCCTTCTTGCCCTCCTCCTCCTTAGCCGCCTGCTTGGGCTCGGCCGTTGACTCTTCCTTGACTTCTGTTGTCTCGCTCTCGGCCGCCTTGGCAGCTTCCTCCGCTTCGCGCTTAGCCGCCTCCTCGGTGGCCTTCTTCTCCTTCTCCTCCCGTCGAGCATCTTGTTCCTCCTGTCTTGGGGTCAAAAACAGTCTACTATGCAGCCACGAGACATACCTGTTCTTGCTCGGCTTCGTCCTCGATCAACTCTTGCTGCTGCTGCAAGACTTCAAGCTTTTGCTTGTAAGTTGCTTCGTCGGAGACGTTCAACTCGGCCTCGTTAAGCTGCCCAAACGTTAGCAATAGTTGATTTTAGATATGAGTTTACTCACCAAGTTCTCGGGCAAGCTGCTCAAGGTAGTGACCAGACTCTGCATAATGTCGTCGCCCTTTTGCTCAAAGTTGAAGGCTCGAGAGAGGACAAGAAGCACACCAGAGATACCATTGATGTAATGCAGCTCGATCCACGTCTCGAGCTCTTCACGCAGACGAGCAGGGGAAACACCCTGGAATCGGATACCTCGAGACTGACTGGCATTGTGGAGCTCCTTGGTAGAGAGCGAGTCGACACCCTCAGCGTGAATCATCTAGAACGGATGAGCGTGATCCATTGGCCCTATATTGCACGCACCATGTCATCCACTCGAACCTTCTCCAGCTTGCTTCGAATCTGGTGCTTCAAAAAGTTGTCGGTACCAAACGCGTTAATGTTCATGTACCTGCACATGGACACAAGCTGAGGTCGAGACAAGTTGTCCAGAGTAATGTCGTCGTGGAACAGCTTGGCGACCCGGACGACATCTGTCGTGTTGGGGGTCTCACCAGTGGAGCGAACCTATGGCAAATGAGTCAGTCTGCCTAGAGATGATCCAAAAGAAGTCACCTTTCGGAAGAATTCCTTGAATTCGTCGCTTCGTACCACACTGTCGGCCTTCAAACCAGACTCTCTGACAGTCTCCTGCAAAAACTTTGCCATTTCAATCCTCACTCTCAAGAGCTTTCTTTGCTTTTCGCTAGTAGCAAGCTCTCCCTCAAAAGTACTGGGAAGCATGTTGGGGAAAAGCTTGAGGGCGACGGGCAACAAGAGCTCCATGAATGGAACGAGCACAAACACCGAAAAGGGCAAAAGACGGAGCAGGTCGATGGTCGTTCGCCTGAGCTGTCTTCGCTCTCGTCTCGTAAGGGTACCCCCATTAAGGACCTTCCACTGCAGTTTTCCACTGATTCGAATTTCCTGTCCTAGCAGTTTTGTACCAGCCCAGTAGTGGGCCGCTTCCTTTTTCACGACCGCCCATACTCTGGCAGGAAGAGGCCCAGTGGGCTTCTTTTTCTCTTCCTTCTTCTCTACAGCCTTTTCTCCCTCGGCCGCAGCAATGTCTGTGACCTTGGATGGTAAACTTCCTTTCTTGGCCGGTGGTAGGGGGGTCGCTGAAACCGCAGACTCGGCTACCTTTTCCGGTGATGTCGAGTCAGTGGCCTTGGTCGAGGCATATCGCGCGAGGGCGACAGTCAGCGACGGGGGCTGGAGTGTCGCACGATTTGAGAACGGCTGCAGAGGGATGGGGAGTTGGCTGAAGGGGCGGTTGTTAATGGAGGACGCGAGGGCGGTGGGGTAGAATGGATGTCCTGCAGGAGGTGAGCTCGTGGTGGCGGCGGGGGCGGCACCTACTGGTGAGACGGAGGGCGGCGGCGGGTGCTCTCCTTGCGAGGGCGGCGGGGCGGGCGTTGGCGGCGAGCATGGGGATTGTGGAAAGGCGGTTGAGGAATGAGAAAGCGGTGGTGGAAATAACCCCAGTTCTAGTTGCGCGGCCGTCCGCCGGCTTTACGCTGACAAACCTCCGCGGCATCCGTTCTCTCCATCCCATCATCCAACATGTCCTTGAACAACCCCCTCAACCTGCTCCTCATCCCCCCTATCCTGTACCTTGCCTACCGTGTCTTTGTCCCCGCCGACCTGGCCGAAGAAGAGCCCGTCACAGAGTACACCCCAGACCAATACAACTGGCTGCCTGCGAAACACCCCGATGTCTTATGCCACAAAAAGTACACCCCCCAGGAGCTCTCAAAGTATGACGGAGTGAAGACCCAGCGCATCCTGCTGGCCATCATGCGAGTCGGGGATGACGGAAAGCTGAACCCCAACGGTGAAAGAACAGTGTTTGATGTCACCGCGGGCAAGACGTTCTATGGTCCAGGTCTGTTTGGCATGTTGTGTCTCTACGTGCGCTGACAGTCGTGGCTATGCAGATGGAGTGTATGGCAATTTCGCTGGCCGCGATGCTTCTCGGGGTATGGCCAAGCAGTCGTACGAACTGGGTATGTGAGACCGACGTGGTCGTTGCCACGCTGACGCGTCTCTCAGACATGCTTGTGCCCTTGGAAGGGCCCCTCGACATGCTGGCAGATCTGACCCCTGCCGAAGTGTAAGTGACATGCGGCCGGTCGACGATGCGAGGTTGAGTGATGCTGACTCGCTGCAGTGAGAACATGCGCGGGTGGCACCAACACTTTGAGGGCAAGTACATAGTATGCGGCGAGCTGGTGGATGCATTGTAGGGTGACTTCGACACCTAGATGGCTGTATATACGATGTTCTAGCATGCATAGGGAGATACGTTGTATCGTAGATGGTCAGGTTTAAGTTGCATTTTTTGTCCCCGCTTTTCACGTCACGAGCCACTTTTTAGACAGTGCGCTACATACAAAGGGATACAGCCAGCGGTCTCTCCATATCCCATCCCACCATGGCCTACTCCCCGCCCCGGGGTACGCCTACTGCCGCGCCCCCTATACTCCTCAAGCCGATGCCCCTCGACCGCCCTCCCCCCACCAGGCTTCGTGTCAGGCTCAGACTCCCTTTCCTCGCCTCCCAACCCCCTTCGTATGCCTCGCCCACTATAGACCCCTCTGCGCCGGGCTTGTCTCGCGATCGCATCACAGCACGGGGTCAACCAAGAAAGAAACGCAAGCGCCAGGGCTCGGACACTGAAGAAAGTGATTACAGCCCTACTATATCCATGCGTGGAGGGGGCAAACCGCCAAAGTCAAAGGGCAAACGCAATGCTGCGACACCCGCCCCCCAACATTCGTCAACCCCGCCCGTGCAAGGCTCACGCAGGACAACACGATCCAAAGCCAGACGAGCAGACTCGCCGTCGGATCTCATGACCACCTCATTGGAAGACATCAAGATGGAAGATGCGTCGGTCAAGTCTGAGATTGCGAGACTGGATCTCTTGTTGAGAGACGTCCAAGGCGACGGGAACTGTCTGTTTAGATGTCTGTCGGACCAACTGTACGGAACAGAGGTATGCTTGTATCCCATCGATCGTGTGGATCGAGCTTATTCAATGCAGAAACGTCACGCCGAGATGCGAAGACTCGTCTGTGACTACCTCGCTTCTCACAAAGACACCATGGAGGGGTTCGTAGTACCATTCATGAAGACCGGCGAAGGATTTGAAGGATACGTGACCCGGATGAGACAGTCAAGTACGCTTGGGCCCTTTCCCAACCTCAATGAATGCTGACCAAGCACAGAGCAATTTGGAAGTCATATAGAGATACAAGCTGCTGCCCGCATATTCAGAAGAGATATAAGGGTTGTCATGTCTACAGTAGGCTGCCTCCACATTGTTTGACCAGTATGTTGATGAAAACCAGGCATCCTTTACGATACCCTGGCGTGCCGAACCCCCTTCACCAAATGATCATCCTCCTGCCTCAAATGATCCTGACGAGCATCTCGCAGAGGTCTTGCCGGAATCTGTCCCGCCTCCGCGTGAGGGCCGTACCATGCTCTGGCTTGCTCTCTTTTCCCAGGCCGAGCACTTCCAAAGCATTCGGCGCCGCGGCGACAAGGAGAACGGCTTGGCCGCTGTTGAAGACCGGCTTGCGGTTCCCCATCAAAGAGATGTCTCGGAAGCAGCCCGTCGGGCACGGGGAGAGTTAATCGAGGGAGACAGCAAGGGCGCGCCTCAATCTCGTTCATCGCTCGTTTCTCAAGTCCTCGCCTCTCTCCCTAGTGGTCATGGCATCACCCCCCAGCAGGTTGAAAGTGTTCTTGCGCGAGTCAAAGGCAATTATGGCGAAGCCGTAGAGATTCTCTTGGAGGAAGTCGACATGGAGGTGGAAGACGGAAGCGAGTCGTCAGTCAACGACAACCACCGTGTTGAAGAGATGCTTCGCGAGCGACCGTCGCTCACCATATCTCATTCGGCCGGGTCTTCTGTGCCTTCTCAAGAAGATGCTCTTCGCAGACAGTCATCTTATCGCGACCCGAATCCGAGAGCCCCTTCGCCAGCTTTGACCTCGACCACAGACACACGCTCGCGCTCCAACTCTCTTTCCGATGACAATACGAGAGAAGACTCTGTCGCCAAATCTGTTTCCAGTAGCGATACTACAGTGTCTGAGGGGAGCGAGCAGCCTTCGACCATCCGGGACTCGACCAAGGCGAGGCCTGGCAGACTCGGCGACGATCTCAAAGGCATGGTTTTGGGGTCGAGAGAAGGATCGAGCGTCAGCGAATCCAAAGCTGCCCCAGCTTCATCGCGGCGTGAAAGCCTGAGGTCTAGAAGTAAAATGTGAGGCTGCTTCTAACGAATTTTTACGAATCTGTGTGAGTCCCGATCTCCTTCGGAGGAGGAGCATCTGCTGACAAAGTGATAGACACACTTGTCGTCAAGGGAGATCAGAGTGCCATCACCCGACATTCTAGACACATCTGTCTAGGGGACCATCACTTATCATCTTTTTGATTTGTATCAAACCCATCATTTTTAGTATCCCGCATTGTCAAACATACACTAGAGAATCATGCCTGTCATTTGTATCCATACTCGCCATACCTGTTAGCATTGTGCATATGCCATAGCCATATTCATTCACACCCTGCATGTTGAACTGCAAGAAGCGACCGAGAAAGACTCCGGCCGGCGGTGGAGGTCCGCCGTCTTGCCGCCGTCATAACTGTAAGCAGCGTGTCGCCCAAGTGTCGCCTTTCTCGTTCGTTTTCCTCATCTCTGTTCATTTTCACTTTCCAATCCCATATCAACCCCACGCCATGGTCCAGCTCGAAAAGGTCTCTTCCAACAAGGTCGCCGGCGGCTTTGTCACAAAATACAAGTTCCCCTCTACCTCCCTCTCCTTGCCCACCCAATTCAACCTCTTTGTCCCATCCAACACCTCTTCCGGCCCTGTGCCTGTGCTCTTTTACCTCGCTGGTCTCACCTGCACCGAGGACACAGCTGCTCAGAAGGGTGGCTTCTTCAACAAGGCCGGTGAGGAGGGCATTGCTCTTGTATACCCCGACACCAGTCCTCGTGGCGCCCAGGTTGAAGGTGAGGACGACGACTGGCAGCTCGGTACTGGAGCTGGCTTCTACATTAACGCCACCGATGACAAGTGGAAGAAGCACTACAACATGTATGACTTGGTGGTCAAGGAGTTGCCCGAGGTCCTTAAGGAAGCCGATTTGGGCTTGGTGAGGATCTCTGCCTGCGCCTCACAGTAGCCTGCTGATGGACACACAGGACTTTTCTAGGTGGTCAATCATGGGGCACTCTATGGGTGGTAAGTCTTATATGCATCTTAATATATAGAGAGCTAAATGCCTGCAGGCCACGGCGCTTTGTCTGTCTACCTCAAGAACCCCGGTCTTTTCAAGTCTGCCTCTGCTTTCGCGCCCATCTGGTGTGTACTCAGTCCTCAAGTCCACTCTGAATTGAGCTGACATCTTTGACAGCAATCCTTCCGTCGTCCCTTGGGGCATCAATGCCTTCAAGAACTATCTTAACGCCCGCACGCGTTCCGACCCTCCCTCCGAGTGGCTTGAGCACGACTCGACTGCCCTTCTTGAAAGGTTTGAGGGCCAAGCCAACATCTTGATCGATGTCGGCACGGACGACCAGTTCTTGAAGGCAGGCCAATTGACTCCCGAGTCTATTGAGAAGCTCGGCAAGCCTGGAGTTCAGGTACGAAGGCAGGAGGGTTATGACCACTCCTACTTCTTTGTCAGTCTTCTAGAGAACCAACTTCGACTCGCGCTGACTTCTTGCACAGATCTCAACTTTCGCACCTGACCACATTGCTTTCCACGCAAAGGCCCTCAAGGCATAGGCAATCAGATAATATGGCATATATGCACAACTTGAACATGTCATACAAATAGCGTTTCTTCCCGAGGCATCGTTTCGACCATCGACCCCAACTATCGGCCCGGATCTGCACTTCCGAGTCTTTTCGCACCATAGATGGGTGCGCGTAAGACTTTGGAAGCGATTGCATCAGCCGATGCAGGTGGAAAGACATCCCACATGGCGCACTGATCTAGAGATAAGGATTTGGCGAAAGTGGCGAATTAGTGAAAAAGAGTACTGCAGCCCGAACAAGCCAGACCCGAAGTTCACATATTCTGCTCTTCCTATAGGTTGCCCCAGTCGATCGCTTTTATCTCAGATTGGGAAGTTCCCCACTCCGAACACCGGACTCGAGTATTTAGTCTCTGTCTTTCCACTCGCACCAACAACTCGTCCCTCACCTCAATATGTCCGATCTCGCCGCCTTGTCAAACTCGCTCGCTCAGGCCGACTTCACTTCGATCCCTATCGTGTCAGTCAGCGTGCACCATGGACAAATCCTCAAACTGACTCACGACTTAGAGACCTCTCCGATGCCCGCTCTCCTGAATTTGAGAAGCGAAAGGCTGTAGCAGACAACATCCGCGACGCTTGTCTCAATGCCGGCTTCTTCTATGGTCTGTTGAACTTGAATGATCCGGAGGCGCCTCTTGCTGATGGAGTGGCTAGTCAAGAATCATGGCGTAGCCTTGGATGTGGTTGAGAAGACTTACGAACAATCAAAGGAGTTCTTCAAGCTTCCCGCTGAGGTGAAGAAGTCTGTGAGTGATAGGCCCCAAAGTTTTCCCCGGGGCTCTATTGACTGTTGTACTCTAACAGGTCGACATCTCCAAATCGGAAAACTTCCGCGGGTATATGGGGCTCTTGACGGAGAACAACGACCCGTAAGCTTGGCCAAAGTCCGCGATCGACTCTGCTGATTCACGATCCATTCAGCACCAACAAGGGCGACATGCACGAGGCTTTCAACATGGGTCTTGACCCCGAAGTTGACCCCGCTTCCTTCGCTCAAGACATAAAAGAGGGAGAACTGAAACACTCTGAGAATCTGTGGCCGGACGAGAAGGACTGGCAAGGGGCAAAGGTGTTTGTGAGTGCCCTGCGTATTCTCATTGGTATCCCGGCTGAATTGGAGGCAGAAACAAGCCAACCTGGACTACTAGTGCGTTGCAAAGCTCCTCATGAAGTCAAATAGGACTGACATTAGACCAGCAAGCAAGTTCTCGCCCTGGGACAGTCCTTGTTCCCTCTTTTTGCCTTGGCTCTCAACTTGCCCGAGACCTTTTTCGATGACAAGGTCAGTGTTGCAATTCGCTTGAATGAAACTTACCAGCATGTCAGATCCTGCATCCTGCTGCTATCATGAGGATTCTTTTCTACCCCGCCCTTGCTCGTGAGGAGCAGGACACGCTCACGCCTGGAATCGGTGTGAGTGGTTTGTCCCCCTGCCCTTAAGTACTGTCTCACCTAGTCGTTACAGGCCCATACCGACTTTGAATGCTTCACCATTCTCAGACAAGACGATGTCCCCTCCGCACTGCAAGTCCAGAACCGAAAAGGAGATTGTGAGTCACTACTTCGAGGGCTTGAAAAATGGCGCTGAAGAGGCTATCAGGGGTTGATGCTCCCTACATCCACGATACTTTTGTTATCAACATTGGCGACCAGTTTGCGAGATGGACCAGTGAGTCTCTCTTGCTGCACCAACATGGATAAATCTCACGATGCCCTTCTTCAGACGACATCTTTGTTTCCACTCGTCACCGTGTCCTCCCTGCGCTCGCCAAGGACCGTTACTCGATCCCATTCTTCTTTGGGTGTGATCACGACGTGCCATTGATCCCCCCAGAGACCTGTGTTACAAAGGACCGACCTGCCAGGTATGAGGTCATGTCTGCTGGAGCGTATGTGCACATGCGTTTGTCGGATATCTATGGTGCCAAGTGAAAGACGTGCTTCTCTATGCATGTCTTCGACGCTATCTCGCCCATCGATCCAATATCCCTAGCAGCTAGTCATTCTTCATTTGCTCAGCTCTTGCGCCTAGACAGCAGTAGGTGACCACTAGTCGACAGCGCCGACCATCCTCTGACATATGGTTAGTCTTAGATCCAAATGGACAAAAGAACGGACACACTGGTTGACAAAGATAGTCTGCGTATCGTCGATCACCATAGCCGGTCCAAGAATCTCGTCACCAGGCTCCAGAGAATCCAGTTCGAACACTGGTACATCTTCGCGACGACCAGACCCGCCATACCAAATGTAGCAGTCTTGATGAAAGTTGGCCTTGTCATTGCCCAGAGTGTTTGGTCTCAAGGATTTCGCCTCTTGGAACGCTGAGGGACCCAGGGAATCAAATGTCTTGCCTATGCCTCTCACCTGGAAGGAAGGACACTGTCAGCAATGTCTCGAAACCCAATGCCCATGACAAACCTTGACGTCGTCGACGATGATCGGCTTGTTTAACAAGAAACCGAATTCAGCCTTGTACCCCTTCTTGAAAGCAGCTTCGTAATCCCCACTCCCATCGTCCAACACCATCAATGCCGTGTCGCTTCCATCAAACCTCATGTTCAGTATTCGTTCCGCTTGGATTTTGTCTGGAGGGAAGCCAGCATCTGTCAGCACTTGCCGAGACTTTGCCTCCAGTCTATCCAGGCGGTTGAACAGAGAAGGCTGTGTGACTGAGGAGTAAGTGTCGGAGGCCGGTTCTTGGTACTCAATCACCCTGGAATGTTGATTCAGCGAGCAGCCAACAAAAGATGACGAAACTGACCTGTCTGCCAGCGCGAGACCATAAGCAGAAAGGATTGAAGAGTATTTATGGATAAGCACACGCTGGATACCCAGAAGCTACACAGGAGATGAGCCAAATTGACGTATGTAGATGAGTCAGGACTGACCTCTGCAATCTCACAAGCCACTTGCCCCCCCGTTCCTCCGAAAGAAGCTAGTACATGTTGGTCTGTTTTGAAACCCCTGGCCTCCGTCAAGGTCCTGATGGGTCTCGCCATTGTCTCATTGGCAACCTGGACGAATCCGTATACCTGGACCAAATCAGTGACCCCCCTCCATGAGATGCACTCACGATCTCGTCAACAGTTTTCTCGGTGCCCGTCTCCTTTTTGATTTCATCTGCTAGCTTCTCAAACAGGTCTCGACTAGCATCAGGATCGAGACCTTCGTTCTCATTAGGGCCGAAACATTTCGGAAAGCTATACAGACGTGTCAGATCCCAACGTTCAAAGCACAGTGACACTTACTACTTTGGGACTAGTCGCCCGAGGAACAAATTGCCATCCGTCAAAGCCAGAGGGCCGCCTTTGCGATAACAAGCTGGACCTGGATGGGCCCCAGCAGACTCTGGTCCGGCGCGGAAGAGACCGTTCTTGTAAGTAAGACAGCTTCCGCCTCCAGCAGCGACCTTTCAACACCATGAGCGCCTTTCCGGACATACAGGGAGGGGTTCATGCAACGCACAGTGTTAATATCCAGCTGGAGCGTATTGATGGCTATACCCGCTGTGACGGTTTCATAGACTGATTCGTAACGCCCAGCATACCTGGAGACGTCCGTGCTGGTACCTCCCACATCGAGGCTACGGCATGTCAGCTACGGGCAGCAATATCATGCGGAGGCACTCACCCAATCACTGGGGCTTTCTCTTCCTCATCCCAGCTGGTAAGTGCACAGCCTACAACCCCTCCTGCTGGACCTGATAGCAGCGATTTGAGACCCGAAAAGTTCTGAAAAAGAGTGAGCCACAGTAACAGACAAGGTGACAACCTACCTTGAGGTCTACCAACCCTCCATCCGAGCCCATAAACTCGACATGCAAATCACCATCTTTACCCCCTTCAAACCCAGAGTAGAAACCGTCAAGGTAAGCTTGCAATACAGGTGTGAGATAAGCATCCGCGGTCGTTGACTGCCCTCGAGTAGTCATCTTGATCATCGGAAGCAATTGGGAGGAGAGGGATATGTGTGTGAAGCCAACTTCCGTTGCTAGTCGTCCAATGGAGAGTTCGTGGTCGGGAAAGGTATACGAGTGAGCCAGGCATACGGCTATAGATACATAGCCCTCATCAAAGAGGCGCTGAAGGTCATTCTTGACCGCATCGAGGTCTACATCGGTTAGCACTACCAATGAAAAGAGAGAAACTCTGCTGACTTGGCTCTTGTAATATTCTCACAGCTTCTCCTGATACCCCCTGCACTATTCTTCCCTTCAAGAAGGACTCTTGCTCATCCGCGCCTACGCCAGAGTAGGCTTTCTTCACAGATCCATCTTCGTTGAAGACCAGCGCATTTTGTTCGTTGTTTGGGTCCGATGTGAAGCCCACTGTTTGTGTGTCAGACGACTAAGAAGTATAGTTCACCGTGCTTACCCAAAGTGACCCTCTCATCTACCTCGACCACCGTCGAATACAGAGGCTTGGCCCGTTTGATGTTCAGATCAAAGATACGAGGGCGAGCTTGGTTACCGATTTCCAAAAGGTCTTTGAATCCCTTGGTGATGAGAAGAGCGTGCTTCTGACCTTTCCGCTCAAGTAGAGCATTTGTTGCGACGGTTGTAGACAGCCTGACGTACTCTGGCGACGTTGTTCAGTCTAGACTTGCTGGAGAAAGACCGCACTCACCCAACTTGTCTGTAGGCAAAGACTGCCCTCTACCGTATTCCTCTCCGGTGACTCTTTCCAGAACACGTCGAATCCCTTCCACAGGGGCGTCCTTGTAGTTGGACGGGTCTTGAGACAGTAGCTTGATCACAAACTCGTCTCGCTTGGAGGTGTCGGTGGATGGGACAGAGGCGTGTACGTCTGTGAAAGTGCCGCCCCTGTCTATGGATATGCGGATACTGTGAGGGGGGACGCTATGGGCCATGGCTGAGGGCTGGAGCTGCGAGTGTCAGATACATAACGACACCCTTCGTTATCGCTTATCACTATCAGTACGGGGCCGGCGCACTGAATTGGTTCCGTCCGAGCCGGCTTCCCGAGGACCCGCTTCGTTACTGCTTCGTTATCATCCATTGATCCATCGCATCCAGTCTCTGTCTCGTGAGTACGCAACAGCTCAACCATGGCGGCCAAGTATGATCCCGTAACCCTCTCGCTCTTGTATGTTCCCATCTCATATACATGTCGGTGCTCATCGCGTCTTAGCTCCAATCGGTTCATCTGCACTGCAGAGGCCATGGGCAACTCCCTCAAGAACACCGCCATCAGCACAAACATCAAGGAGCGACTAGACTTCTCATGTGCCGTCTTCTCCCCTAGTGGTGACCTCGTTGCCAATGCCCCCTTCGTCCCGGTCCATCTTGGATCCATGAGATCCATGAGCTGGTCCGTCAAGTACCAGCTGAAATTGCACGGCAAAGACCTCAAGGACGGAGACGTACTGTTGACAAATTCACCCATGGCTGGAGGAAGGTAAGCCAGAGCGACATCAAAGACTTCAGGCATCTGACTCTGCCAAGTCATCTACCAGACTTAACTGTAATAACACCATGCTTTGACGAGAACGACCCCACAAAGATCATCTTCTTTACAGCTTCGCGTGGTCGTGAGTCACCGAGCGCCCTCGTCGAACAGTGCACTGACCTTGACGACAGACCACAGGTATTAATCCCATTAGATATCCGCACCAGTGACTGATGATTGGCAGTGATATCGGTGGGATCCTTCCCGGCAGTATGCCGCCTACCTCAACGCACATTTCCGAAGAGGGTGCCGACATCCAATCTCTCAAGATTGTGTCAGATGGCTATTACGACCATGACGCTTTGTATGAAGCTATGGTGGAGAACCCTTCAAAGTATCCTGGGTGCTCAGGCTGCAGAAACTTTAACGACGTTTCGAGTGATATCCAAGCTCAGATCGCCGCCAACAACAAAGGCAGTTCTTTGTTGCGTGCTCTGGTAGCCGAATACGACTTGGAGACTGTTCATACCTATATGGAACATATCAAAAAGTGGGTTTCGTGGCTTATAGGACCGTACTTATGTGGTACAGTAACGCCGAACAAGCGGTCCGGAACATGCTTCGAGCAGCCGCAGAGAAGGCTGGGACCAACGTCCTTCACGTGAGTACATACCTGTCTAGAAGGATCTCACACCTCTGTAGTCTGTCGACTATCTCGATGATGGATCACCCATCGCTCTCAAGGTGACTATCGACCAGACGACAGGATCGGCCGTATTCGACTTTGAAGGAACAGGCCCCGAACTGAGGGGCAACTTGAATGCGCCCATCTGTGTGGTACACGCTGCTGTCATCTACTGGTGAGAGGACCAGGATTGATCACTGCACATCTATCTGACCTCGACCAGCATGCGATCCATGATTGGTGAAGACATCCCCCTCAACGCGGGATGTCTTGCCCCACTGGAAATCTTGATTCCCGAAGGTTCTCTTCTCTCTCCTTCACCGGAGAGCGCAGTCTGCGGCGGTAACGTCATGACGAGCCAACGTATTACCGACGTCGTCCTTCTCGCTTTCAAGGCGTGTGCTGCAAGTCAGGGATGTTGCAACAAGTGAGCACGACGATTTGAAGGTCAATGGAACCAACTCACACGAATAAGCCTGACTTTTGGTGCGGGTGGGAAGGATCCAGAGACCGGGGAGGTGATTGCGGGCTGGGGATACTATGAGACTATTGCAGGTGGTAGTGGGGCGGGCGACGGGTTCCATGGTACCTCGGGTACCCATACTCATATGACCAACACTGTGAGTATTGCCCATATTGGCGAAATGCTGATCGTTTATGTAGCGAATTACAGACCCCGAAATTCTGGAGAGGCGATATCGTGAGTGAAGCATGTTGCGTTTCGACCTTGTTTTGACTCTAGATTCTAGCTGTAATCCTCAACGAGTTTGGCTTCAGGTCCGGATCAGGCGGTGCTGGGAAATACAATGGCGGTCAAGGTTGCATACGCTCTCTACAATTCCTCCAGCCCTTGCAAGTCTCGATCTTATCCGAACGCCGCGCACGGGGACCGTATGGTCTCGAAGGTGGCGCCTCTGGCGCTCCCGGGCTGAACCTTTGGATCAAACAGCCACAAGACAAGGCGGGAAAAGTCAGAACTATCAATGTTGGGGGGAAAGGGACGATGAAGTTTGGCGCGGGAGACAAGCTTATAGTGCATACTCCCGGGGGAGGCGGCTATGGACAACCTGGAGAGATAGACGTTGCAGAGTTGACAGAAGGCCGTTTGCGGGCAGAGGCGCGAGAGTGGGAGGCGAGAGGGACTTTGGCTGATAGAGCGAACGTAGACTTTTGAGCTTGTGCATGAGTAATGAGTACGAGTAATGTATTATATGATACGACCTAGATCTGATGTCCGAGAGCCATGCCTCCCAGCATGCTGATGGCAAAGGTGGACACCTTGCCAGCGGCTGCTGAGGAGACGCCTCCCCCCAGCGCCGACACGACAACCTCTCCGAGCGACACGAGTGCCGGCCCTGGGCAGATTCCAGCCAAACCCCATCCTGCACCAAACACCACAGCTCCCGCCACGAGTCTCCAATCGATGTCCCTCCTCGATGGCACGTTCCATTGCTCCCAGGCAAGTGCTGGTTCAGGTTTGCCAAGGGCCTTCTTCATGGTGGAAGCATAATGGATGGCGTTGGGCAAGACGCCGCCAACCATGACCATAACGAGTGAGGGGTCGAAAGCAAAGGGAGTGGGGAAGCGCAGGAAACCAGCGACTTTGGAGGGGTCGGTCATGCCCGAGATGGACAGACCGAGGGAAAAGGTGAGGCCTGCGAGAAAGTAGGGGGTGAGGCGAGAAATGGCCGATGGGGCGTCTGTTGCGGTGGAGGAAGTCCAAGAGGTGATGGCCTTGTACAGCAGTTTCGCAGCGACTGTACTACTAGCGATGGCGGCGATGGTGGCCACCGAGGGAATGTTCAGGGCGTATGCAGGTAGGGATGGGACTGGAGATAATGGAAAGAGGTTGGCTACCAACACTGCAGTAGAAAAGAAGATCGCTGTAGAGACAAGCGACCGAGGGGACAACCTAGACACGCCGCAGAGCATATGCCCACTCGTGCAGCCAGATCCGAGCTGAAAATTAAGATCAGTACCAGTGATATAATGATTTGTGTTTGCTTACACGACTTCCCAGGCCCACCAGCACACCAGCAACGGCTATTCTTCGTACGTCGATCGCCTGCACAGCAAAAAGGGCATGGCCAGGATAGACCTTGGTCAATCCTGTGAGAGCTCCCACAAGGGGACCGAGCAGTAAGCCTCCCGTAGCTGCGAGCCGCCATCCTTCATGCTTTCCAAGCACAGCTCCATCAACAATAGAGGAGATGCCAAACACACGACCCGTGTCTGTCAGGAACTGGGAGGTGGCGAGATGGAGGAATACGCCTCCTAGGAGAGTTTCAATGGGAGTAAACATGATGTCAAACAAAGAAGGTATGTACAAGTATTTCTGTTGAACACACAGTGAGCACAAATATATATCTACACAGTGGGGGTAAAGGAGAAACCAGATATGGAAAGAGATGCGCGCAATCAAAGAGGAAGAAGCGTGGTCCGGCGTTTGGAAACTGCTGACTAGCTTCGGGATTCCGAATAATGAATCCCATCTCTTTTATGTTCTCGGCAATTGGCCATGTCTACTGCAAATCTACTGCATTTGCATACGCGTACCACCCGTGTCACTTATGAATACGGCCTGTCTCCCTTTCCCTTCTCAGTCCCAAGTGCGAGAATCATCTGCCTCTCCATCTCTGCCGCGAGGCACGCAGAATCGACAGCGATAGACACCATGTCAAAGCCTTGCTGTAGTCTCTTTCGGGCAACTTCGCCATTGGAACCTTACATCATCAGCTAAGGCTGTGATGCATATCGTGGAGACTTACAAAAAATGGCAGCAATTTTACCGGCGCTATGAGCAGCGTTGAGGGTTTTAGCGATGGCAGCCTCGTGCTCATCTCCTCCGAAAGGTACCTGCATCTGCTTGTGAAGATCGAAGGGGCCTGTAGTTCAAGTGAGCCTTTGGAAGGGACTGAGATGCCTCCCGTACGCACCAATAAATAAACAGTCCAAACCTTCTACCTTGGCAATCTCTTCCGCGTTCGCGACACCTTGCTTGGACTCAATCTGGACGATGACCAGGAGATTCTTGTCTGCTCCAGCATCATATTCAGATCCTTTGCAGCCAAAAACAGGTGGGCAGAACATTGGGCCATAACCTCGAGTGCCATTGGGTGGGTATCTGGAATACGAGACGATCCGTCGGGCATCTTCCTGACGGGCTGTCAGTATCATCAACGGATAGAACTTTGCTGGACTTACGGCTGAATGACACATGGGTGTCATGACTCCTTGAGCGCCAGAGTCCAGAGCTCGCTTGATCATCCACTCCTCATTCCACGGGACCCGGATGATAGGAGAAGCGCCTTGCGATGTGATAGTGTTGACCAACTGTCCAGAGTAAGCTTTGTATTCATTTTCACAACAAGTGGGACGACGCACCTCAAAGTAATCTTTATCTGTGATCATACCGTGCTCAGCATCGATAAGAGTCCAGTTGAACCCGCCCGTGGCAAGGACTGTGGCCACGGAAGAAGCACCTGGAAGGGTACACCAAAAGCCGAGGCCTGGTTGCTTTGCGGCAAGGGCATTCTTGAGGTATAGTTTGGAGTCCATTGTGCTTATGTTGTGGTGCATTAGTCTGTGACTCCTCTCTCTCTATATAAAATCGAGGTGGGATGAGATGGCGGACATTTGATTCGTATCGGGAGGAGGTTTCGGCATCGCTTTTTGCCGAGACCGTTCGGCATTCTCCCGGCCACTTTCCGACCGAGAGCCGTATAATCTTGTGCTCTATCAAGGGTGGGTATCGAGAAGTTCATGGATGATCTGGGAATTGTTTTGGCGCGCAGACGAAGCCGCCCGAAGAAGTGCCAAAGAAATGATGGGAGCCGATCGGACTGACGCGGCAAACGCGTTGAACGACGAGAAACACTTTTACATATTCCTTCACTTGGACCTCACGATCCAGGACGGTTTATATATCGATAAAGACAATATCTATACCCAAAACAGTATCGCCACTACCCCTCGGACATTGCACTTTTTTAACCATCAGACCTGCTCGTCAATCCCGTCCTCCTCACTGTCTTGTTGTTGCTTATCCTTGGCCAAGATTTGGTGCATATCGATCTCTCGGATGCCCAGACCACTGAGGAAAGTGATGATACCCAGTACGACTACGCAGATGAATACTGCGCGCAGGGCTTTTTGGTAGGAGAGGATGGCAATGGTTTTAAGGGGTTCATCGAGGTAGCGAATAGATTGAGACGATTCGCGGATGGCAGCGATGATCTTTACAATTTGTAAACTTTTATACTCTCGAAAGACGATGGGACTCGCCTTTTCAGCGTCGGGACTTTGGATCCTAAGCTCAAGCTCCCTCTCAAGAACAGCTTGAGTCAGCGCGCCGGACAAGGACACGCCCAACACTTGCCCTATCGTTCGGAACACATACGACACTGTTGTTTCGCCATCAGCTTTCATATGACAAACTTCAATGGTCCACTCACAGCTGGTTGCAACCGCGACATGTTCAGGCCCGACATCCGCGATAAGCGCCACAATGGTCAACGTAGTGACCGCCCCCATTGAAAAGCTCCCGAATGCCATATTGGACCACAACATCCATTCGCTTGTGGTTGTATCCCAAGTAGCAATTAGGACTGTTCCCACCACTCCCACAAGAGCGCAGAACGAGTTGAGCCAATAGTACTTTCTGGTGTAGCGGACAATGATGCCGGTGCCGAGAGATCCAAACATTCCCATGATGGACCCTGGTACGAGATGGGCACCCGCATTGGAGGTAGACATTTGACGGACCGCAGTGAAGAATAGGGGTACACTATAGAGCTGATCGCACGATCAAGCTGAGAACTTTTCCGCGAGAGAAAGACCTACTGTCGCATAGTTTTGAGCGGAAAGGACAAAGTTGTTGATCGCAACCGCTACAGGCGTCCTGCTGACGAGCAGCTCAAATGGCATGACTGGCTCCGCCGCCCACTTGAGCTCAACGAGAAGAAACAGGACAAACAACACCGCCGAAGCGCTGAACAGGCTCAATATGATGGGATGTCCCCAGTCTAGGGCTTCCGCTGCCGTGCTGTTCGTCTTCAGCGACACTGCTACCAAGGCAGAGCCAACCCAGCCCGCGAGGAGGATACAGCCCATGAAATCAATACGCTTGAAAAGTTGGTATGGGGTCTGGGCGGACGTGCCGTTGGGAGAAGCTGAGCCGGAAGCGGGGGAGGAGGGGATGGTGTAACGAACGTTGGCGCGGACGAGATAGACACCAAGGAGAAGAATAGGGATCTAGAATAATCAGCTTCGTTGCAATGAGGTAATAGAAGGCTGCGCACCTGAAACCAGAAAGCCCATCGCCAGTTGAGGTAATCGCTGATCACACCGCCAACAGGGGCTCCCAGACTTGAATGCTTGGTGAGTGACCACGCTGCACATAAGTGTGGAACTTACCCCATTCCAGCCCCCCAAGCCAGATTTCCGAGTCCTTGAAAGATACCACGATGCGTTCTGGGGTGTATCAGCAAAGTGCGCTGCTATCGCGAGAAGGACTCACATAGGGACAATATCGCTCATGATCGTGCTTCCAACTGTCTAACACTATCAGTTCGAGCTCCATTTGTGATACGCAGATGCCTTGCCCGTGCTAAGTCCACCGCCACCCATACCAGCAAGAGCTCTTGCGGCAATGAGAGTATTCATACTCGGGGCTATCGAGCAAAAGAAGTTGCCCAGAGCTACAGTATGTTAGTATAGGTACATATGCATGGAAGGGCCTCACTGAAAAGAGTAAGAGCCAGCAGCATAGAGTGTTGACGTCCAATGATGTTGCACAATCTCCCATAGATAGGGGTGAAGCAACATACAGACAGCATGCTTCCCAGGGTCAGTTTCTGCACGTGGGACACTTTATCAGCTCACTAAGATGTTCCCAGCCAAGAGGCCATATTGGTGGCTTTGAAGGATGATGATATAGGTCCCAAGAGGGTCGCAACTGTATCGCCAGTCAATGCCATGTACATATTGGAAGCAATAGACCCTTACCAACCACTCCGTCAAAAGCATTCAAGAAAGAGCACACCCACATGGATATACACTATGTGATTTAAGCGGCCGAATTTGATAGCTTGACTGACTACTCACCAGGACCCAGAAAGTGGAAGAGTTGAGCCCTACGCGGTTGAAGCTCAGCTTGTTCTCATCTGGAGGATGTACCGCAGGAGATATTGACTGCCTATCAGTGTATGTAAGTGCCCCGGCCTCCGGGGAGGGTGGGGCAAGGAGAGCCGAGGTTTCTGTTTCACCCCTAGCCATTGCAAAAGTTGCGAGAAATATGTACAAGACGAGACATAGATAGCAGCTGAAAAAGCACCCTCCTCGGTCTTTACGATCGATTGTGTTATCGCTCAGCGGCGAGGCCCGACGGACAAGAGCGAAGAGCCGACTGCCGACTACAGCCGTTCAAAAGGCAGTCACGCAGGAGTTGCGCAGGAGTCATAGATACTCGAGGACAAGATCGACAAGAGATTCCCCGAGAGCATCAAATGAACGACTGATGTATGCACGTAGAGTTCGATCTCTATATAGAAAGAGAATACTATAGATAATATTGCTCTAAATCGTTACGACCACCGCTTCCTACGCACGGCATTTTCCTCCCGGTGCACCTCTCGCAGGGGATCATGCCGGAGATACTGGTTTTACGGCCAGCAACTTCATGGGACATAGACTCAAAGTGTGGCTGAGTACTAGGGCTGAGAGAGGCCGAGATGGCTTGGGACACGACGTGATCGGGAAAGCACACAGGTGTCGTTTAGTATGGCTGGTCATCTCGTAAAAGTGATAGAGCAGGATTATGAGCTTAGCAGCTACGAACCAGGGAGGCTGATGCACCAGATCTATAGTCCTTTGTGTGAACAACTGACCACAAAACAGCCACAAAAAGCAACATCATCCGCGTGAATTGATTTGGCCGCGGTCCCGTCCTCTCGCATCAAGCGGTCTTACAGTACAACAGGAGGGTCTAGCAAAGGCAATTTGCTCCCCTCATGCATCGTGCCTCGCAAACGAAGCATCCCACGGTAGTAACGAAAAGCCAAAAGCCGACTCCACCAGCCACCGACTTCTTTGGTTCTGCCGTAATAGTTTGGCGTGAGATGACGTCAGTGCGTCATGAGCTGTGACACCTGATCTCGGGTGGCGCAGGCGGTATATAAGGCGTGCTGTGGTAGCCATCCCCCCTCATCTCCATCTCCTACTACTTTACTACACCTCCAACTACTACAATACATACACTATGGGAATCTTTGGCTCATCCGACCCTGTCAAGCAGGCCGAAAAGCACCTGGCTAAAGGTAGGTCGGCGGTAGCTCATCCAATCCCATTGCTGACCTTCCTGCAGAGGCCAAGGAGGAGGAGAAGAATATTGCTCAGGCTGAGAAGAGTATTGCTCGAGCTGAGAAGGCCGAGGGCAAGATTGCAAAGTCGGAAGCAAAGGCCGAGAAGGTGAGTCTCCAGAGACGACAATGAGCTATGGCATGCTGACTCGGGTATAGCAACACGATAAAGCTTCCAAGGTCGAGGGTAAGGCTGCCGGCGTTCTCAACAAGGCTACTACCAGTAAGCGTTCATGCGTGAGTATCAGGGCCGGGGCTAACGACGGGACAGAGCACGACGCTGCGGCTCAGAAAGAGAACGCGGCCGCTTCCGAGGTCAACAAGCAGCAGAGTGCGCACAACACCATCGAGCGTACTATCGAGCAGAAGAAGGCCGATCTCCAGAATCTCGAAGCCCAGGTTTGTCACATCCTCCCTGCTTTCGTCACATCACTGACACATTTGTAGCACAAGGCCAACGAGAGTAACCGAGACTCGAAGCTTCAACAGATCGCCTCTGGCGGGTCTGGCTCTCATCACAAGGGCGAGGCCGCTGCTGCTGGGGTAGCCGGAGCCGGGGCGACTGGTGCGGCAGCTCATCACCATAACAAGAATGCTGCTGTCAACGAGCCTCAATCTACACAGACTCAGGGCGCCACAGGTGGCGCGTACGGTCAACAGCAGTACGGTCACCAGCAAGGGGCAGCCCCTACTTCTTCCACCGGTTATGGGGAGACTAGGTCCGGGAACGGGACGGGTGCAGCTCTCGGGACCGGGGCTGTTGGTGGAGCAGGTGCGGGCGCACTTGCAGGCCACCACGGGTCTTCCGCTCAAGACCCTTCATTGACTTCTGGATCCGCCGCCCAGCAAGGCTCTACCGGGGCATACGGGGCTCAGCAGGTTCCTGCTTCTTCTACCTACGAGCAGGGTGTCCCTCAGTCTCAAGGCTCGACCGGAGCTTATGGGGCTCAGCAGGGCACTGGTCAGGGTCTCCAGCAGGGCACGGGCTATGGAACCCAACAGTCTACGGGCGCGACATCTGGACCCCCTTCTGGCTTGCATTCTGGAGCTACTCGGGGCGGATATGAGAGTGGTGTGGGTGGAACCACCTACACTGGTGCAGGCTCTCAGGGCCAGCAAGCCGGATCTCAGCAAGTTGGCTCGCAAGACTATGCTTCGGGCGGCCAGTCTGGGTACGCTTCTCAAGGTGTCACTGGTCAGTCTGGCACCCACGCTGGGACTGGGACTGGACATGCGACTTCAGGTAGCGATACGGGGGGATATGGAGGTATCTCTCAGCAGGGTGTCGGTGAGGGCGAGCGAATCACTCAGGCTGTTCGCCAGTTGTAAACAGAGGGGAAGAAATTGTAGCTCTAGTCTTAAACACGTATATTCAGACGCGTGGTATGTAGCCTAATTGGAAAATGCAAATAGTAACAAGTTTCCTCTTGAGACGGATGTCAAACAAACAAACAGCTGCAGATCCGAAGTCTACAAGGCCGACGGGGAATCAAGAGATGGTACACGCTCAGGCACCCTGTTCGAACGATGTCTTTTCTGTGTGCGACGTGTTTCAAATTGATCGTGCCTTGTATTAGCCATGCCAGCAGAGCACAGCAAGGGGAAAGGTAAACACAGGCCAAGCGACAGAGTTCTGGAACAGCGCCGATCCAGCAGACTAATGACGACGAACCAAAGAACAATGGAGTCGTGATATCGTGAGCTGTTTCATCTTTTGCCACTGACGAGCGCATTGCCGTAGACCCTTGTCGCAGTATTATACCCTGTGCTGAGCCCTGCATCATGCTGCTTCTAAGCTGCACCGAGAGTCAACAAAGCGATAAGGACAAGGGGACGAGCGCGAAGATGCAAAAAAGGCCGCTGTTTCTGTTGGCACACAACTCCCTCAACCCTTACAATTGCGTTCGCATCTCTTATACCCCGTTTGTTGTGCTCCGCCGGTATCTGTGCGTTACCCTTACAGGGTACATGACGCCTGGACCACACAATGGCTGCTCTCTTCGTGCAGGCAATGTCTCTCGGATACCGCAAAGGACAATTGAAAACTCGCCGAGAGGTCTGTGCGCTATGTCATTCAGCCATGCAGGGTCGAAAGGGGCGTCCGTTGGGTAAGATGAGTACTTATGAAGCACCCCTCCCCCCCCCCTACCCGTCTCCTTTCCTCCCACTTCTACATAGCAAATAGTATAATCAAGCTTCCACACGCTCTTTCAGACTCTCGCTCAACCCTCCGCCCTCTTCGCTTCATACTCCAAAATGTTCTTTTCCCGCCTCATCACCCTTGCCCTCGTCTCCCTCTCCGCCACCACCCTCGCCATTCCCACTTCCACAACAAACAGCTTCCTTGAATTCGAACGTTATCACGAGGATCACAAACGCCATCATCCCAGCTCTGGCACCAACTCGCGCGCTTCCGCCTCTGCCAGTGGGGTCAAGCGTAAGGCTGTGAGTAGACGCCTATGGGAGGGATCTAGTCGCCCGTTACTGATCAGCATACCAGACTCAAACTGCTGTGGCCACTTTTGCTGTCCTCGGCGCGGCGACCGACCTTGCGCGATGTCCTCTAGAGCAGATGGCTTGCCCTATAACGTCCTTGACAGAATCAGAGCTTGCTGCTGCTGGCGATGATGTACCTTGGGAGTGGTGAGTGGGAGACAGAGACGATTAGAAGACATCCGCTGACGCCGTTTTAGTGTAAGTCCTCAAGAAGACTTGTATAGCTGTGGTGGGTGCGCCACGTTGGGGTGAGTGGTATACTTGTCGCAATCTCAACGTGCTGACGATATGAGCAGTACAGGGATAGACTGTACAGCTATCGCCGGCGTCGATTCCGTGTCCTGCACTGCCGGGACTTGCTTGGGCGAGCCTTTCTGAATATCGAAAGAACGTTGACTCATACATTTACCAGTCCATTCTTGTCAGTCTGGTTTCCTACCCACAAGCGACTTGCAGGCTTGCAATGTCGACTCGAACACGACCGACTCCACCTTGAGCGTTACCTCTTCTACCGCCACGATCGCATGACCAAGCACTGGATTGCATACAGACAGCTGGAGCGACTGTCAGCTTTTATAATCGGACATTTGATTCTTTCTCACATACTCTTCGTTTCGCTATCTACTTTCCTGGCCGTCAAATTTCATACAGGTTTTATATGCAGCAGATCTCGTAGCGAGTCTAAGTACCTTATCGCAGCTCCGGCCTATAGGAGCCGGGGGAAACAGCGAGCACGTGACAGACGCGCCCCCCACTTAGACCGGTCTTGGCCGGATGGTGCGGTTGAGCCGGAGCATCTGTTTCTGCTCTCTTTTTTCTCAAAACACCGCCATGTCCGAGCTCAAGAAGCCAGTCCGCAAGTCATTTCGGCGCCCCCCGCGCACCGCTGACATCCCGCAGCCCTCCCCTTCGCCTACACCTTTGCGTCTGGTGCCATCGCAGGTGAGTCGGGCTGCCATCGCGACCCCTCGAGGCTGACTTTTCTTAGGATGCACCGAGCTGCTCGTTCGTGCCTTGCGCTACTCTCTCACGCATAAAACTGACATGTACTAGCTTCTTTACCCTCTGGACGTGGTCAAGACCCGTCAGCAGCTCGAGACCGGTAAAAGCGTCAACATGATCCAGGTGTTCAAGAACATTATTGCGGAGGAAGGGTGAGGAATTCAATCGTCGAGGGCGATACTGACGCCTGCATCCAGCCCGAGAAGACTCTACAGGGGTATCTTGCCTCCTCTCATGCTTGAAGCCCCTAAGCGTGCCGTCAAGTGTCAGTAATCCGAATCGCCTTTCCATCTTTCTACTGACATTCGCGCAGTCGCTGCTAATGGCTCTTGGGGATCTCTCCTCACCGACAACGGGCAGCGCCCCACTACCCAGTCCATTGCCATCCTCACCGGATGCTTGGCTGGTGCGACCGAGTCTGTCGTCGTGACGCCTTTCGAGCTTGTCAAGATTAGGATGCAAGACAAGAGCTCGACCTTTGCGGGCCCCATGGACGTTGTCAAGCAAGCTCTCAAGAAAGGAGGTCCTTTGGCGCTCTACCAGGGTATGGAGTCTACGTTCTGGAGACACTGGTGGTGGTGAGTGGGCGTCTTCTCGTTGAGACAAGGGCTGACGGTGAATAGGAACGGTGGTTACTTTGGTTCCATCTATGCCGTCAAGGGATTGCTTCCCAAGGCTACCGTGAGTGATATAGACGTGGTTATATGGCATCGACTGACGCTGGTGTAGAGCAAAAAGCAGGAGCTCGGTAACAATCTCATCGCGGGCACCGTAGGTGGTTTCGTCGGTACCTCATTGAACACGCCTTGTAAGTCGTTCACATGTGAATAGACACCACTCATACTTTACAGTCGATGTTGTCAAGTCTCGAATCCAACTCCACGGCACTGGCGAATGGTGAATTTGCATCACCTCATGTGACGTTTCGCTGACTATTGAACAGGGCTTACCCCGCTCTCATCAAGGTCGCCCAGAAGGAGGGTCTTGCTGGCTTGTACAAGGGTTTCGCCCCCAAGGTTCTGCGGTTGGCACCCGGTGGTGGTGTCTTGTTGCTCGGTAAGGCACACTCTGCGCTGCGTTCCAATCTCGGTCACTTACACATTGATAGTTGTCGAGGCTTTGTCTACCGTGTTCAGAGGATACCTCGGTCCCCCTTACGTGTAAATCGATGGATTGTGAAACAGGGATGCAGATACATTCCGAACAAAATTCCTACAAGTATCACTCTTTGAGGGTGGACACGTCACTCTCCAATCTATCCAAACGTCGGCTTAATTGGCTCGCCGTGCTTTCTACCAACTCCAGCGTCTCTTGCTCCTCATCCCATTCCATATCCCCGGTCCAACTCATTCCCAAACTGGTCTCTCGCCCTCTTTCTCGTTTCAGCTTGGACACCTCTAGCTCTAGACTGTCGACCCGGCTAAACATTACCTGCACGACGCCTTCCAAATTCCAGATTCTCATTTCCTTGCCTTCATTCCAGTCTCTCCTCGCTGCTTCCACATCGTCCTCAACCACGACCATCTGTCCGTCTTTGCCATCCCCACACACTTTCGCTCGATCGACTTCGTCAATCAACGCAGCCGCCACCTCCGCGACACCATTGCTCTGGTCTGTCTCCTTTCCGCCATGTTCGGCCAAGCGACAGGCCAAGAGAGTGATCACCGCCGGGTCAATACGGTCCCCTTGGATGCGCAGGAGGAGGTATCTGTTCCGCTTGCGTTCTTGGCCCAAACGCTGGGCGAGCTTGTTTTTTTCTTTTTGGGCTTCGGTGAGGGCGCGTTGGAGGGAGTTCATTTGTTGAGGCATGTTGTTTTCGTTGGCTAGAAGGTTGGTCGTGCTGGCCGGTGTGTCTGGCTCACTACTGGAGCTTGATCTGATAGAGTCACTCGACTGGGATGATGGAGAGGATGAATCGGTAGCTTGACCTGCTTGGACACTGTGGTCAGAAACTTTATTCGAGGCAGGCTTGAGCTGCCCGAATGCAGCGGCTTCGACAGATATGTCCTTGAGGTCTAATTTAGGGAGATAAGAGTAGCCTGGAGCCATGATTGAGGTCTGATCGTGCGGGGTGGTAAAGGTAAAGGCAGGCTTATGTACAAGTGTCTTCAACATTGGCATCAAAGGACCGAGCCCGTCCTTTCTAACTCCGCTTGACCGCTCTAAGGTGCTCACAGACCGAATAGACCCGAGTCGAAACATCTTTTGTCAACGAAACATCTCTTCCATATCCTTGCTTTGGTAACTATTTGCTACATTTATGTATGATTAGAGTTGACAGACTTCTCCACTTCTTTGGCGATCAGGGTTTGGCGGGGCCGGAGGGCTTGAGACGAAGCTACAGAGACACATTGTCAGTATACGAGTGCTTGTCGTTTACTCGAGACATCACAAGACTCACGTCACCAGACCAGACTGGATACAATGTCAGTACCGATCAATGAGGATGAACGAGCAACGTACTTTGCCTGCCTAGAGCAATACCAGCCCCCACACATGCGGCTGCGACGACAAAGACGACGGGGTAGGTCTCCACGGGAATGTCTGGAGACATTCGTCAGCCCGGCTCCATCATCACGTCAAGACAGTATCACCTCGGAGGCCGAATCGGAATCGCTGTGATGTCAATGTGGGTCAGCCAAAGTCTCATAGTCGGGACAAGGACGCACAAGCTTGGGTTTGCCAGAAGCTGTGGTGTTGGTGTTGAACCTCTTGCCAGCGACACCCAGACCGATGGAGCCGACGGAGGCTCGTTGGGTGGCAAACTGAGCGGCGGGGCGACGGATGGCGGCGGCAGAGCTTCTGAGGGCAACGGTGGAGGGGAGCATGGTGGGTGGTGAGTAGAAAGGAGTTCAGGATAGATGGTTATTTGAGTGCACGGATTGGCGCATGTGAATGGCCGGTCAAGTGATGATGCCTGCCTATCGGTGACATCACTGGGTGGGGGCGAGTTGTCTTTTGTCTTTTGGATTTGGATCCGTCCTGTCTGGCCTCTCATGGTTGAGAGTGTTACATGCAGGGTGGCTTGCTATTCACAGAGCGTACCATGGCGACAGTCAGCGAGTATGTACATGGCAGGGGAAGCCTGCTCGAACGGTGGTGGGGCGATGTCGGCTTGCCCGCCATCACTCAACGCGTGCAAAAGACTCCGTCTCGGCGCCGAGGCGGGTAGGGTAGGTAGAGCGGCCGTTTCTGTTGGACATCTACCCCATGCATGAGCGGCGAGCGGGTTGGCAGACATGCTCCCTCCTGGTTCTGAGCCAACGATGGGCCCCGGACGACCGACTACGACTAGTCTTTTGTATTATTGGCTGTAGATTGACAGTTAATTACGAATTACGAAAGATGCTATTCGGCAACCGTGCCGGCTTTATCCGGACGGTCACCGGTCTGGAGAGCCGAGGAAAAGGTCCCCACTGGCAGTCCCAACTGAGTCAGACTCGTTGCTCGTTTCAGTCACAGCCCCAGCGTGCACCATGGCAGACAAAGAGCCCCTCACCGCCCGCCTCACCTCCTCCATCAGGCACACCGTACAGCCCCCAGAGAACGAGCTCGCACGATGGCGGCGCACCTTCGACCGCTTCGCAGGCCCAGACGCAGACGGCAAGAAGTGTGTCGCTCCTCCTACTCCTGCTGCTTGCTCACCGTCCCCATAGATACCTCAACCCCGTCCAGTTCGTCGACGCCATAGCGCCCACCGACGAGGGCTTCAGCAAGATCAAAAAGGAACAATACGCAAACCGTGGGTTCCACCGACACCGCAGAGACCATGTCTGACACGCTTCGTAGTGTTCCGAGTCGCCGACAGCTCGCGCAGGGGGCTCGTGTCGTTTGAAGACTTTGTGGTGTTTGAGACTCGTGGGTGGATACTCGCCCATATGCTGAATAATGCTGATCAGTGTACCCCCAGTGCTGAAACGCGTAGGGACAATCTCCGAACGCGCCGACACGACTGACATGTATACAGCCTGATGCCGACTATCAGCTTGCTTTCCAGGTCTTTGACGTGTAAGTCGGGTTCCTCTCGTTGAACATATTGATTGACATGATCCAGCGATGCATCAGGGTCTATTGATTTCGACGAGTTCAAGGCTGTGCTCTCGGCCAACACTGCAGCCAGCGGCATTCGTGAGTCTGAAATGTAAAGTGTGCTTGAGCTTATACATTTCAGCTTTCGACTATGACTGCAGTTGGATGAAGCTCTACGTTGGTACGCGTGGGGATAGACATGTGCTTGGGTGTAAGTGGGATTGCGCAGAATAAGGCAGTACTGATACTCTGCCAGATCACGAGTTTACTCAACTCATCAAAGGATACCAAGGCGAGAGGCTCCGACAGGCTTTCCATTTCTTTGACAAGGACGGAGATGGCTATATCAGCCCAGAGGAGTTTCAGAGTATTATTGTCGAGATTGCTGGACACAAGCTTTCCGACTCTGTCCTCGCAAGACTGCCGACTTTGTGTACGATGAACCCTGGAAAGAAGATCAGCTACTCTGAGGTCATTGCTTTCCACAACGGTATGTCTTCTTTGGCACCCAAAAGGTCACGTAGCTGACGCAAAACAGTCATCAGAGGTGAGATCAGAGGCGGTTCAGCGCCAACAGCTCGCTGACCAAACTGTAGAAATGGACACTGTGGAGCGCATCATCGAACATGCCGTCCAAAAATCAAAAGACGGAAGGATCGATGTATCAGACTTTTTGAACGAGGCTGCAGGGAGCATGCGCTATGGAATGTTTACCCCGATGGAGGTGTGTCTGATACTGCGCTGTCTGAGCGTGGCTGACTCTAGCAGGCCAATATCATCTGGCACTTTGCCAGCCGTGGAAGTGTCGGGTCTGGTCAAAGGCTTACGCTTGCCGACTTTCAAGCACTCCTCGACGCCAAGGTCGGCACTCTCCTGCTCATTAGTATATGGTCTGACCCTTAGTCACAGTGGCAACCTCCTGATGCGACGCCATCGGAAACGGCGCTGAAATCCAATGGCTTTTTGGGAGAGGCTGCGCAATCGATCTACAATTTTGTTCAAGGTGGAATTGCTGGAGGTCTTGGAGCATATGTGAGTCGCTCCACTCAAAGTCGAGACCTTCTGCTGATGTAAACCAACTCAGGCTGTATACCCGATTGACCTGGTCAAGACTCGGTAAGCCCACCACTTGGACTCGATATGACACTGCCTAATTTCGTTTCAGACTGCAAAACCAGCGATCTACCGTCGTCGGAGAAGTGCTTTACCGCAACGCTTTCGACTGTGTCAAGAAGGTCTACGCCAACGAAGGAGGTGTCAGGGCGTTCTATCGGGGTGTTCTGCCGCAACTTGTCGGCGTGGCGCCCGAAAAAGCCATCAAGTTGACAGTCAATGAGCTTGTCAGGAAAAAGGCCACAGATCCAGAGACTGGCAGGATTCCGTTGATCATGGAAATTGTGGCTGGTGGAACCGCGGGTGGTTGTCAAGTGGTATGTGCTTTTCCAGTGTCTTCCAGTGTCGCAGCTCACATTCTGTTTCCAGGCTGTTACCAACCCTCTAGGTCAGTGTTTTACAAATTGCAAGTACCTGCCGCCGAAGAGACTAACATCTTGATCAGAAATCGTCAAGATTCGATTACAAATGGCAAGCCGGTCTTGCATTGTGAAGCGTTGTGCGTATACTAATTTGTCCATAGGCTGGTGAAATTACTCGGGCAGAAGGCGGGGGGGCTGTACCGCGAGGTGCTTTCCACATCGTCAAGCAACTGGGATTGATTGGTCTGTACAAGGTATGTAACGTACTCGATGTCGATGGGTGCGTTGACCAATGATGCCGCTACAGGGTGCCACCGCATGCTTTGCGAGGTAAGCCTGCCTCAATATATTCATTCCAGAGCTGACCACTATCACGTAGAGATATTCCATTTGTATGTGCAGATCTGGCATTGTGATTGATGCTAATGGTTTCCTATCAGTCCATGATATACTTTACGGCGTAAGTCTTTGTCGATTGTGCAAGAAGGACCGTTTCGCTGACCTGAACCTATAGTTATGCCCATCTTAAAGTGATTCCCTTACTCTCCCGCTGCGACATGTTCTGACAGTTGGTTTTAGAAAGACGTGTTTGCTGAAGGACGACATGGAAAGGTGTTGAGTTTCGGGGAGCTGCTTGCGGCTGCTGGCATTGCTGGTATGCCGGCTGCCTACTTGTGAGCATCACCTATGGAAGACGACTTTCCGCTGACGATCATCAAGGACTACACCCGCCGATGTGGTAAAGACTCGACTCCAATCACAAGCCCGAGCTGGACAGACGGTATACAAGGGCATCGCGGATGGTCTCGTCAAGATCTTCCAAGAAGAGGGTCTCCGAGGTCAGTGGCCACTTGTCTCTTGTGCGATACTAGCTGACTGGCATGTTTACAGCCCTTTTCAAAGGCGGTCTCGCTCGGTTAGTAGTTTGGATGACAAGAGGTAGCGCTGACTATAGTCGACAGTGTCATCCGATCATCCCCTCAATTTGCTGTGACATTGGCGTGCTATGAGCTCCTTCACAAGCATTTCCCCTACCCGTACGCCCCGGCTCCTGCACTCGCACGTCCTTCTCGATCCGCACAGCAAGATATCTCTCGAATTCGTGCGAGAAATGCTTTGCGTATCCTTCTGGACTGCAGTTCTCAATTTGGTATGGTCGATGCCAACACTGCGGCCAAGGGCGTGTCCATACTGCCCAAATCGCTCAGGCCATAGGGGCATTCTTGGCGGAACCTCACGTAAAAGTTGAATATAGCGCAAGAAATATGGACGAAGTCTTTCTGATTGTATTTGCCAACAAGGTCAAACGATTGATATTTGTTTACGGGTCGTGCTGTGAAATAGACACATCAAATATTCACTTGACCGATTCAGATTGAGCAGGTGACACGTCGCTCTTGAGCGTCTACTACCACAGATCATTCACGTCTCCGGTCTTCACGCATACAGTGACCATAGATATGGAAAAAGGAATGATCTGCCGTAGGGATAGAAGACTGCATGTACGCTGTGCCACATCGATCATTGGTAGTACATATATAGAGGCAGGCTGTGCCACATTCATTGTAGCAGAATTCTATCACGTCTTCTAAAAGCGATGGCCATGCTTATGGTAGAGACGAGGCAAGTGGCGGCAAGCACATAAAATATGTTTCCTTCTTGTGTCCCGCCCTTGCTCAACCTTCCTTGAAGGGGAAGGAAGATACTGCCCATACCAAAATTACACAACCAATTGAGACCCAGACCTACACTTCCAGCCGCGGTGACAGCCCGGTGTGGCATGACTTCTGGTAGAACAACCCAAGTCACTGGCCCAAGACCGACTGAGAAACTGACAACAAAGAGCACGATAGCGACAATGGAGAGTGCTGATGCGTCCGTGTTTATACCTAGGGCCAGACAGATTGCCGCTATGCACATCATGCTGGTAGGGTAGACCAACAGCTTCCGGCTACCAAGTTTCTGTTGACATGGTCAGCTCGCGTTTGCTCCGAGAATGGCAAGCAAGGCACATACTTGGATGAGAAATGCAGGTATCATGGTTATAGGAAGCTTAATGAGGACGACAAATAGGGCTAAAAGCCTGGCTTTACCTTGAAATACCGGAGACAAGATGCGAGTTGAGAAGTACATGACTACAGCTCGACATCAATCAGGATATAAGGTAAAAGGCGAAGCACCGACCTGGGGCGACACCGCAAATTTGTTGTGACATCTGGCTAGCCACTACCACATGGACTGCATGATTGATGAGCATGACATGCATGGTTGTGACTTTGACTTACAGCTTCGTACCACGTCCTCGTCCCGTGAAAGTATAAGCTCTCTTAGACTAAGATTCCCCTCTGAATGAGAGCCGAGCCCCTCTTCTTCGTCGACGGTGCTTTCCGACATGTCGTCCTTGTCCATAACCAGAAGGCTGCCACATAGCTGGGCCAGAGCAATGACGACCGGGGAAACAAACACAAGCCGCCACGATCCTGGTTCAGAAAAGGGAAACGACAGTGATTGCGCGAAACACATTCCCGCTACGATTGAAAGCTGGTTCATGATCCCCAAAGATTGCTTTATGGCTGGTGGGGCAATCTCTGCCAAGAAAAGCGGGATACAAGCGGTAGATATACCGGATCCAAAACCGACCAGGATCCTGATGCTTGAGTGAGCTTGTTACTCCTCGGCTAACATGTTAAAGTCCCAATCACCTTCCGAGCCCCATCACAAGGACGTTACCAGCCAGACCGACTACAGCGGAGCCAATCAAGACTGACAGTGCAGAGACCCTCAGAGAACCCGTTTTCCCAAACTTCTGGCTTATTGAATGGAATGCCAGGGACCCCGCCAACCCTCCCAGTGTAAACACAGAGACTACTAGTCCGAATTGTGATGACTGTCACAGATGAATCAGCCGACAGGCTACCTGAGGAGCACTTTACGTATCGAGACGTACCGTCATCGCAAGGCAGCTCGAGACGCCACCTTCTTCATCGAACGCAGCTGTTGGTCGTCTGCGGCACATTACAGAGTCTTGAATGCCGTTGAGACTTGTGATCGCAAAGCCGTAGAGAAATGTGTAGGACACAGCCCATAGGGTTTTGAGGGAGGAGTTGACGGCTTCTTTCGAGACGAGACGGCCGCGTTGGGTCGGAGAAGGGGGTGAAAGGCTGGGCATGGTAGGGGGAGTGCCGAGCTTGACGTGTGTCTATGGCGGTTCAGACTGCAATCGCTGACGGGAGGAAAGCTGAGCGAACTCGATTCTGCGGACGCCGCGGCCCAGGGCGCTTCTTGCTTTCGGCACATCGGAAGGCCGTCCCGGAAGAACGTGACCTGCTGTCCGAAGACGTCCCACTCGGCTCAACAGAGCCCCTCGCCATGCTTGTATTATAAGCACCGTATACCGCCCGCTGATCGTCAGCCCTCTGCAAGAGACACACAATGAGGTCTTTCAGCTATGCCCTTCTCGGCGTCATCGCGCAGGCTGCTCTCGGGCTGGCGTCTGTCATTCACAGCGACGGCGGTCGAGACCAGATCGTCCTGGCAGATCATGTCACCCCTCAGGAAGATATTCTAGAATATTTCCCCAGTCACTTTGATCCCTCTTCTGCTCGACACCGTCCTCTCTGTATCCTGCATGCTCTCGGGGACGAGCGGGACGACGCCGACAATTTTGAGAAAGCGGTAGACAAGTGTGGCAGAGGAGGTATTGTGAAGCTGCCTGACGCAAACTAGTGAGCTCTCCTCAGCTCTCAAGGACTTCAATCTGACCCAATGCACAGCACCATCGGCCGCCCTCTCGAGATCTACCTTGCCCACTCCACCCTCGATATCCATGGCTGGCTCTCATTCTCGACCGATATACCCTTCTGGATTGCGAACCGTATCCCCCTCGACTTTCAAAACCAGTCCTTGGCATTTGTCATAAGGGGTCACGATTATGTCCTCGATGGCAACAACAAGGGAGGTATCCATGGCAATGGCGATGTCTGGTACGAGTACGCCAAATACTTTGGAAACAAGTTTGGTCGGTATGTGCCTGTCTTTGTATCAAAGCCTCGGTATATATGCTTACGCACTGTCCCTAGACCCATGTCCCTCGCCATCAAGGATAGCAAGAATGTCGTCATTAAGAACTTTAGCGTTGTACAGCCCCAATTCTGGGCGTCGCTCGTCTGGGGTTCGGAGAATGTCTACTTTCGGGACTTTTATGTGAACGCCACCAGTTTCAACCCAGAGTCTCGGTCAGACGAAAAGAACTGGCTGCAGAATACTGGTAAGAGATCGTTATCTCGAGCGGTGATTCCGACCAGCTAGCTTACGAACCCCATAGACGGCTCGGATACTTATCAAAGCTACAACGTCACTTATGGTGAGTTGTTTGCATGTAGATAGTGCGTATTGCTAATGCATCTACAGAGAATTTCGTCTATCAAGGTGGAGATGACTGCATTGCTCTCAAGCCCAATAGCACATTGATCAACGTCCGCAATGTTACCTGTGTTGGTGGCACTGGTATTGCGTTTGGCTCAATTGCACAATATGCCGGAGTAGTAAGTCGTTTTGTCCTTTTCTTCGAAGTGCCATCGGTCTGATAGGCGGGTGTTTATAGAAAGATATCATTGAAGACGTACACATGGAAGATCTCAAGCTGTACCCATCCAACCAATGTCCCGGATATCAAGGTGTATACTTCAAGTCTTGGTTGGGGTGAGTATCACTTCAATCAGAATTGACTGTCAACTGACAACATCTTTAGGGCCTCTATCGGAACACCTCCAAACGGGGGTGGAGGGGGCTACGGCTACTGTCGCAACGTGACAGTGAAGGATGTCTATATGGAAGATATTTGGCACCCGCTTGTAGTTCAGTCAGAGTGAGTTGTCTGATCATTGCTGCCCTATGGCTGACGCGCAGAATAGTCTCACCTATCTTGAAATGGAGAGGGACAAGTACTCGGACACCGGGCTTTTTGAGTGAGTAGACACAAAGCCCAATTCGAGAACAGAAATCTGACCCATCTCACAGATGGTACGACATACATCTACAGAACTTTACGGGAACAGCTTTGGCCAACCGTGTTGCCTGGATGTCCTGCTCCAAGCTGACACCCTGCCATGATTGGACCTTCAAGGACATTGCCATTGAGCCCGGAAAGAATGACCACCCTGAGATCCAATACACTTGCAACAACTTTGTGCTAGGGGGGAAGGACGGTCTCAATCAATGCCATCCAAGCAATTCAGTGCTGGAAACGGAGAATGGAGGTACCCTGTAAAGACGGGCAACAGGTCATACAGTGTGATTGAATGTATATCAGATATTACTTGCTTGAAGCGGGTCGGGCGTGGTTACTGGGCAGGCCTGGTTCCTACACTCGGGGAATGCAGTCATGTGCTTTTGTCGTCTCCGCATATATATTGAAGAAAACCACATCTGCATTCTGAAAGGCGATTTGTACTGTACGTCAAACGTACACACCAGAACATCGAAGAGAGATGCCCGTCTAGCAAAAGGTGTGCTAGACTTGGACTTCCGCGGGGAGCGCCTCCCCCTTGACAGCAGCGATAGCGTTGCGCACACCTATAGAGACTTCCATTCAGTAACGATGAAGTGGCCATTGATGATTTACGACACTTACACAACTCTGCCATGGCATTACGAGTATCCAAGTCGGCACTGCCCAGATGGGGAATCACAAGACCTAAGTGTCATCAGAGCTGACCATCATCTAATGGCACCAGACTCACAGTTGTCCAATTGTAAAAGAGGGTGGTCAGCGGGAATATTCGGCTCTCCAGTCACGACGTCAAGCCCCGCGCCATAGATCTTCCCAGTAGTGAGAGCTTCATGAAGGTCTTCCGAGTTGACAATCGGACCCTAGTTAGAGCGATTGTTAGCTGAGGGCAATGCGCGCGTAGACGAATATCTCACCCTAGCAACATTGACGAGAATGGCAGTATTCTTCATTCGAGCAAAGAAATCCTTGTTGACGACGTCCTTTGTGGAAGGATTGAGGTCGCACAGAACCACCAGGATGTCTGACTTTTCTGCCAAAACATCCTTCTCTACTCTTTGCGTTGAAACACCGAATTTGGCACTGAAATCCGCGTCGATTTCGGCCTGGTTGTCTCGTTCCCGTGAGGAGTTGTAGATGATGGAAGGGGGCTCTTTCTCATTGGTGAATGCTAGCAATCGTCGAGCGACCGCCTGAGAAATGCGTCCAAAGCCGAGGAACCCGATAGTGAGAGATGGGTGACCGATCGATAGACCGCAATTGACAAAGGGTGCCCAAGGTTGATTCTTCCACTGAAGGATGATATCAGCACGACGTTGCGACAAGGCTCCACTCACATTTCCGCTCTTGACAAGGTTGATACCTTCATTGATTCTTCGAAGGGTGCACAGCACGAGTATCACCGCAATATCGGCAACTGTCAAGAGGGAAGGCTGGTAAATTCCGGAGTCGGTAAATGGAGATCATATGCTTGCTTACCCGCGTCACTCAGCACACCCGGCGTATGCCCGACCTTGATGCCCCTCTTGTTCGCGGCCTTCACATCAATGTGGTCTGATTGAGCGTGAATCAGCTTGAAACCCATCTGATCTGGCCTTGGTCAGACATACCATAGCCGACCGAAAAGGTTGACACGGCAGAGAAGTTGGGATTGGCAGTGCGGATGAACTCGTCGTCTATCCTGTCGCTAGGCTGGCTGTGCATGATGCAGGCGGCACGAACGTCCTTGTCGGCGATGTGCTTGAGGACCCATTCCCTGGACGGCGCGTCATCCTCTGTATTCAACAGATAGTCGATGCCGGACTTGTCGAGGATGGCCATGGCGTGGTCTCCGAGGTGTCGAGTGACGAGGATGGCGGGCATTGCAGCTGTGTGGGGGATGGGATGGCTGGGGGATAGTTCAGGAATGTTTATACGCAGATAGCCAGAAGACAACAGAGATACCACTCGGCGGCTATCGGCGGCCCCGATGACCCGTTCCCGTTTCCCGACCCGCTCTGGCGGCGATGTCCGCCTGGCCGCGTCTACTCCGCGTCATCGCATTCTTGTTGTCTCTCTTCCTCTTACCACACCGCCACCATGTTCGAATTCATCCTCACCCTCCTGCTGGCCGCAGTCCTCATGGCCGTCATCATGGCCGCCAGCGTCGCCATCACCATGCCCTTCTCCGGCGCTCTCGTCCGCCTCCGCGCCAACTACAACCCCCACGCCGTCGGCCTTGGTCAAGAGGCTAGGTGAGCCCGCATCTACCGCATATCTATAGCACTTGCTGATTGTCCTCAAAAGGGTTGGCCCGACACTTCACACCCTTCTGGGGACCCTCAAACGTACAAAGGAGCTGGAGGGGTGGTGGGGACTCTGGAAAGGTAAGATTAGTTGATCCTCATAAAGTCTACAAGCTGACTGCGCCCGCAGGGACTTTTCCGACCCTTGTCTACTCTACTTTGATCTCCATACTCTCAATTGCCTTTGTGGGCGGGTCCGCCACCAAAGGGCCCAAGAACACATATAGTGTCCCCGAAGCAGGAGGCGTGTCGTTCGTAAACTCTCTGAACATTAGCAGTGCACGGCTGACCTGTGATCATCAGGATGGCCATCTTTACAATCATATTGACGCTGATAGCCCTTCCCATGACCGTCATTATCAATCGGTAAGCTTTCGAGCGACGTATACAGATGGCAGCAACTCATAGGCGAGCCCTGCAGTTCGATCATAACCCCGTACAAATTACCCAACTCCCCCGCCGCATCGCTTCGAATTCTTCTGACACCAGTTGAGATTTCGAAACCCTATCTCCTCTACTTGACCCCCGGACTTTTAGCGACAACCTTTGCCCATGCGCTCTGTGCGACTCTGATTGCCCGAACTATGCGCGTCTTCTTTTTGGGGACAGCTGTCATTACAGAAGAGACCACAGCCGACATTGCTTGGTGGCGTTGGCTGCTGTACTTTGTGTGGCAGTGCTTGGCTACACTCTGGTTCACGCCATTGGAAGTCATTGCTACTCGGTTGTCCGTTCAACCAAACACTGGAGGTGCCATGCCTATGGAGGGGGCAGAAGACGAGCCGCTGGAAGGGGTCTCCTTCTGCGGCACAGATGAGGACGTGATCGGGCTACGTCCCGCCACGGAGCCGTATAATGGATTGGTGGATTGTGCTCGGAAGATTGTGGAGGAGGAAGGATGGCCCAGTCTTTATCGAGGATTCTGGTTCACAATGTTGGGCAATGTGTTTGGAAGCACAATGGCCTGATCAGATCGGAAATGCTGTATCGTTACATCCAATCGGAAACCGTTGAATCTGGAGTGATTAGATACTACCCTTAGCATAACTTTCCGCATGCAAAACTCATGTAGCCGACGCGTTGCTCACGTTCATATGGCACTCGTTCATAAGAGATGAGATATATTTACACACAACAACTTGCTAATATAGACAGCTTGAATCGTGAAATGATGATGAAAAGATACACATATACGACCACGCCTTCTACCGGCTGGGTCGGCCTACCAACCAGCCTACCTGAGTCGCAAACTGGTCTCTCGACTGGGAGAGTGCTTCCCGAAAAGATACCACCAGCGCAGACTCTTGTGGGCCTGAGGCAGCTTGAGAGGGAACAGGTATAGACCAGTGGCTACTGCCAGAGGATCGGGATGATTGGGATGACGACAGACTGGTGGTGGTGGTGGACACCAATTTGTCCAGAGTCTCTGCCCAATGGGCCACTAGAGAGTGCGGGTGCATGCCACCTTTGTCGTTCACATCCGAGGACAGCCCCGTGACCCAGGAAGACCAAGTCGATAGCACAAACTTGGCAAGCTCTAGAACCAGCGGGGCGGGACCAGGGAGGGGACTGTTGACGTGTGACGAGGGAATGATGGACAGTATGGAGACAAGTTGCGACGTGAGGGGATGCAGGAGAGAGAAGAGGGATTGAAAGTCGTTGGAAATTTGTACAGCGGTGGAAAAATAGTTGATGTATGTCGTTGCCTATTTATCGTATTGAATCAGCCTTGCACAGAAAGCATAAGAGATGGCTTACCGTGCGACAATAGACTTCGACTTCGTTGGCGACGCGGTCCCATCTTCGACCTTCCGCGATCGTCCCTGGTATCACCGAGGGGTGGCTGATAGACCCGCCAACGCGCTCAATGTCTACGAAACGCCGGCCCAGTTCCTTTACGCAGGACTTGAGATCCTGTTGGGGAATCATATCCAAGACTGAAGAGGCTAGAGAGGGGTTGGCTTCGAGAAGCTGGATGAGGATAGGCAAGTGGGCAGAAAGAGGGAGAGTGGCTGCAGGTAACTGCATTAGCGTTATGGAAGGCACACGTCAAAGCAGCCCTACGTACCCAACATAACCCCGACATCGACACCGCCCTTTTGATGCTGGCCGAGCTGGGAAGCATGGAGCTTGGTCCGCTTGCTGGACTGTTGCTCGAGGCCAGAAACAGGTGCGGACATAGCTGGAGCCGCATTGTGGGCTGCCGAGACGCCGGAACGGTGTTTGGAGGGTGGCGAAGACGGGGAGGTGGGAGGAGATGTGGATGGCGAGCGCTGACGTTTCGGACGCTTGAGCGGTGTCTGAGGGGTGTCCCTGGGACGTTGGGGCGAGAGCCTGGAGGGGGAGAAGGCAGGGGCGGCGAAGCGGGACGGGGTGGGCGAGGGGTTGGGGGGATGGCCGAAGCCGTAGGAGAGCGGGGAGGGCCGCGCGGCAAAGGAGAAGGCGAGGGAGGAGGGCGGCTGCTGGGTGAGCGGGTGGGCCATCGCGGGGGGGGGACTTGAATTGTGCTTGTCAGTGGTAGTGAGTAGTATAGTTAGTAGTAGCTTGACTCTGCCACAGCGCTGTTACGTAAATTCAAAATTATAATGTATGTCATCACTTGTCGCTTCTTTGCTCGTTCTTTCACTTTTCCCTTTTCCCTGGCGTCTTCCCCATTACCCTACGCATACCCCACAGTGAAGCCCAGCTGCCGCCATGACGACCGTTCAGAAAGTGAGTCTTTTATCCAGTGCAGAGAGACAGAGCTTATATCTTGCAGATCAAAGACATTGAGGAGGAGATGGCGAGGACGCAGGTGAGTGATGATTCTTTTCGTGACCTGATCAAGCTCATTGATATTTTCACTCAGAGAAACAAAAATACCGAGTAGGTTTATCGAGCTCTCTTCATACGGCACTGACCCCAACTCGACAAGATACCATCTTGGACAACTGAAAGGTATGGCGGCATCATCTCGGTACTGGTTACAATACTGACATGGTCGTCTGCAGCCAAACTTGCCAAACTTCGCCGAGAACTGATTGCGCCTTCCGGAGGAGGTGGAGGCGGTCCTGGCATTGGATTCGATGTTGCTCGATCAGGTCAAGCAACAGTGACCGTCATTGGATTCCCCAGTGTAGTAAGTTTGACATGGTATTGCAGTGTCTTGTTGGCTGAAGTGAGCGTGTCATCTCTAGGGAAAATCGACTTTCATGTCCAAACTCACGTACGAATGTCTGCCCCAAGACCGTTGTCATGCTGATCCTTTCGCAGCGGCACTCACTCTGAAGCTGCTTCCTATGAATTCACTACGTTAACAACAGTACCCGGACAAATGACATACAACGGCGCACGAATCCAAATTCTTGATTTGCCTGGTGAGCACCGATGGTCCATATGCAAGACAATTCTAAACGTCAATTCAGGTATCATCGAGGGAGCCAAAGACGGTAAAGGTCGAGGTCGTCAAGTGATTGCTGTTGCTCGAACTTGTAACCTGATCTTCATCGTACTGGATGTTCTGAAACCGCTCAACGATCTGGCTATTCTTACACATGAACTGGAAGGTTTTGGTATCCGACTCAACAAGAAACCTCCAGCCATCACTGTTAAGAAGAAGGAAAGTGGTGGTGTGAGTGATACTTTTTCTACCTTGTCGAGTTGTTGACAGACGTTCCGTTCAAGATTGCCATCACAAACACTGTACCCCTCACCAAAATCGATGCTCAGGAAATCAGGGCTGTATTGCAGGAATATCGAATGAGTAACTGCGCCGTCTCGATCCATCAACCAGATGCGACCATTGAAGATTTCATCGATGTTGTGGAAGGTAACAGGTGTGTCTTATAACTTTCCTTTGTTGTATTATTGCTGACTATAGAACAGAGTTTACATCCCTGCCATCTTTGTTCTCAACAAGATTGATGCCATTAGTATTGAGGAACTTGATCTTCTGTACAAGGTGCTGATCTCTTTATAAAGCTTGTCTAGCAGCTAATCAACTTTCTCGCAGATTCCCAACTCTGTTCCTATCTCTTCCAAGCTTTGGCTTAATGTCGACGAGCTTCTAGAGGTCATGTGGGACAAGCTGAACCTTGTCCGAATGTGCGTCACAAATTCACCATCATCTTGGCAACACTGACCATCTATTTAGCTACACCAAGCCAAGGGGCCAACAGCCGGACTATTCTTCTCCAGTGGTGCTGCAGCGTGGCAAGTGCACTGTAGAGGATTTCTGTAACGCAATTCACAAGGAGATCTTGAAGCAATTCAAGAATGGTCAGTAATAACATTTAATTGCACAACAGCATGCTCATATATGTCACAGCTATGGTATGGGGCACATCAGCCAAACATGTCAGAGGGCAAAAGGTTGGGCTGGAGTGAGTCATGTTGATTGCATAGGACATTGGTACATGCTAATCACAGGTCATGTGTCTTTATAGCCATGTCTTGGATGATGAAGAGTGAGTTGATAAACAGATTAGCTGTGCAATGTAGACTAACAAATTTGCAGCATTATTTGTATCTTCAAAAAGTAGTGGGGTCAAAGAGGTTTGCTTCCAGTGTATAGTCAATGCATTGGTCTCATCAACAAGATGCAGCATCAGAGACAGTCCAGGAGGGTTACTGAGAAGGCATGTCACAGTTTGGTGTCCAAATCCCGTAATGCACTAAGGGTCTTATCAGCTGTTTCTCCCCACCCAGAAAAAAGTGTAGGGGGGCAGAATCGATAAAATCAAATGCATGTGCTAAACTTCCATGTGGGGCCCCTGCCTCCCCGGCATCAAGCCCGCTCCGCCTTTCCTCCTGTCTTCTCCCCCTACCAATCATGCTGGCCTTGACCTATTGTTTCTGCTCCATCACTCTCTGCCCCTTGCTTCCCTGTCTGTCATCTGCAATGCACTGTCTGTTCAGCCACAGCTCCCCATTGCTCACTGTCTTTCAGTGCCTACCTACTTCTATTCTACTTTCTGCAGGTTGCCGTCTCCCATATGTCTGCCTTTTGTCTGCCAGTTGTCACCAACCGCTCCCTCTTATGTCACGTTGTCATCCTTTTGCTCATCTTTTTCTGCAGTAACATGTCCTTCCCCTTTGATCCCAAAGCCTTCGCTCTTCTGATTGCCACCTTTGCAGAGGACCCTCCTGCCTACCAATCTTGCCAGCACTTCGCCACTTGCCACCATTTCCCCCCTCTCCCTGTATTGAACATTCCAACTTACACAGGCGCCAGAGGTGCCCACGCCTTTCAGCATTTGGCTGCAGGTCACATGTGCACTCCTGATTGCCATGTGAATAGACCTCCGTTTCAGGCTGCAAACTTAGACTCCACTCGCTGGTTCTCAGATGACCTGCTTCCTATGAATCCTGTTTATCCTGCTGGTCCTGTACAAAATCCTGATGTCCTGAACCTTCCTGCCATCCTGAACTCTGGCCTGGACGTTAACTCTCTTGGATTTCATCAGTCAAATGGCAATCCCTCTCAAGCGGCTCCAGGTCCTGTCTGTAGCCTTCATTCCCCTGTGTCTGTGAATCGATGACATTGACTGACCTCAGGCTAGCAGTCACAAGCTAGTAGCACACCTGACCGCTCTTCGGGACGCCCAAATCCTCCGTTGTCTTCTGGTCCAAATACCCGAAACCAACAACACCACCTGCTTGATGATTTCCAAGACCATCATTGTCCACATAAAAGGGTCAGTGCTACATCATCTTTGCCCTTCTGCCGTCCCTACTGACTTGTGTGTCCTCCTAGAACCTGCGCAATCAGGTCATACAGGTTTGCCTTCTGTCCTCCTCCTCTTTCCACGGCTGACGATTTGACCTCCAGTATGATGAAGAAAGGGACCGTGGGGGTGTTGTGGGCAGCAAAGGTTGAACACTATTCTCAGATCTATATCAGTCAAAATAGTTGAGAAAAAAGAAAAGGTAGTAAAAAAATGATTGAATATTCAAGCCCGCCTACCGCGCCGATTTAGTCCAACTCGATTTTGGCGGCGTTTCCAGATAAATATTTTTTGTTACCAAATTGTTAAAGATATGTACAGAATTGTTACATACCTCCACCTTGCCTCCACTTCATTTGTCCACCCTACGCGCACCAACAACGCACCAAACAACGCGCACGCATTGCAAACACAGTTCACCCTGCGCGTTGTCATCCCAACTCAACTATGAAGGGAGTGAGCATGCTTCAACACACCAATATGGAAGCCACCCACCTCGCAAATTCCTCTACATCCTCCCGCCGTATATACGGTCCTGTCTGAGATGTATCCACGTTGGTGGCCCAACCAGTCCTCGACAGCTTTGGATAAGTCCAAAAGCAATGAATCTCCATGATGTCGAGGAGGCCACACAGCACTGAGAGGGAAGTGAGGCTCCAGGGACAAGGAAAAGATGGGAATGGTGGCGGTCAAAGTAGTTGTTGGAGCCGTGGGTGGTACAGCTGCTGAAGAAGATGGAGGCGGTGTTAGCAGCTGCTCTTGCTGGTGTTTGGAGGAGGATTAGGATGACACCACCGCCTTTGCGCACCCCCCACTGCAGAGGCCGGGGTCATGGTGATGGGGTCGAGCAAATGCCCCCCCCCCCCCCCCCCCCCCCCAGCCCACCAGAAGAGTTACCAGTACCCAAGGAGAAGCCGTGCAAAGAAGAAGAAGCCAAAGAAGAAGGCACTTGATGAACGCCCTCACCAGACGATGTGTTAGCTTTCTTGGCAGGGGGCTGCCCATGTGTATTGGACTTCACATCGCCGATGTTGTTGTCCTTCGTCCCCTCATTGTCATCCTGGTTGTCAGCAGCTCGCTTATCTCCCTTGTTGAGTGTGACAACAGGATCACCCTATGACAGTATAAGCGACAAACGAAAGCGAGGCAAACGAAACTGAAAGGGGGGGGAGGGGGGGGGGTAGGACAAAGCCTCACCTGCAATGGTTTGTATACAGGAAATGCGCTCCTGAGAAACGGGCGTTTTGCAACCCTTCCCCCGAGCAGGCTGCTTGGCGTGGTTTTGGTATACGCTCTGCAGAAGACAAGGAGTCTGCTCAGCCGGAAGGCGTGGACCCAAACTAACCGCAGTGCTGGTGTCTTTGGTTGGGAGGAAGCTGAACCTGACAGAAGAAGAGTTGCTGGTTTTCCTAATCATGAAAATCAGCCGGATATCACCTAGCAACAGGAAGCATGCAGCGACAGCTAGAGCAGCAAGCAGTCACAGCCATACCAAGACTGGAAATGTAGCTTACAATCCTTTGGGTCAGTCAAATTTGTGTTCTGCAAATCCGGTCTGCTGCCCGTTCTCTTCATCAAGAGCAGTACATGAAGACTACACTTGACTAAGTACTTCATCCAGAACTTGCTCAAGGTTCTGGCTGGATGGGTAAACCGACTTCTTGTCGGACAACTCCCAAAGTTTCGACTGGAATGCCTTGGCTGTACTCTTTGACAAGCCTATAAAATCAAGAGGAGGTCAGTCTTATGTTGAAGCCCGTATCGAAAACAGAATTTGTCAGTCACCCCTTCTTCTTCCTCAGGGCCTTCTGCTCTTCATCAGCGCCAAAATCGCCCTTCTTCTTCTGCGCCGCATACGAGTACTACTTGCAGGCCGCCTGAGAAGTGATTTTTACTGTCTTGCGCTGCTGTGCCATGAAAGAGGTTGGATGCGCAGCTGGCGACTCATTTGTCCCCTTTGTCTCGGGTGATAACTTCTCATCACTCTTCGTCTTGTAGAATTGCCGTGAAGGTGGGCTAGGACGTGACAAGGAGGAAGAGAGCGGTCATCATGGCTAGCAGCTGGGGCCAAAGAAGAGGCTGTGGAGGAAGATGATTTGGTGTTGACGAAGGAATGAATAGACGACACGTCAAGGGTGATCTAGTCTAAAATTAAGGTAAGCACACGGCGCAAACTAGAAGAGAAGAAGAAGAGCTGTCCAATTTGCCACAACTGCAGAGCATAGCGGATGCACCACCAGGGCAAAAGCTACCAACAATTTTCTTGGATTTTGCGCATGAGAAACATATTACGAGCTGGACAACAGATTGTCAGCAACCAGAGATAAATGAAAAGAGACATATGCTGTTCACTTACACAGCTTGGAAAAGCTTCCAGAACTTTAGAGTTTCCGAACGTAACAAGGTATGCCTTGAGACCACATGTAGAACATTGACATTCATCTGGTAGACCGTCTGGTAGACCATCTGTGTTAGGGCAGCCAATGATACAAGTCATGTTGACTTGTCAATGGTATGTGAATGAAGATAGTTCAGGAGTCTAAGTATTTGTGGGCCAGAGAGCAATACCTCAAAAAGATGATGAACAGATACGATGCTGGGCTGTCGTATTTATAGAGTGAGCGGTACACAAAGCTTGACCGTCATTGCTGGAATTCATTGTGGTGGTGCTTGTTTCAACGACCATGGCGATTACGTAAATCATTGTCTTAGCACTGCTGTTCTTGTTTAGAGAGAACAACAAGGACTTACGGAAGGAGGAGAACATCACGGTCAAGAGGGGCTCACACGGAAATGGGGGGGGGTCTTACAAACATCATTGTCCTTGATTGTTCTTGTTTTGAGAACTATAAGTGCTCTACAAGAGACAATGTATGTAAGGGCTTTGAAGACTGCTCAATAACCAACGGCAGCACCTTTGACCAAAAGACATACACAATCAATCATTCACCACCGTTTCCCCCCAAACAATGGTGTTATGAATGAGTCGTTTCGAGCAGATATTCCAGTAGGTGTACTTGCTCGAGACTTATCTTGATCCGTGAGAAGGTCATTCTGGGAGCTGCAGTGCGCAAGCGAGCAGGGTGAACTGCGTTTGCAATCAATGCGTGCGCAGGGTCACCGGTGGACCAATAATGTGGAGGTTGATTGGAGGCAAGGTGGAGGTATGTAACAATTCTGTACATATCTTTAACAATTCGGTAACAAAAAATATTTATCTGACAACGCCGCCAAAATCGAGTTGGACTAAATCGGCGCAGTAGCCAAAGTTGCAGCAACGGCGGTTTTTATTTGATTCAATCTTTTCAATGCATATTTTCCATAAATCTTATATCACTGGATTTCGACTTCCTTAATTTCACTAAGTCATTATTTTGGGACCTTCTATCTATGTTCTCGGCTGTTTCCGTCTGGTTTCGCTAATTACATGGTACCTGTACTAGTTGGTGCACCTGATATGGCTTTCCCAAAAAATATCTTGAGGTTTTTGGGTATATTATTTTTCTTTGGACAAGAACAAATAATATCATATTTATTAGTCCATCTTCATATATTAAGTTGTTATGTATGCACAATAATTATCCTTACATTACTTATACTGTGACAGAAGTCTCTACATTTTTGCCATTCTATTATTTATTAGTCAAAAGACCAAAATGTCAATGATTAGACCGTTCTCAGGCACATAGAGTGAAGTATGCCGTTTAATACAGTAGCCCGCGTAAAATCTCTGATGAGCAAAGGGTGGTAAGTGAAAGACAACTCTGACCACGATATAGCTGGTACCCCTCAAAATGTATCGAGGTACAGTTTCCTATATAACTTACATGGGTAAAGCACTGATCATCAGTTGTAACAATAATTGGTGTTCCATCATAGGAGCCTGATTATGGAAAGGTGTGGCAATGAAGAAGAAGAGGATGAAGCCAATGGGCAGCCATATGTCCTTCAACCAAGGGATGTTCTTCAGGAGCCTCACACTGTGAGTGCAACCTCCTTCTCTTCTCACAGATCTGCCCTTTCACTCATTCATCCTCTTACCAGTGTCTCCATGATTTGACCGTGCCCAATGGCTTCACAAGTATCTCTTGACCATAGCATCAACAAGATCAATTCATATTGAAACACCACTTTGGTTGATGAGCTGGGTCAAGTCATTTGTGCTGCTTGCTCAGAGCAGTGCTCAAGGTCAAATACACAAGAAATCTTTGTGCCAAGTCTGAGGGTTGTCCTTCAAGACATGTGACAATGCTTGTTACCCTTCATCTCTTCCCATGTCCTCGACTCCTCTGCTATCATCAACAACTGGGCACACTTTTGTTGCACAGGGGACAAATAGGCGCGGAGGTGAGAGGAGGCTCCTGTACATATATCATGCTCAAAGCAGGAGATGAGGTTGGGGAGATCATTCTCAGTACAAGCAGACATGATCTTCTTGCCAGGCAAGATGACCTGGGGAGGGATAATTGTGCTGGCTGCGCTGATGGCTTCAATGGTGGTGAGTGATTGGTGGTTGGTGGTGGTAGCCACATAAGCAGCCTTCTTGGGATCTGTTGTATAGACATGCTCATTCCCTCCAACACCAATCTGGAATCCATCTTCATTCATGTTTAAATGATGGAAGGCAGAAAAGTGATCAGTATGTCAACAAGGTGAGACACGTCAGAAAACTCACCCGGATGCCATATCTATCTCTCACTTCCATGAAATACCTGAAGTATTTAGCTATCGCCTTCAGCTCTAGAGCAGTGACTCTGGCCAGCTTGACACTCTTCTGCTTCACATGGTGGAGACTCTCCATCCGCTAGTGAAAAAGGTCAACCCACTTGGAGCCCACAGTGGGTGCAACCTCCGCGTCTCCATCCCATGCCCAAGCTAAGATTTGGTTGGCTGAATCCTCAACAAGCGCTTTGGTAGGAGGTGTCCCCCAGCCATCCAGGAGACAAATCCATTCCAGTAGTATCTTCTCTTCTGTGTTGGTGAGAGCTTTGTTGACAATTTCATTGTCATGCTTGGACAAAATACCCTTGTATCAGATTCTGAGTTGCTTGACGGGCACATTGTATTGGCAAGAGAGCGGGGCCAAGTTGGGTTTTTCTTGCCGATTTGCAGCGCGTAGGGCCTCTAGGACCCTAACATCGACATCGGATACTTTTGGGGGCATGTTGATATGTGGAAACGGCCAGAAATGGGCATGAAACAGAAAGATACATGAAAAAGTGCCCTTCTGGTGTCCAACACCCTTCCCGTGTTGGACCCTCCCCTTGAGAGGGTGATTCTGCCAGAGGTCAAATGTTAATAACTGCATTATTAACCATGGGCCCAGGTACATCTTTCAACTGGTATGCTTGCGGGCCCTTGTAGTGCTCCACTCCTTCACATCTTTGCGGGTGTTGTGTATGGTACTCTCAGCAACTCTGGGCTATTGAAAGAGAGTGGGAAGAGGGTGGGTTTCCAATAAACACCTCAAATGCCTCCAAAACAGATCTCCCCTTGAATCCGCAACTCCCAGACACTCTCATATTGGACAACTTTCAACATTGAATCAGCAATAAATAGACAAAGAACAAGTCATCAAAAAGATATGTATAGACCTTGCTCAAGAATCAATGACACAAGTGAGATTCGAACTCACGAGCCCAAAGGCACCACATTATTGTGCAATACACAGATAGCAATGTGGCGGAATAACCACTATCCGATTGCATCCTATGGTGAAAATTTTACTTCGAATTTATATATGGCAGCAGTCATAGAATCACAGCAATCCTTGATACCCTATCAAAGATATCATCCTCATATTCTCTCATCTTCAGCAGATCAGAAACAGACTGAGGAGTCTAGCTGGGACAGTCAAGGTTAATCTGCACACTTTTGGCTGGTCAATCAAAATCATTTTCTCTGCTAAAATTTGCTTGTTAAGAGCTTGGTCTACCTATATACAATCACACAGCCCAAATTCTCTGCCTGATCCCCTGCATTTCCAATCAACAATAAGCAGCCACTTGCAATGTGTCATTGAAAGCTTCCCAAAGGAAAGGTTCTATTCTGGGTAGAATTGAGACATATCTTTGATGATCTAGATGCATGCACCAAGTCAGTAAAAGTTGGTCTGCAGCTTCCCAGCTCCCAAAGTCTGGTCTTGAGCAAGTAGATTGTATTTATTTTAGAAAGAGGACAAGTATCAGACTCGCTTGACAACTCATGGGCAAGTTCTTAGACTAATTACATAATGCAAACAACATGCATGTACCGCCGATGGCAGCTGGTAAGTACATGAAATGAGTCTGGCAGAAACATATACAATTAAGGGAACAGAGGGATACAACAGACAAAGGCAGAGGGCTACTTTCTGGATTTCTTGGTGGAACTGGAGGAAGATTTGACTGGAGGCTCACGAGGAAAGGCAACCTTGGGACATTGGCGGACAGGGGTGGCACAATACAGGGAAGAGGAGGTAGCAGAAGCAGAGAAGGTGCCAACGGAATGCATCACCTGCATGTTGATGCAGTAGACATTATCTACCCCCTTCTCCAAAGCGCCAGACACCAAGGCGGTCCAAGTTGTTGATGGCTTGTACAAATGCTACACCTTGACCAAAGGGCCGAAGGAGTGTTGGTGGTGGGTGTTTTTGGAGGACACCCACCTTTGTCAACCTTCATTTGTGATGTGCCATACAATTTGTCAGTAAGAAGGATTTTGACGGGGCAGATAGAGGAGTGTTGGTGGGAGGTGTTCCTGGAGGATGTCCAACTCTGTTGACCTTTGTTTGTGGTGTGTCGTGGGGCTTGGTAGTCAAAGGGGTTTTGATGAGGCAGATTTTGGCATGTTTCAGGGAAGATCCAGGGGCGAGCAAGTGATAGAGCAAGACAATAGTCACGATTGAAGGAAGTTAAGAGGAAATTCAAAGGAAATTGAGAGCCAGAGGCAAGCAAAAGGTGGGTGGTGACCCCAGCGGTGATGAGTGGTTGTTGGAAAGGATTGGAAGTCGGAAGTTGTTGGGTGCGGGTGAACATGGTGGGGGGAGTGAAAGAGATCATTCAACAATGTGTGCATGTAGATGACAGTGAGTGAGGAAACATTGCAAGAAAGTCATGCATCTTGTTGGGGGACCAAGCAAGTACTGGTGAGAGCGCAAAAAGAGCAAGGATGGAAGCAAGAAACACCCAAGAAGAGGAAGGACGTGCGGCGGCAATGAGCAACAGATGGACCCTGAAACCTTATCTCAAACCTTTGTTGCATTTGACATGAGTTGACTATGCATGCTTGGGTCCAAAATGGTATGGGCACAAAGGCTAAGTTTCTCCCGGAGTGCGTCAGGGTGACAGGTGCAGGAGGCAAGCATTAGGCGAGCATAGGCAGCAAACAGAAGCAAACACAAAAGTTATCATATTCTTTGTTTCCAATTCATCCCTGATCTTGATTTTTTCTTGAAATATTGATATTTTGCAGATCACTTAGCTATCAGGTCTATCTATGACCACAAGTGTACTGAACCTACAGAATGTGGTGATCAGACCTGCTTTGGGGAGACAGCTCTAGCAAACAATCTGTTATGTAAACCTGTACTTAGTCTTGTCAGGACATGTCCTGGCGGGGTTGTCCATGCAGGTTTAGGTGCAACCGCCTTACCGCATCTTGCGCTGCCCCCCCAGTCTTGTTCCTTCTTCAATCCTTGATTCATCAGATACACTTGTGCATTTATGCATCAAAAAGAAATAATCCAAAGGTCTATTCTGTTCATATTGGTAGATCAATGCATGCATACCAGTACAGCAGCTCAGCCTGGTGGCAGCAAGTACTTCTTCTTCATGTCGTTGCTAAGGAAACTTGGTTGCATGGCTTCTTCTACACATGAATAGATATGGAGAAATAGTATATTGGGTCAATCCGGCACAATATATGCATACAATATAATGTATGCTAAAGTACAAAAGCCACAGGAAACATCATGCACCAATAATCATCATCATCACAGATTTGCAGCTGCTTGTTCTAAGCCATATGATGGGATGGGAACCAGCATGCTTGTATTTATATCAAATGTCAATCTGTGATGTTCTTTTTTCAGCAGACTTCAGTGCAACACAGAGTTTGTTGAGCCCCATGTTACGCGCCAATTTAAAGGTCTCTAACAAATGAGCAGTGTCCGTCTCGGCAATCCTCATCTTGCTGGCCAAACTGCGGACTTTGTTGTAGATTGGAGATTGCCTCTGGAAGAATCTCTTTTCCGTGGTATCCCTCTTGAAGCTGGGCAGTTCACTCATCTCCCTCCCTGGCATTCTCCCATTACACCCAATGACATACTCCTCCCAAAGATCAATCACATTGATGACAAATTGGCACATTGCAAGGACCAAGTGGGTGGTCCTTCACTGAGTCAAGGGTGTTCATATTGCAAGAAGCAAGCAAGACCCCTTGTGCATGTAGCTGGACAACATCCGTCAATATATGTACTCAGAAGCACACCAAAAAAAAAAGAAGGAGACAAGAGACAGAGAGAGACAAGGGCAAGTGGAAAGAGAAATGTATAAAGACCCAAAGATTCCATGCGCCCGAGGCCTCTGTCCCTCAGCAAGAGCAGTCGCAAACAAAACACACAAGTCAAAACACCAAAAGGAAATAGTGAAGTGGCAGGAAACTGGGAAACAGAACCAGAGAACAGAATCAAACAGTGGCATCGTGTAAGCAGCGTGTGTGCTGCTTCACTGACGGCAGGGAGCGGCGAGGCAAACGGCAAGAGTCTCAGCTATGAGGAGCTGGACTGGAGAACGGCGAGAGAACGGCGTGGAACGGCGGAGATTGGGTGGGGCGGCGTAACCTGTAAACAGGACCCCAATGCATATACTTGTCACACAGACAGACAAAAAGGCGGTGACTCTGGGCAGAGATCAGTCCTAACTCTAACGACACACACACACAGACGCCTAAGCTTTACAGCAATAGGGCAACGGACAGGGGAACGACAACGGGTATATACGCACCTGGGCAGAGATCAGTCCTAACTCTAACGACCTGCCCACGGGTATATACGCACCTGGGCAGAGATCAGTCCTAACTCTAACGACCTGCCCAGGATTTAGCTATGCACTAATAAACAAAGAAGAAGGGAACTCACACACACACACACAGACGCCTAAGCTTTACAGCAATAGGGCAACGGACAGGGGAACGACAACGGGCAAGAAAGAGAAGCCCACGTCGACGTTCCACCAAGTCCTTGCCTGCGCGTGGCGCGAGCTCCGCAAAACTCCAACGCTGACGCGGCATTACACATACGTAAACACAACAGGAAGCGCTTCTAATTTGTCCTAAGTTCTTTCTGCTCTTCGTCCCACAGCTTTATCAGGCCGCCCTCCTGCATGCATGCAATAGCAGGACCGCTCTCCATTTGCTGAGTCCAAGCACTCAAATGCCACAGGCTGCTCTTCCGAGAATGCTTACTCACATGCAGTCCAACAGTCAAGGCAGAGAGTTGCAGCCAAAAGGGGTCGACGGGTTGTATGTTCAGGAAGGGTATGAGGCAAGCCTCTTACACCCTTCCCCACCTGGATGAGACCACGGGTCGAGGGTTCCTCTGGCGAAATGGTTGAAATACTATTAGACAGATTAGCAACGGTAAAAATCAAAAGGTCATGAAGAAAGGAAATAGTTAAAGAAAAAAAAAATTCCAAGCGCAACAACACCTATTCTCACAACTCCACAACGTCCACCATATCCAAATACAACTCATCATCGCCCAATACTCTTCCCACGCAGCATCCCAACCCTCATACTTCTCGGCTTCATCTCTACTCATCCACCAACCACCAACACGCTCGCCTGCCACTCGTACTCGCACCTGAGGGACCCCGGGATGGCGCTGATTGGGTTTAAGAACCCTCTCTTCGATGACTTGTAGCGCCCGGGGCGGGGGTTGTTGATCAGAGGAGAGAATTGTGGGGGAGACCTCGCCATGATATCTGGAGGAGGTACGGAACGGTTTCAGGAGAGAGGCATGGCGGCAAGTGGTAGAGGTAGATTTGGATAAGACAAGGTTGAGATCATAAAGAGATTGGCAAGGGAAGGCTGCGGTGATGACGTAGGGGCCTTCCCATTGCGGTACAAGCTTGGCTGAATTGCGAGGAGAAGTGGTTTTATACTTGTGTCGAAAATCTTTAGTGTTGAGATAAACCTGTAAGAGTTAGGCGTCTAACTCTTCACTGGGTCGGCGTCGGTGGTCTACTTGTCGTCGAGAGAAGCAAACAAAACCCCTTGTGCATGTAAACTGGACGAGAACGATCAATATATGAACTGAGGAACGCAGAAGATAAGGGAAATGGGAA